TGTTTTCCATTCATTCTAATATTAACTTTATGGCGATAATTCAACTCTTGGCAGAGATTCGAACTTCCAACTTCTAGAGCAAAAGTATGGAACTATCCTCAGACCTATTGATATTTTGTATATATATATGAATCGAACGATCCATACCATATTAGCTATATATATAATGTCTTATCTATAATGATCGAAAGACGGAACAATGCAAAGTCTAATGGAACTACCTTTAAAGCTGACAGATTTTGGTTTACTCCGAAACAGACAGACAGACAGTGGGACCTCGGTATAACGATTCGGCTGTTGGCACCGATCAAGCATATATACTATTAAGTTTATGGGGCCAGAGACGTGTTCGTGCACTTTTCGTAACAAAATTGGAATTGAGAAGCACAGCCAGCCACAATCGACAACAAATTCAAGTAGCAAGTTATTGGTAACAAAACGAGTTGCTCGGATTGCAGCAACTTTTGGCAGCAGCACGTTCTGCATGCTTGGCATGCAAAGAGACCAGAAAACAACGAAAGGCGAACAACAAAACGTTCAAGAAACTAAGAACCACATTATGATTTATGTTAACTGAAACGATTGACATTTAATTTGTGTCAAGTCGATCGCTTGACTAATAACCGACGCGGCCGACGCGGCGTATACATAATCTCGCCCAAATTTTGATGGCTTTTTAATTGCGACCGGGCGCGAGCCAAGCGAATTGCGCCATGAAATTGCATTTGAAATTGAAATTGAGTCACTTGCCAGTGACAACTATTAATTATGAAAGAAACACACAGCATACAGATCTATGTGCTGCATATATTACCATTAAATATGATATATGACTTGAGCTCTGAGCTGTTAACTGCCAGTTGTTGGACATTTGTATTAGCACAGCTTATCCGCTTAAATCGACTTGCGAAATGTGTTCTCAAAATTGACGTCAGTTTAAATAATATTGTATGAAGAAAAATCTCAGCATGATTTGTCATTAACACACTCACACGCAGACACACACGCACACAACAATTGCCAGTTGTCATTCAATTGACTCACAATCGGAAATTCTATAATAAAATCGAGCGCGAGTCGGCAGTGCACGGCTAGAAGATACCTTAGACCCGTGTTAAAGCTCCTTCTTACAGTTACACACACACACGCACACACACGCGCACACACACACACATATGCACTCATAGCTTCTTCTTCTTAGAGACACCCCTCATAAGCAGCGCATTCTTGAATAACTTCGGTGTTTATTGTCCGATCTTTATAAAACTTTCAAGGCTTCCAACTTTCTATTCTATCAAATCGAAGCATATCGTTCGAAATTCAATTTCCTGTATAACAAACTTTTCGATATCTTAAGATATTTTAATTCAAGTTTTAGTTTACGATCAATATCTTTCAGCTCTAAAAGAAGAGTTTGAAAGGAGTTATACATTAAATAAAAAATTTTATTAATTATGTATCTTAGCCATGTCTCAAAATAGCTTCATAGCTTTATATAATAGAAGAACTTTGCTGACTTTAGCTCTTATAACTTTTGAGAATTGCTCATAAAACATGATTTCGATAACGATTTTTATCGATTACTTGGAAACTGGCAAGCTTATTGACTATGGAAAATAATCGATAGTATATTATCGATTTTTTGTCTAGTTTCTCGACTCAACTCGTTGTTCTCATCAAGAAAACATGTTCCTAATGGAGCATACATTTGCACAAAACCAACATAGCCTCCTTTTGTTCAAATGCTTGCTGGGTATTTATAAAAAAAAGAAGCACAACGCGCCGCGCTCAGGGGTGGCTTTGGGTGAACAGACATAGGTCAGGCCAGGCCGTGTGTAAAGTGCACCCCGCCAGGGCATAAATTGGACACTTTTTAGTCCAATTAAGCAAATCAAGAGGACCACAACAAAAATAAAACAGAACAACAATATGATTACGATAACTGATTGCGGCCTGGTCGACAGATCGCTGTAAATCGTGCATTTTAATTAGTTAAACACACAAACACACACGAATTAATCTGGAAACGGAAACAGAATCGCGAACAGAGACTTTTCGTGTGACCTTAGCCAATGTTGTTGATCCACAAAAAAAAAAAAACAAAAATATTGCCCGGTCACCGCGCGGCCAACACCTTCGACCGACAATTATGTAAATTACAAATTACATGCCACGCCGATAATTATGGAACGATTTTCCAACAAAACGAAAAAAAAAACAAAAAACAATCTAACTTAAGTGCAACCTTGGTCGGAAAATTATAAAGCCACACTAGATATATATATATACGATATGCGATATCTGCCTAGAATGCGCCTCAAGTGCACTTCAAATGCTGTCTAATCGTTGGATCATACAAAAAAAAAACACAGAAAAAAGCTGCACAGAATGGAACATTAATAGTTTTTTGTTGGCAATTGCTTAGATTTCACCTCATCAACAGAAGCAGCGATGCGATGCGGTACATTAAATCGATGATGTGCAAAGCCAGCCAAAGTGTGCTCAAAACATTTTAAAACTGGGCCGACTAACTGTATACCCTGTACTCGAGCTTCAGCTTTAAGTCGACCTCAAGTTTCATTTGAGTAGAGCTCTGTTTTTGTTACTAGCATAGTTATCGATAAGTATATGCGAGTAATCGATAACCTGTAAAGAAAATATCTTCATCATCATTGAATACTATAAGGGCTCATCTTGCTTTTTATTTGGATTTAGAGCAAACGAGAGGCTATCAAAGCTATCGATAAATATACGCGAGCTATCGATAACTTAAAAATGAACATATATTCAAATATTGACTTCACATTTTGTTCTTCTTGCGTTTATATGGACTAAGAAGCAGCGGAAGGCTATCGTAGCTATCGATAATTATATGCGAGCTATCGATAACTTTAAACAGAAAATGTATTCAAATATTGGCATACCTAATAGCTCTTCTAGCGTTAATAAAGACACAAAGCCAGACATATGAAAGGTTAGAAAGTACTTTATGGGTTTCCAAATGCCTCAGTTTGCCTGCCACAGACATACATCTGCACAAAACCAATACACCCGTCTTGAACCAACTTTAAAGCCTACAGGGTGTTTAAAAGTGGCTAAGAACTCGAGCTGAAAGCAATTGTGGCTGCAATTGTGGCACAAGAATGCAGGCGATCTGCTGCGGACAATGGGCAAAGATGCGGATAGAGAGATACTCGATAGCCGAGCGTGGCATTGTATGCTAAAATGCATGCAAGACACACACACTCTTACACACATGCATACGTGTGTGTGTGTCGACAATTTTCATTTGATTTGTTCAAATGTGTGCAACATGTACGGCTAATTGGGCGCACACGGCGCATACGTAATGCGCGCTTGGGAAATGCTCGCGGAGCCATTGAATTGTGCATATTACGTATACGTACGAGGCACAAAGCCACAAGCACACACACACACATGAATCCCAAACAAAACTGTGGACAGCGCTTGAAGCTGTCAAAAAAAAAATGTATGCCACGCCAAGTCTTTGGCGAACAGCTTTTAATAAACTGAAGCCAAATATTATGCAATCGCGTGTGGAACTTGTTTTGGCGCCCAGAACCAAAAGCCAATTGGCCGCAATTTTCTTGGCGAGAAATCGGAAATTAATTTCAAATAAAAAATAAAAAAAATTCATACATAATTCATAGAGGCAAAGGTTTTGTACTTCCTGGAACTGGGACTGGAACTGGGACTGGGGCAATGCCAATGTAATTGAGCGACATATTTTATAAAAAAAAAAAATAAATAACTAAAACAATAACACAAGGCACTTAATGCAAGCTTCTTTTGTTGTTGATGTTGTTGTGATTTTTAAATGCTTCATTTAAATTTGAAATGTAGCCAGACTAAGGACAAGTTGAGCGGTAATTGCCTGGCTTTATGTCTTTGATTGGAGCTTGACATTGGCAGCCGGAGAATTGGAGAATCGGTTTGTTGTGGAGAACCAGAAGTCGTCTGTCTCAATGGCATTCAGCTGGGCTTTTTATGACATTAAAATGCAGCTTAAAGACGGCAAGACGGCAAGACGGAGACCTCCAACTAAACCAAGTCCGACAGCTTAACGAGACCTAGTCCATTCATTTCACATTCACACTTTGTGCACTTGACGAGCTTACAAACAAATCTCAGCTCATAAATTCAATTTAATATACAAAGTCGACGATTTGGAGAAGCGAACCAGAAGTTGTCAAGAGCTCGAATATGTATCTATAGGATCTTTCAGTTTGGCACAACTTCAAGTTGACACGAATCGGAGAATCTGATAATTGAATAACCAGAAGTTGTCGAGAGCTCGAATAAGTAACTATAAGATATATATTAATTAATATGACAATTACTTTCAGATTTGCCCCAACTTCAATTTAACAAATATTTCAAGTTAAAGTTGAAGAACCAGAAATTGTCAAGAACTCGAATATGTATCTTTAAGATACATATTAATCGATATGACAATCTCTTGCCACAACTCCAGTTTAACAACCATTTCACAAGTTTGTTCGTGCATAAAACTATTAATTGCCGCCATAAACAACAATTTGTAATTTTGTAAATTTGATCTAAATTTTGACTACCTCATACCCTGTAAACAATTAAGCTATGGGTTAGCAGCTGGCTGGGCTTATGGAAGAGCCTAGCCGAGCGCCGAGATCTGGCGCGCACGGACCAATCATTAGCATATACAATCTTTTATTATAGTTGTAAAACTTGATATGCATATGATTAGCACTTAGTTAATATATATAGATAGTTAGTTAGTATTGTGTAAGAAGAGATAGGCGAGGGGGAACGTGCTACAAGTCAACCTATGCCACTTATGCAAGTCCTCCCATCCTCCCACAGCCGAGTCGACATTTCTTCAATTACCCAACTGCGATTGGGGTCATTTAGAGAATTCATTTGTCGCAATCTTTCAGCTTCATATTATGATAGTTGTGTCCACTTACCTAATCCTAACTAATTGTTGTCTCTGCTTCCAGATGGGTTCGCTGCCACAGCTGTCGATTGTCAAGGGTCAGCAGCAGGACTTTGTGCCGCGGGCGCTGCATCGCATCTTCGAGGAGCAGCAGCTGCGCCATGCCGACAAGGTGGCGCTCATTTATCAGCAGGAACAGGCCCCCCGGGCGCCCAGCCAGAGCAGCTATCGCCAGATGAACGAGCGGGCCAATCGTGCCGCCCGTCTCCTTGTGGAGGAGGCACACGGACGCTTCCTGCAGCCGAACAGCGATGGGGACTTCATCGTGGCCGTTTGCATGCAACCGTCGGAGGCGCTGGTCAACACCCTCCTGGCCATTTGGAAGGCGGGTGGCGCCTATTTGCCCATCGATCCGAGCTTTCCGGCAAATCGGGTGCACCACATTCTGCTCGAGGCGCGTCCGATTCTGGTGCTGCGCGACGATGACATCGATGCGCAACGTTTCCAGGGCACGCCCACGCTCTCGCTGACGGAACTCTATGCCAAGTCGCTGCAGCTGAGCGGCAACAATCTGCTCTCCGAGGAGATGCTGCGCGGCGGCAACGATCACATCGCCATCGTGCTCTATACCTCCGGCAGCACCGGGGTGCCGAAAGGCGTTCGTCTGCCGCACGAGAACATCCTCAACCGTTTGCAATGGCAATGGGCCACGTTTCCCTATACGGCCAGCGAGCAGGTGGGCGTCTTCAAGACAGCGCTCACCTTTGTCGACTCCATTGCCGAGCTGTGGGGCCCGCTGATGTGCGGCCTGGCCATACTGGTCGTGCCCAAGGCCGTGACCAAGGATCCGCAGCGTCTTGTGGCGCTGCTCGAGAAGTACAAGATCCGGCGTCTGGTGCTAGTGCCGACGCTCCTGCGCTCCCTGCTCATGTATCTGAAGATGGAGGGCGGCGGCGCGGCCCAAAAGCTGCTCTACAATCTGCAGATCTGGGTCTGCTCAGGTGAGCCTTTGGCCGTGCCGCTGGCCAGCAGCTTCTTCGACTACTTTGATGAGGGCGTGCATCATTTGTACAATTTCTACGGCTCCACCGAGGTCATGGGCGATATCACCTACTTCACCTGCGAGAGCAAGAAGCAGCTGAGCATGTACGATAATGTGCCCATAGGTAAGTGCAGCAAAGGCGCTTTAGTCCAGAGTCCCTCATAGGTTAACTCATTTTCATTACAAAAGATAAGATAAGATAAGATAATGATTCGCACAAATGAAGTTCGAGCTGTTCGAGCCTGCAACATGTTCGATTTGAGGCACAGCCAAACAGACATACTTGTTCGATTGAACCGAACGCTCACTCGAGTCGACCTACTCGACTTTTTCTCTGCAACTCGAACAGCTCGAGATTAAACATTTCGAGTTATAGCTCGCCCTCATATAGCCTCATCTCATATTATATATATAATTCGCCAGGCATACCCGTGTCGAACACTGTCATCTATCTGCTGGATGCGGACTATCGTCCCGTCAAGAACGGCGAGATTGGCGAGATATTCGCCTCGGGCTTGAACCTCGCAGCCGGCTATGTGAATGGACGTGATCCCGAACGCTTCCTGGAGAATCCGCTGGCCGTGGAGAAGAGTAAGTTAATAGCTGCATTCGAATGCTTCTTCTTTAATCCTCGCCTCATGTGATCCACAGAATATGCGCGTCTCTATCGCACCGGAGACTATGGCTCGCTGAAGAATGGCAACATCATGTATGAGGGTCGCACCGATTCCCAGGTCAAGATACGTGGTCATCGCGTCGATCTGTCGGAGGTGGAGAAGAACGTCGCCGAATTGCCGCTGGTGGAGAAGGCAATTGTGCTGTGCTACCGCGCCGGCCATGTGGATCAAGCCATACTGGCCTTTGTGAAGCTGCGCGACGATGCGCCCATGGTCACCGAGCTGCAGCTGGAGGCCCGGCTCAAGGATAAGCTGGCCGACTATATGACGCCGCAAGTCATTATACTGGAGCATGTGCCGCTGCTGGTCAATGGCAAGGTGGATCGCCAGGCGCTGCTCAAGACCTACGAGACGGCCAACAACAATGAGGGCGACTCCAGTATTGTGCTCGACTTTGACTACAGCCAGGTGCCCGAGGAACTGAAGCTCACGGCTCGCGATCTCTTCGAGACGGTGGGCGGCGTAATTGGACGCTCGACGCGCGCCAGCCTCTCGCCGCACAGCAACTTCTATGAGCTGGGCGGCAATTCGTTGAACTCCATTTTTACGGTCACCCTGCTGCGCGAGAAGGGCTACAACATTAGCATCTCCGAGTTCATAGCGGCCAAGAATCTGGGCGAGATTATCGAAAAGATGTCGGCCAATCACGATGCCGTGCAGCTGGAGGAGGAGACCCTCAATGCGTGCCCGCATCTCAAAATGGAGGCGGTGCCGCTGCAACTGGAGCACCGTCAGGATGTGATCGAGTAAGTTGGCGGAGCATCTCTCAAGGATTCCAGTCGTAATAAGCAGATTTTCCTTGCAGCATAATTGTGTCCAGTTTCTACAACAAGGCCGACTTGGAGCAGTGGCTCAAGCCGGGCGTCCTGCGCACCGACTACAGCGATATACTCAATGTAAGTGAAGCCTGATCCACAGCCTGGCGAATGCTCATCCTTCTCCTCTTTTCCGCACAGGACATTTGGAGCGTTCTGGTCGACTGCAAGCTGAGCTTTGTGATATACGATCGGAATACGGAACGCATCATTGGCACCGCCCTCAACTTTGATGCACGCTGCGAGCCCGAGGTGGACATCAAGTCGAAGCTTCTGATCATCTTCGAGTTCCTCGAGTTCTGCGAGGGACCCATACGGTAGGAATAACCCGCTCAAGACGTTCAAGGATTATTAACTAAGTAAAGACTATTTTAGCGACAACTATTTGCCGAAAGGTCTCAATCAGATACTGCACTCGTTCATGATGGGCACCGCGGAGCAGCTGAATCCCCGCGAGAATATCGCCTGCATGCACTTCATGGAGCACGAGGTGTTGCGGGTCGCGCGCGAAAAGAAATTCGCTGGCATCTTTACCACCAACACGAGTCCACTCACCCAGCAGCTGGCCGATGTCTATCACTACAAGACGCTGCTCAATTACCAGGTCAACGAGTATGTCAGCTCCGATGGCAGTCGACCCTTCCGGGATGCACCCGACGAGCAGCGTGCCATCGTCCACTGGAAGGAGGTCGGTGGCAAGTAGGACCAAAGGCCAAAGGTCGCGCGCACTCCTAGCATCTAGACGATCGAATTTAAGACGCACCTGTGTTGTATGTAACCTGTAGTATGTAGTTTGTAGCCTGTAGTATATAAGGTCTATAGCAATAGATCCACCTTCTAGTATTATCCCTAGGCATTGCCCAATGAAATTTCATCAATGTATGTTGACTAGTTATAAGCTTTCAATGCAATTAAACAAAAACCATCACCGAACGATTCAATTTAAACAAAGTCTTTTCATTATCCATGTGACTGATTGACTGATTGCTTGATTGATTGAGTGCTTAATTGATTGACTGATTGATGACTATTTTTAAGCATTTAGTGTAATCGAACATAAAACATTATCTGACGGTTCAAAATAAACTAAGTTCATGTGCTATATGACTGATTGACCAAATGACTGATTGATTGACTGCTCGATGTCCACTAGTTTTCAAAGCAATTAATCGGAAAACACAATACTGAACGATTCAAATTAAAAAAAAATAATAATAATTTTATTATTATATATTTCATGGACTGCCTATTCGGTTGATTGACTGATTGATTGATGACCCGTTGTAAGCTTTCAATGCAATCAAGAACACCCAATATCAAATATTTAGTTCAATAAAAAAAACACATTGTTAAGTGGTTCAAAATAAACTTACCGTTTTTCAAGTTCTTTACGACTGATTGATTCACTGATTGATGACTAGTTGAGAGTATGCAAACATTATTGAATGGGTCATCTGATCCTTTATAAAGCTGATCCATCAATTCTGTAGCACCACGTCCTTGGAAATTTCCCAAAGCTCCAATTTTTCCAACTGAGGTAATGCTCGACATTTCCGGGTAATATTCAGCATTTGTTTACATTGAGAGTCGATTTAAACATTAAAGCCATAAATATGGTTGCTTTATTCTAGTCTATTACACAATTCAAGATTAATATTATTTTTGCTGCAGTTGCTCTTGCCAATATTTTTGTTTTGGTTGTTCTCTTCGTTTTTTCTTGCCGTTTTTTTTCTTGTTTTTTTTTTTTTTTTTCTTTTACATACATTCATAATATTCATAATATTTTATATAGGTTTTGAATTTTTTTGTGTTTTTTTTTTGTTGTAATATTTAAAGTGAGCTCCAAATAAGTATTATTATGCTTCTGGCTAAATTAATTATACATTTTCTTTACTAGAGAACTAATTACATAATGCTAAGTATGCATATATATATATATATATATATATATTTACGTATATATTTGCATATAAATGTGCACAGATAATGTGTGTGTGGGTGTGTGTGGATGTGTGTGGATGTGTGTGGATGTGTGTGAATGTACGATCATTTGCATTTGCCATTCATTTCATCTTTCATCTCTCCAGTCAAGCGTGCTTCTAATCATACATTATGCATATGCTTGGTTTTGTGAAGTGTGTGTGTGTGTGTGTGTGTAAGTGTGTGTATGTGTATGAATGTGTTTATGTTTGTGTGTGTATTTGTGGCATGATTACTAAACGTTTTAAGCGCTAGCATATATACTACATACATATATACTAAGAACTGTACAGCTACTAATTTACGTTAATTGTTTTATAGTTCATTTATTTCCAACATTTTGGAAAGCGGGGGAAAAAACTGGGTAGCGACGTAAGGGGGAGCGAGGGGATGGGATGGGGGATTGGTTAGTAGCCTAATTAGCGAATAGCCAAGCACAGCTGCTGGCCACGCAGAACGAATGACGCACAGACAACTCCAGTTGTAGCAATAGCATTCTAGGGTATACGCACAGCACGGCAAATCGGGGGGAGCCCATCGGAGGTCCACCTAGGATTTGCGCACAATGCGTATGACCCTTGTGGACTATGAGGCAGCCGTCTGATCCAGGAGCCTGTAGTTCTGGAATGTCTTCCATTCGCCGGTGTTGTAGTCCAGGCGGATGTGCGATTCGACCAGGCACAGCGCCGTGTTGCCATCCTCTTGTTGCACTTTTTCCTGTGAACGTTTAAATTAAAGTGAATAAATTCTGGACACAGATCTATGCGAAGGACACGCACCTCGGTTTCGCCCAGTTTGATGACCAGCACATTTTCAGTATTGGGCCGCGGATTCTCGCGTAGTCCGGCCATAAAGCCCAAGATGAGCGCCTTGTCTGGTCGCGAGACGCGATTCGCCTTGCGGAACATCTCGTGCGCCTTGTGCACGTGCTCATTCTGAAGGGGCGGAGAGCGAGAGATTAGACTAGGTTTTTAAATCTGAAGAGTTGGGAAATTGCTTACCGATAGCGACAAGCCGCGTCGCTGTGGCGCCTGCTGTGCCGCCGGAGCTGTCGTCTGCTGCTGCTGCTGCGCCTGCTGCTGTGTGACCTGCACCTGGACGGTGCGCGATATGGCCGCATTGTTGTTGCCCTGCTGTTGCTGCTGGAGCTGGGCGCCCGCGGTGCTCGTCGAGGTGACCAAACGCTGCTGCAGGGCCGGCTTATGCTGCACCAGTATCTGTTGTTGCTGCTGCTGGCGCGGCTGCTGTTGCGACGCCGCCGCCGCCGCTGACTGCGTTATAATCGTACGCTGCGCGCTGCTCGGCGGTGCCGCCTGCACCTGCACCAGCTGCGGCTGCTGGCCAGGACGCTGGATCAGCGTCAGGCCCTGCGGCAGCGTGGTCAATCCTCCGCCCACATTGGTCATGACTGGCCGTATTATCGTCTGCTGTGTGGACTGAAAAGCCATTTGATATTAGTTTCTCATCTCGCACAAACTTAATTCAAAGTCGGATTTCATTTCTTCTTCGCAAAAATGAATATAAACACAGACGGAATTGGACGCAAGCTGAGAGACTAAATGATTATTTATTCTTATTGTCTGATTTAGTCAGATTTAGCTAGATTTAAGCTAGATTTCTTAATCCCCTGCTAGAATAAAACGCAATCAATCATGAGCTTCGCTTACAAACTCTCGGATACTCAAACAATTCATGAGTTCGAACGAGTCATGAGTTCGAGTTGCAAACAGAAAATATTTCTTTCAAACAACTAAGCTCCAATTTTTATCTAGATTTCTAATCCCAATCAAACTCAATAGTCATGAGCTTTGTTCACAAACTTTCGGATACTCGAACATTTTATTCGCTCAAACGAGTCAAAACTTGACTCAAGCTGTTCGAGTTGCGCACAGAAAATCGTTCTATCGAACAAATTAGTTTGAAAGGATGGAACGAACGTTTCGTATGTCTGAGCCAATTGCTCGAACTTGTTGAATGCTAGAGTGTTTCGCTTTTCGCTTAATTCGCTGTGAATTTAGTCTGTGGCACCCAAGATGCAATCTCGAACTTGTTGCTGACTCGGCTTAATCCGAATGACTAACCGTATGAAAAACAACTCAACTGAATACTATATAGAATATATGCCATGTATACGCAGAGGCATTTGATCTGCGGCACCCTCTTGCCTGCCTTCGCTTTATGGCTCTGCCCGCCTCGAGCTGTTGCACTTACATTGCCAATGACACTCGTCGGCGTCTGCTGCTGGACGATGACATGTTGTCCCCCAATCGTGTTGGTTGGTATCAGCGTGGGCATCAGCTGTTTGCCGGGCTGCACGCTCTGCTGCTGCTGCGGGGTCTGCTGTTGCAGCTGTATGGTGTGGGGCTGTACGCTCGTTGACGCCGTCGTCTTGACCAGGCTGGGCGGACCGGCCGCCGTGGTTGTCATGAGCGTAGCGCCCGCACCGAGTCCCGGCAGGCCGCCCACATTGCTAATGGGTATCTGATACATGTCGCCGCCAATATTACGCAATATGACGCCTTTCTGGGTGAGTATGATGGTCTTGTTCTTGCCCGCCGTCGTCGGTGAGACATTCAGTGTGCCGCCGGCTATGGTGCCGCCGGGCTGCATCAGCACCTGCGACAGCTTTGGCTGTTGCGTTGCCGTCGTATTGGCCACAATCGTGTGCTGCGGATGCGGCTGCTGTTGCTGCAACTGTGCCTGCATGTGTTGCTGCTGTGCCGCCTGCGAGGCGGGCTGTATGGTAACCGGCCGATTCGGCAGCTGCACATTTTGTATATTGAGCGTCTGCTGTCCGGCGGCGAGCGCTGCATTGGTGGCCACCAGCGGCGGCGGATTATTGGACACCAATGTTGTCGCCTGCTGCTGCTGCTGCTGCTGCTGACGCAGCGGCGTCATGACCACGCCCGATGTGCCTGTTGTCTTGAGCAAGATCTTGGTGGGCGTCTGGCCGGCGCCGCCACCCGCTGCCGTCTGATAAAGCGTCGCTGTCTGCGGCGCCGGACGTGTCTGCGTGAAGGAGGTGAGCGTGGGCAATGCCGGCTGCTGCTGCTGTTGCGGCTGTGGTGCAGCCAGAATGTACTGCGTGGTTTGAGGATGTGACAACTGTTGCTGCTGCAGCTGCTGTTGCTGCTGCTGTTGCTGCTGCTGCTGCGCGGCTGCTGCCGCTGCGCTGGATGTGGCGCCCTGCTGCTGCTGTTGCTGCTGCTGCTGCTGTTGTTGGGCTCGCTTGGCGGGCTGTATAATGGTCTGCGAGATGATGACCGGACCGCTATTGGCCGCCGTCTTTAGCTGACTCAGCGGCATGGTCTTAATAGCCTGCGAGGGTATTGTTGTTGTTGTCGTGCTGCTGCTGCTGCCGCTGGCGCTGCTGCTGGCTGTCAGGAGAGGTTTCTGGAAAAAGAGCCGCTGCTTTAAAGACCAGACTTGACTTAATTATTGCATGCACTTACCGCACGCTGCGCGCTGGGCGTGGAGGCCAATATGACGGGCGTGGAGCTGTTGATCAGTATGGGCTGCTGCTGCTGCTGTTGCTGCTGCTGCTGTGCAGCTGCTGCGGCTGCTGCTGCAGCCTGACTGCTGCTGCTGCTGCCGGCGCTGTTGCCTGTTGTTGCTGCTGCCGCTGCCGCCGCCGCCTTGGCCTTGGCGGAGGTTATCTTAACAGAGATATTGTTGGGCAGATTGGCCAGCGGACTGGCCGCCTGTCGCAGCTGCTGCGGCGTCAATATGGTGGTTGTCGTGGTCGCTGTGCTGCTGGTGCTGGCGGCGCTGCTGTTGTTGGGCACGCTTGAGGCAGCCGCTGCGCGCAGCATGGGCTTTATGTCCAGCTTCTCCAACTTGATGGTGGTATTGCCCACGGTTGTGGTGGCCGTGGCCATTGCCGTTGTTACTGCTGCTGCCGCATTGTTGTTGTTATTTAGACGCTTCGGCTGCGGCGCGCTGCGTATAAGCAAATTTTGTGCCCGCTGCACCGGCTGCTGCTGTATAATAATGCGCTGCTGTGACGTGGACGTGGGCGTGGTGATCACCTGCGGCTGAGCGACGCGATTGGGCGTCGTCGGCTCAATCTTCTCCAGCTTTATGTTCGCCGGCACGATAATCTCCTCGCTCTTGATCTCGATTTCCTGCTTAATGCGCTTCGGCGTTTGATGATAACTATTATTATTATTATTGTTGTTATTGTTGCTGTTGTTGTTGTTGTTCAGCTTGGCCGCCGTCTTGGCTGCCTTCGCCTTGCTCTCCGCCTTGCGTGTGGGCGTGGCCACCACAGCCGGCGCATTGGTTGGGGTAAACTGCAGCGTAGCAGCTGCTGCATATTCGGGCGTGCCCGGCGTCTCCGGCTGCAGTGCAGCCTTCGCCACCAGCTCGGGCGTCTTGAAGTCCTCGTCCATTTGCTCCTCCAGGCTGCCGCTGCTTTGGTTTAGCTGTGGCTCCAATTTGATTTCGAAACTGTTATTAGCCGATGTGGGCGTGGTTGGCGTCTCACCCACGCTCGCATTGGCCACCTGCGACGCATCCGTGGGCGGACTCTCGCTGTTGTTATTGCAGCTGGCAGCTGCTGCGGCAGCAGCCGCTGCGGCGGCCTGTTGCTTCTGTTCCTGTTTCTTTTGCTGCTCCTCCAGCTGTTGTTCGCGCTTGCGCTTTTTAGCGGCGGCATAGCCCAGCGGCTGTTCGGTGAATTCGAGTATCTTGATGCCACCATCCTTGCGGCCGGCTGGCGTTCGGCTGAGATTGGGCCGCTGCGCGTTGCCCGGCACGCTGGGCGAACGAAAGCCCGTGGTCGGCATGCGTGAGGGTATGCCCTTCAGCGGCGTTGTGTCCGTCATTTTGCGCGGCATGCCGCGTGAACGCAGCGGTATTGTCGGCGCCGATGACTTCTTCAGCGAAGATTGCGCATCCGCCGACTTGTGCAGCAGCTCTGTGCGCAGCTGAGCGCTCTTGGGCTTGCGCTTCAGCGTGAAATGCTTAACTGGCGCCGGCTGTTGGCCAACCTGGAGGAGATGTGCAAAGGTTAAATGCCTGCTGACTGCATTTGTGGGGCTGGGCAACTACTTACCACCGAGATCAACGCATTTTTGTTGAGATACTGGCACTCCAGGGGCAGCATGCCCAGATCTGAGTGCTTGGTGACCAATTTGCGCAGATCGTTGACCATATCGGTGAATATAGGTCGCGTGTCCTCGTAATCTGAGATTTCTGTGTTCAGCGAACTGGTCGCCGGAAATGTTTTCATCGTCTCCGCCAGCATCGAGACCCATAATTCCGAATCCAGACCGGCAACTTCGATTACCTCCTCCAACTCGCTTTTCCACTGCAAATTAAATTGATAACATGCATCAAAGTTATTGTAAAAGAAATTCATATTAGAATCTATAAATTGTGCAAAAACTGTTCATGTACAGTAAAAGCTCGGCGGAACGAACACCTATGATTCCAGCTGTTTTCTCCTTTTCCCGTGAAGGTTTTAAATCCAGTTTTATGTGCATTTTCTATGGTTATAAATCAAACTAGATGTGTGTAAACTTCTTCTTTCTTTTGATCAATATATATACAATCATAAGTACTTCCTGAACGCAAATATGCTTTATTCCGGGTGTTACATGTTTAAACAAGAGAATTAACCCTTTTTTTCCCCAATTTTCAATGAGTTCGGTGCATAAAAATAGTGTTTGCAATCAACGCTTGAAAGTTAAAAAAGTTGTCCACACAAGCGAGCTTTCACTGTACTTTTAAAAAAGCGCTACGACCAGCTTTTGTTATGTTAACAGCATGTTAACATTGCCTACGCCAATGTTTTGATAACAGCAATTTTATTTTATTGTCATTTATCAGCATTATTAATGTGTAACAGGTTTCTGTAATAACATAATTTTTGTTTTTGGGGTAGGGGCACATCTTCATCTTAATAAAATACACATATATGTTTTTGATCAGCAGCAACAACCGCTGTTAAAGTTAACATTGTCCACACACACACACACACATACAAACACAATCAGATTCCCATTAGTTCACAAATAACTGTTTCCTATTTCGCAGTAGTTCATCAAAAAATAAACAAGGGTAACAAATGGCGACACACATTCAACAGTTTTGTATTGACCACCCGCTTAACGCCCACGCATACACACACAAAACCAAAATAAAAAAAAGCACCAACACTGAACTCTCCTATACGCACACATGTGCAAACAAGTCGTTCGCGCAGAAGTGGCGGGAAATATTTGTATCTCTTAGGGCCACAAAAACAACACACAACCAACACTTGTATGTATGCGTTGTCACATATAAATATATAGGGCATATTTGACTTTTTACATTTCACGGTTATTAACAGAGATTTGTTTGCATTTAAGGGTTCGCAGCACCATAAACTCTTCACCAACGCAGCATGTGTGCGTGTGCGTGCGCGTGTTTGTGTGTATGTGCATGTGTGTGTATGTGTGTGCGTGTACATGCTGGTGTACTTTTTTTCCACTTTGTATTACACGAACGAGATATTGAGATTTACCTCTTCGACCAGACGGCGCGGAATATGCAGAAAACTGAGCAGCAATTTTAACTTGACCTGCGTCTGCAAATCGGGAAAACACTCTTTGATGTTGCGCAAAACCTCCTTGTTTAATTGCGAGCATATTGAACCATTTATCCACGAATCGTTTGATGTGCCCAGTTTATTATGCAGCCACAGTGATGTGTCGCTGTCCCTTACGTTCGCCATTTTAACGTTTACGCGTAAACACACACGGCGCACATAAAACTTAGCACGTCCAACGATTAAACACAATATTGCAGCGCAATTTTCAATTAATATTAGTTTTTTCTTTAGTTTTTGACGAAAAACACACACGAAAAACCCGTGGAAAATTGTAATAGGAAGCTACGACTGAAAAAAGTGTTGCCACATGTCAGATATAAGTGTGTACTCATGATGCGCTGAACGTAAACGAATACTGCAACACTGGCTGATAACTAACGATGTATCGATATGCTTTGCAGCCCTGATTTTATTTTATTATTGGTTAATATTTTAAATTATATTTAATAAATGCATTAATTAGTCGAATTATTAATAATTTTTACTAAAAAGGACGTTTACTTTCTTTATTCAATTAATCAAATAATATAAGATGTTATTAAGAGTAACAGCCGGATACACATACGATCAGCTGTGATTTGTTATTGTCTGTTTTGCAATAAAGTTTATGTATATTTAAATGCAATGGAAATTTTAAATGAAAGCGCACAAAAATCTGTTAAGAAACAGAGCATGTCAACGGGCGGTAAACTCCTAATTGGCGTGACTGGTGGCATCGGAATCGGCCTGTCAATTGTGTGCGCCTCGTTTGTGGCGCCCGCCTTTCGCAAATTCTGCCTGCCCTATGTGCCGGCTACAACAGAGCAAATACAAAATGTATTACAATTCCTGCCCAAAAATGCCAGCGGCAAGCTGCTAGACATTGGCTCCGGGGACGGACGCATCGTTGTGGGTGAGTTACAGTTATGGCGCGCTGCAAATCTTTTGTAAAAGCTTATGTAATCTTCTCTAGCGGCGGCCCAGCATGCCAAGGGCCTGAAGACGGACGGTGTGGAGCTGAATCCTTGGCTGGTCTACTACTCCCGGTTGGCTGCACTGCGCCATGGAGTTGGCCAGCAAGCCCGATTCTTTCGACGCGATCTCTGGAAGTACAACATAAGCGAGTACAACTATGTGGTAATATTTGGCGTTGAGCAAATGATGCAGGATCTGGAGCACAAACTGATTGCGGAATGTCCGCACAATGCCAAGATCATAGCCTGTCGCTTTCCGCTGCCGCAGCTGCAGCCGGCGCGCATCATCGAGAACGGCGTCAACACGGTCTGGTTCTACGATCTCCGGGAACAGAGACAACCAGATGGGCTCCCGGCTGCAGTTAATCAATTAAGTTGATATGTTTTATTTATTTCAGTTAAGTTTTATTGCTTTTTGTGCAGAGAAAAACCATATACTTAAATGAAATGCTCGAGAATGTGGGGGAGACAGTCGGATCGATCGTACGCATCGATGTGTACACTGGACCCGATGTGGTCAATACTAGAGGACAGCCGTATAAAAGAGTTTCACGATAAATATATAAATGACAGATTATTAAGATTATTTAAGAACAACTAATGCACATAGACAGTTAATTAGGAAACCATAAAGACCAGATGCGCAGGCAGTGTTCACGTGGATGAGGCCCATTGATGGGGCTTGTGCGCGAGATCTTAGTGTCGACTGCTAAAAGCGCCGCCCCAAATAAATGCACTTGCTGCGCCCGTCGCGATAGACCTCAACAAAGCCAATCTTCGTGTAGAAGTTCATCTGCTCCTTATCCTGTTCGGGCACACAGACGTGCACACCAAAGCAGCCGTTGGCGCGCAGCGCGGCCAGCAGGACGGTCAATAGTCGCTTGGCAATGCCGTTGTCGTGCTGTTCCGCCTCCCTTAGAATGGCGGCGCTTATTACCGCCGGAAAGGTGCCGCACACCTCGGTGGGACACAACAGCTCCTCGTCTCTGTGAAAATCCTCTATGAAACGCACGCTCAGCTTGTGGGATTTGCTGTTGTTGCCATCGGCTACAGTTTCTAGCAAAGCTTTTGGATACTTCTCGCGCAGCTCCGTTAGCCAGCAAACCTCTGTGTTGCGATGAAAGATATTTATGTCCGGGGCAGCGCAGACATATCCAACAATCGCGTCGCTCTGATCGTAGGCCACAAGGCACAGCTCCGGATGAATAGTTAAATGCGCCCCGACTAAGGCATCGGCAACAATATCGCCCAATGGAGCGGGCAGCAAGATCTCATCGCCATCCGGCTCGCTCTGCCACTGCAAATATGTGCGCGTACAGATCTTGTTGACCTGCGGCTCATCGGAATTGTGATATGGTCGCAACAGATAGTAATTGGCCGTCGGTTGCTCGGGCAACTTGTAGACAAACAAATCGTTACCCGAATCGACGGGCATCAGGCGCTGCAAGTCGGCCGTGAGGCCGCCGCGAAACACCCAAGGCTCCTGATCGCCAGACATGAACGCCTCTTTCCAGCCTTTGCTAAACCCTGCAAAGAAACGGGAAACATTCCCAAATGAGTTGCCGTAAATATTGGATATAAGCTCAGCGAACTTACACGTGTAGCTGCCCTCCGTGTAGGAGGACATGTTCGGCGGGAACTGACCCAACGCCAGCCACTTGACATAGCAATTGAGCAGCGACAGCGCACCGGATATGTCCCACACATACGAATACAAATCATGGCATATTTCCTTGTTCTCACAATTTGCAATTTTGATCAACAGGTCGAGAACGCCGCCGCACAGCTTGGAGAAGAATTCGGAGCGTTGCAGCCATTCGCTAATCTCGGGCTTGATGGCCTTAGCATCGGGATGGCCGCCGCCAGCGGCGCGATCGTGGAGCAGCACATTCGCATTGACTTTCAGCCATTGGAACTCGCTGAGCAGCTTCAGGCCACGACTGCCGTGCTCAAAGGGTAAATAGAATAGATCACAGAGCAGGCTTAAATCATCTAAATTAATCTTGTTCTCGCTAGCAATTGATCTGAAAAATAGACTATGTTAATAAGTTGCCGATTGAGTTGAATTAGATGTTTACTTGTTCGCCAAATCTTCCAGCTCCTCCTCCTCCGCCTCGTGCATCTCCGCATTAGACTCTGGCGACCCCGAGGCGCTTTCCACGTGCATGCTCTGCAAGAAAAATAAATTAATCTCAGTTAAATTGTTGAATTTTCGAATGGGCTTTCCCGCTCGGGGAATAATAAAATAAAATATAAATAACAGCCCACGGTAGATACGTAACTCTACCCGTATTAGGGTAGAAATCCCAGCTTATTACAATGCTTCCCGGGTTCCCAGCTTCCCGGCTTGTCAATCAACTGTAAAAGACAGTGTTGCACATATTTAGATAGCTTACATTAACATCGTTGACCGATTCCTCCATGACGACATCATCGCCAGCCAACTTGATAGCTTCCTTTGGCGAAATCTGCGAGTTAATGCTGCTGCTGCACTCCATGGGCTCGTTGGCGCTAGCGCTCAAGGGACTCAGACTGTTTTCATCCAGCATGGTGTCCACATTCAAATTGGCCACCTGGTCGCGCTTCTCAGCTATGAGAATATCATCGGCAGCAGCCGGCGCGATGTCGACTTTGCTCACGTCCGGCGCTGGCTCCAGCTTAGCTGCCGGCTCGAATGCTTCACAGCTCAATTTGATGGTCTCCTCAACGCTCTTGGCCTCCATTATGGGCGCCGGCACAATCGAGATGGGTATCTTTTTTGGCAACTCAATATTGGATGCAACTGTTGTGGGTATGGGATTAATGATCTCGTCATTGGTCACAACTTTCGTCGGCGACACCAAAGAGTTCATCACCGGATTGGAAATGGGCGTCAGCGAGGAGCTAACGGTGCTGCAGACATCGGCCAGCGCCTGGAGCTGGGTGGTGTTCACCTCGGGCACCGTGCGTGTATTTGTCGACGTTGTTGTCGTCGTCGTCAGGGTCATGCATGTGTTAATCGACGGTATTATAGGAATTATGGGCATGACCATTTCCACCTGCGGCTGCGGCTTGGTTATCGGTCCAAAGGCTTCCTTTGCCACAAAAAACTCCGGCAGCCACTCGCTGATAGCATTTCTATAGGATTAAAAGCAACTCATGTGTCAATCCAGTTAATAATATTTCTTCGACTTACTTGAGCGCCAAGCGCGGATGATAGACGTTCTTGGACAGACACTCCACGGGAAATTCGTCCTCGTTTTCAGTCTCCAGCTTAATATCAGCGCTCAGGGAGCTGTTCATCTTTGCGTCCAGACTGCAGCGCGACCAGAAGGCCAGCGTATGCACTGCTATGAAATTGCCATAGAACTCGCAATTCGGATTGGTCATAACACCACGCAGATAGGGTATCAGCTCCGGCGAACGACCCGAGTACGGGCCAAGGAAGACACGTTTCTGATCGTAATCGTTCGCATGGAGATTATCCCAAATGACAGGCGGACGACGCAGTATCTCGGTTATTTCCCGTATCGATTCAATCGTCACAATCTTTGATATCACCTTGTCACCCGTCCAGAGTATGTCGATGTCGTTGTTCAGCTTGGAGCCCAGCGTGTTCAGATATTCCGAATCCGCAACGCTGGGCACAGCACGCGAGGCACAGTATTGCGTGGGGCAGAAGAGAAACTTTGGACTGCCCAAATGGGTGAAAATCTCATTGGTCACCGAGACCTGGGCGTTGGCGAATGTCTGGAACACCTCTTTGTCGGCCTTGGACAGCTCCGATTCAATGTCATCGAAGAGCAGGGCATATGCCTCGCAGCCAAACTGTGATACCTGATCTAGCTTACGCTTGAGCGTGCCAATCTCCTTTGGGCTGCTATAAGTCATATCCAGACCCGGCGACAGGGCATAGTAGAACACAATGCCCGCTTCTTTGGCGGCCGAAATCAGACCTACAAATAATTGCAGCATTTGCAATATGAGCAGGTTTTGGTTGAAATTACAAATAAATACTTGATAAGTGATCCGCCTCCTCGACCGTGTAGAGCTCACGCCAGTAGGCGCGGTGCTTGTAGTCATCTTTGGGTGCGTACATATACGAGTCCATGCCCAGTTTTTTTAATTTGCGAAACAAATCTTTTCGCTGTTCGGTTGTCCATGGTCGGCCGTAGAAGCCCTCAATTACGCCGCAAATGAATTGGCGTTGACGATCCTGTGCGGTATGCTCTAAACTTTCACATTTTTCCCTCATGTGGCCGTCTTCCATTTTCACAGAATCAGGATAAATGCGAGTTAAATGATTATTTATTTCAGCAAGCAAACGCTAATGCGGCAAACGTATTAGTGGCCTTTTGTCAGTGTGACCGCATTTCGCATATGCAAATATTCGGGCGAAAACTATGCACAACTGCAGCATCGATAAGTATCGATAAATATATTTTGCCGATAAGTAGTCATAAAAAGGATTTGAATGTTATATATTATTATTATTTTTAAACTTTAATGGTCGACAAAACGAGTGCCAATATAAGCATTGAATAGATACGATTAGAAAAATAAAAAGCTGAATTACGAATCAGAATACAGAAATGTCGTACACGTAGGTATGAATGAAGGCCGATATTTCCTGGTAGATCTGGAGAATCGAAAATTGAAGACGAAACAGAAGAAGAAATGAATCTATGTCGCCGACAATCAACTTAGGTAGGATTAAGAAGAAACAAAGCAGAAATTGCATCTGAACTAAATTAAGGCTGAAGCCGGGCAAAGCCGGGTAATGCGTACTGGAATAGATTTTCACAAGCAAAGTTCAATTTAGCTTGTAGTTCATAAGATATTTCGCCAGCTTAGTTATCTTAACAAAACTCATGAATCGTAATGATGAACTTTCACAAATATATTATCTTGTGGCCGGCACAGAAACCGCGATACTGAGCGATAATCAACAAATGTTATCAGTTTGGCACAGAGTATATAAATCTGTGGACTCCGTTGAGTGGAAATAGTTAAAGTCCACGTTTCAGTCAAAATGGATTTATATTATTCGCCTTATTCAGCGGCCAGTCGGTCGATCCTTATGACTGGCAAGGCAATTGGTGTTGAGTTCAACAAGAAAGTCATAAACATTGTCGAGAATGAGCACCTGAAACCGGAATTTGTGAAAATCAATCCACAACATACGATCCCTACGATCGTGGATAACGGCTTTGCTTTGTGGGAATCGCGCGCGATTCTGGTTTATCTGATTGAGAAATACGCCAAAGACGATGCCCTTTATCCCAAGGACCCGAAGGGACGTGCTCTCGTCAATCAACGCTTGTACTATGATATGGGAACGCTGTATAGGGCCTTTGCGGATTATTACTATCCTCAGTTCCAGAAGAAGGCGCCAGCCGATCCGGAGCTGTTCAAGAAGTTGGAATCGGCTGTGGAAATTCTAGATATATTCCTTCAGGGTCAGCTGTATGTGGCTGGCGATAGATTGACGATTGCGGACATTGCCATTCTGGCGACAATTTCGACTTTGACAGTCGCAGACTTTGATCTGAGCAAATATTCCAATGTTAGCAAGTGGTACGAGAATGCAAAGAAGGTGACACCCGGCTGGGACGAGAACGAAAAGTCTCTAAAGGAATTAAGGGTTCTGGCTGAAAAAATGAAGGCACAATGAGTGCACATTCAATAAATTGAACTCAACGTATAAGCTTGTGTTTTATTAAAATACTCATTCAATAAATAACAAATCCCTTTGATTTTCGCGCGTTGTTATTCGGTTGAATTCTTAACGGCTTTTTCATTTAGTATTTTTAATTGATACTTGTATCGATAACTCATACTATCGAAAGGCATCGATATGTCTGCACAGTTATGTGCTGCAGTATTTTTGTGATATTCGGCTTGCGGTCGCACTGCTTGCTGGTGTTTTTATTTTGTTTTCGTTTTGCATTAAGAGTTTAAGGTTTTTAATTTAAGTAGCAACAAATGCAACCATTTATTGTTATACGCAACTACCGGGAAGATGACGAACTCAAATGCCAAGAGCTGGTGCGCGATTACATCATGTCATTCTCCTCAAAGTCTTTCTTTGCGTTCTGCTTTCGTGAGGTAAGCCGACAATTGCGTGACTTATCTATGCCCCAAGCGTGGGCGCATCTTGTTAAGCCGCCGCCCTTTGACCCGATCAAGTGGTGATATTTGTAAATCTAAATTTCAGATAACACTACAATTCATAGTCATCACTTGGGCCATATTCTTCATATTTCTGGGCGTGCCGCTGCTCTTCTGCGTGCTCACGATACCCGGCTGTGTGTTCTTTCTCTTCACCAGCACCTACTTCTCCTTCTACGCCAAGGCAGTGGAGCTAATGAGGGTATGTTGTTAGATAAATCAATGCCTAGTATTGCTAACCTTACGGTTTTTAGGAGAAGCCAGCCCAATCCTTGGTTGCCGAGTGCTACGAACCGTTCATTTTTCGGTGTGCACCAAACGAGGCTAGCTATCAAATCTTTATGGATCAAGCTCCATATGATGAATCGTATAAGAACAAGTTTCGTCGACGCATTGTGGCCACCATTAGCGTTAAGAATCACCATGCTGTCTACAATGCCGCCTGGATATATCGCTTTGCCATTGCCAAGCTGTATCCACACAAGAAGATTATGGAGCCCATGATCAGTATTGTCTCGAAGAACTGCGTCAATGCCGGCTACGCCTCGCTGGAGTGCACAATATCCGAGTGGCAGGAGAGCGAGCGTGACTTCTACGACGACCTAGGCTTCGTTACCCGCCAGATCTATCACAAACAAATCATTGGCAGCAGCGTGACCGTAATGAAAACCCAATTGACGTACAATTTGAAGACAGATGATGCGCTGCAAAAGCAAAACTAGTAGGATGTAGAAAAAAGACTACATAGAGAATCTCGGGAAACTTAACTGTGAAACATAAAGCAATATTATATTTGTTTGTAATTTATATTCATATTGTATTGTATTGTATAAACATTCCCAAACACGCGATGTCCGCAGTCCACACGAATTTATTTATGTCCCATAAAAGACATCGCATTTTGTATTAAGTGAAAGATGTTAGTTTCGTTTTGTCCTGCTTTATTATATATATATCTTGTTTATTCTTTGACATATTCTATTTAAATAAATAAAATATATATTAATAAATAAAACTTGCATGCAGCTAATTATACACTTTCTTGAATTTGTAAGTAGGTACATTTATTTCTCTTTCTTTGATGCATTCCTCTCGGGGATTAGCCGCTGTAGTACTCTTTAATTGTATAAAAAGCTTTGCCAGAGTTGTTTAACTAATTGCAATTTGTATACATTTCTGGGCTACCCTGGCAGAGCTCCTCTAGCTTGGGCTGGTCGTAGATTAGATTGAAAGTTTTATCTTACAATATCGGACTCTAATTGGCAGACTTATTTTCTTAAATGCTTATGTAGTTCTGCTAGGGTATTACAACTTCGGCCGGTGCCGATGCCGATGATGTTTCAAGTTTTGGTTTTCTTATAGAATTTAAATAGTATCAGCGCAACTAATGCTTAAAAAAATAAACTGGAGCTGCCGTGTGGCGCAGTCCGTATTTCAAATGTAACTATTTATCTTTTTTTTTTGTTTCTTCATGTTTCAACTATATATTTAAAGCGTGTTTCGAAAACTGGCTGTGAAATTAGCATAGTTTTTCTTATATTTTTGTTTTCTTTTGTTATTGTTTCAGGCCATTTGCTGCCATTGTTTAATAGTTAAGAACCACTCAAAAAGTTTAGGTAATTAATTGTTTTGGTTTCGTCGCAGGCTGCAGCTCGCTCGGGGCAGCGTTCAGCCATTTAGAAGAGCTTAACGCGTCGCTTCAGCTCGTTGCGCCTCCACTGGGGCAGCCTGTAGAACTCAGATCTGGCGCACTGCAAGATGTGCTCGAACTCGATGTCGGACAAATGACGCTGTGGATTGAAGGGAATATTAGAATTTATAGATAAAAAAAATCTGGTTATCAAATGGAGCCCACCTCCAGGTTGCAGCGATCAACGTCGGATGGTAGACGATAGTTCGTTATAAGCAATATGTGATACGGATAGATCTTGGCCGGCTCGTGCACCAGCATCGAGTGCGCCATATTGGGCAGGCTGCGTCTAATGAGTCCTGCCTGCGGATAATGATAGGACAAGGCGCCCGAGTATGTGCTCGAGGCGGGCAACTCACCGCCCATCAGAGCGCGCCTATCGCCCTCAGTAATTGAGTCCACCGAAGCTGCAAAAAGAAGTTAAACATATTAATCTGTAAAACAGAAAGCAAAGATAATACATTCTCCCCAGTTGTGACAGGAATTTCCCGAATTTCCATTCAAAATTCTCACTGACATCACAAAAGCTAACTTCTGTACAAAATTAAAATTTCTAGCTCCTTCGATTTGGCCAGCGCGTTGATAATCAATCAGTCAGTCAGTCAGTCAATCAATCAGTCAGCCAGGACAAAAAGTCTTAAGGAAGGTAACCCAATATGTTGATAAACTTCAAACTTACCCTCTGATTTGCCGCAGCTCAAGTCCGTGCTGTGCGTTTTGTCGCCCAGACCTCCATACGAGAAGTCCTGTGTGCAATGTGGAAAGGTAAAATCGATTAGACTGATGTACGCAGGACTTTGAAGGCATGCCAGAAACCGAAATGAAAAGGAGAACAGTGCGTGACTACGAAAGTGTGCGTAAGTGTGATTGATGGCTTGGTGACCAACTAGAAAAGAAGAAGCTAAGGCATTCCAGGTAACAAAAAGCTCTACGAGAATCGAGATAAAAAAATAAAAAAAAAAGGGTGGAAAAGCAACAACCAAAGCATTCTTACGGTGGCACCATGCATCGTGGCGGCGGCGGATGTTGTGGAACTGAATGTGTGAGAGCGTGGGGCCAAGCCGTATCCGGGTTTGGGTACATGACGCAGAGCGCTCACCACTGAGCCCGAGTTGTGTGTGTGATGTGATGTGATGTGATGTATGTAAGATGTATGGCATGATTGATGTAGTGTGATAATTGTTAGTGATAGGTGTGGCAGGCACATAGATAGCATAGGCAAAAAACGCACACACACACACACACACACACACAGATAAAGACACAAGGCACAAGGAAGCAGCAGACCAACCAGTTGAGATTATAGTTAGTTAGTAGACCGAACCAAGGAACCGAGCCGGAGCGCAGCAGCCGCATCAACGGGTGGAGAAAGAGAGAGACAAATGGAGTTTTGGGTGAGTGAGCAACAGGAGTTAGGCAAGTGTTACTTAAAGATACGACAGTTACAGAAGGCTGTTTAATTTGGTTTAGCTACAAAATGCCAGGACAATTTGACTCAGACAGGCAAGCAGGGAGCAGCCAGTCCCAGTGCTGCCAGCACTTACGGAGCTGTAGCCGTTGCGTATGTAGGGCGGCATGGTGCTCGTTTTGAATCCATATCCGGGCTTGGGCGGCGAGCGATAGGAATGTATTGCTATAAACGTAATTGGTCCAGATATAATATATATATATATATAGGTTGACAAAACTGAACCGAACGAAACGCGCCTACGATCAGGTTCTACAAACTAGCCCTAGCAACAGGGCTGCAAACCTATTCAAAGCCTAGCCGGTTCGATAATCTACACAATTACTCTCTTCGAACTTGTACAAATAATTTAATAAATATTTTAGCTACATTTTTAGTTTCAGAAAGGACTAACAATTCATGCTCTGAATGTGTGTGTAATATAGATTCAGATTAGGTTCCATGAAAGAGGTTCTATTGGAAATTTTAATTTTCCAACGATTGTTTATTTTGGATCCATATAGTAATGCTCCTCAGTATATCTAGAATATATATAGAAAAACAAAAACGCTTTTCAAATAAATCTATAAATATTACGAGAGGTTTCTTTACATAGACAGACAGACGGACAGGAGACATGGCTAAGACCTGGCTATATCGTCTTGGATACTGAACAAGAGTATGTATACATATGGAGCTGTCTCCTTGTATGCTATATCCCCTTAATTACAAACTATAATACCCTCTAATGGATTACATAATAAATTGTCCCGAACTGCTCTTCGAACACAAATCGAGCCTCAAGGCTATTTTTGTGAGATTTGCGGCCGTGTCTGGCACTTGTCTAATGTTTACCATTGTAGCTGGGCGCATTGCCCAGCGATTTGCCCAGTGAGCCGCGATAGCTGGTGGATCGATCGAACATCTCATCCTCGTAGAAGGGCTTCTGATGATCCAGATTGCGCGACGGCGACGCGCCGATGGGCGATTCGTATCTGTTCGACGCACAAAGTTTAGATTCGTATATTAAAGATTTACTTGAGAGGCCTACCTCAACTTATATACCGGCTCCTTGGAGGCTGATGGCGTGCGCGAGGCATTGCGCGGATCCAGATTGTTTTGCTTCCATTTCCTGTACTTGGCGTGCTCCTTAAGGTCCTTGGCAATGACCGAGCAAATGCCCGAGTTGAGCTTCTCCAGCTGCTCAGCCTCCCGATGCAGGCGTCTAGAATGCGAAATTCAATTAGAATCGGTCAAAGTGGTTTAACAGATACCCTAGCGCTTTTTTTTTCTTTTCTCTGCTCCAATACGAAATTTTTCACTCTTGATTAACTGTTTTTACGATTAGATTAAATCGATTAGATCGATTCGGCATTTTTATCGATATTATGAAAATGGAAGAAGGTATCGATAGATTAAATCGATTGAAACGATTCGGCTTGAATTGATTCTTATCGATATTATAAAAATGGATGCAGATACCGATAGATTACATCGATTGAATCGATTCGGCTTGAATTCATTGTTATCGATATTATGTAAATGGTAGTAGATATCGATAAATAAAGAAGACCAAACTTGAGCGCGAATACGGTATTGTTTTTCTTCTATTTCATCAACTTTTTGTTCTGATCGCGAATATATATACCCTATAAACCTCTTCTAGACAGTTGCATACATTAACAAACACCCTACCCTGTAATCGAGGTTAACTTACGACTGCTCCTCGCCATTTTTGACCTTGCCATTGGTTCGCTTGCCGTTCTCGTTGTCCTCATCATCGTCATCCGATACGGGCACACCCTTGTAGGTGTCGCTGTAGCGCCGCCTGCGCTCCGGATCCGTATAGGGATAGGGCGGTGCCGGGAAGTCATCTCTTTCGATTTTGGGCTGTTCGCCCGGTGGCGGCTTCTTGGCCGCCGGATAGTGCGACAGCTCAATGGGTTCCTCGTTGTTCATGCCGGGACTCTTCGGACGCGGCGTCTCCGAGCGTATGGCATCCACCAGCACCTTCATGGCGCTGCGCGTGCGCGAATGTGGACGCGATGGCGGCCGGCTGCCGGCCACGGAGCCCGCATTGCTGGTCGTCGCATAGGAGGCGGGCCTATGGAAATGCGGCGACAGTGGCGTCTTGTCGTACGGATCGATCGGCTTGCGCAGATAATGCGGTGCATCTGTCAGATAGCTATAGGTATAGATGCGCGATATATCCTCGCCAATCGGCCGGCCGTACTCGCGCAATATCAGACCCGGGCTGACGGTGCGATAGTGCTGCAATACAGAGAAGAGGGAGGGGGGAAAGGGTATACATATAGTCGATCAAGTGGCAAATCGTTGTCTCTTTATATAGTGTGACATGCGGTGCTTGGGGTTTTAGTTAAGCTTGGCTATCGCAGCTAAATAAATAAGTAAACAAATAGAACTTAAAAGTTGTTTAAATAAAATCATAAAACAAACCTTGCGGCTAGAGGAATAAACTGAACCATTAAAACTCGGTGTTCTGGAACGGATGTACTGAAAACGAACGAAAATAAATCAAAACGCAAGCTCCAAACAATTAGAAAAAAAAAAACTTAAATGCACAAAAAAAAAATAAATAAAACAAATCATAATAAAAAAGAAAAGAAAAATAAAGTGCAAAATAGGTGCGAAAGGCAGGTCAAGGTGTTTCGACAGTTGTGTGTGAGTGTGTGTGTGTGAGTGTGCTTGTAAGTGTTTGTGTGTGTGAGTGTGCTTGTAGGTGTTTGTGTGTGTGAGTGTGCTTGTAGGTGTTTGTATGTGTGAGTTTGCTTTTGTTTGTGTGTGAGGTTATGTTTCTACACTCAGAGAAAAACGGCCTAGGAAAAATTAACTTATTCCTAGAATTTTCTTACTTCAAATAAGTAAAAACATTCTCAATGTAAAAATATATGAAATTTGTATCTTATATTTAGAATTAAAGAATGTAAAAAACTTTTTAAACTAAGTTTTTTATTTTTAATTTGGCCTTGTTAGGATTCTAAAGATTTTACTTGAGTTGAGAACAAGATTTCTGAATTTTTTCCCTTGATGCTTGATTTTAACAGTTAAACTTGATTTTAAATCCAAAACAGTCTTGAATTTTTAAAATAAGATAGAAATTATTTTTAATATAAGAGTTTTGCTCTCAGTTTAAGGAATTTTGAATTTTGCCAACGTTTCCACTTGATTTAAATCAAAAATTCTTGCATTTAAAGCATTTGGAATCGAATTTAAAGGTTTAATAATTGTAAATAGTTTTTTGTTTAATAAAAACTTATACAAGATTTCGGATTTTAGCTAAATTTTGAAAGTTTTACTTATTTTGAGAACAAAATTCTTGCATTAAAGTTATTTGAGTCTTAAATTTCGGGTTTTTGGAATTATAAAGATTTTTTAAAAAACATTTATACAAAATTTTGTACTTCCGCCGAACATTTTTCCTTGATTCTAATTTTTCTAATTCTTAAGATTTCTTGGATAGAGCAATGTCCGACTCTTGCATTAAGAAATTTTGGTTATAAAATATTCTTAAAACAAGAACTTTCAGAAATTTCGAGCTTGTCACGCTTGTACGCGATTTTTTCTCTGAGTGTAGCTAGGCATTCGTATTAGTAGCAGGAGCAGGAGCAGGAGCAGATGTATTACGCATCCTGGTGCCCTATGCCATTCAGTTGACCCGAGCATAGTTTAGGGATTCCCTAGAGTCGCCCCCGCACCTACCATGTCGCTAAGCGCACTGGAGCTCATGCGATCGCATTCGGTGTCTGTAAAGTTGCCATTGGAGACGCCGCCGGTGACGGATGTGGTGCCCGGCCTGGCGCCGCCGGCACCGTTCAGTATGATGCCGGACTCGGAGGGACCGGGACCGCAGCGCGGATGCCAGATGGCGCTGCCCTGCAGGTACATTTCCTCGCCATCGCCAAAGGGATCGCCGCACTTGGTGCAGCGGGCACAGGTCGGATGGAAGTGATGATTGTCGCCTGCCTGGAGCACCTTGCCGCTAATGAAGCGATTGCAGTAGGCGCACTTGACGCCGAAGCTCTTCTGATAGCACTTCTCGCAATATGGTACCCCATCCTTGCCCATATACTCGCCATTGAGCACCGCATTGCAGGACTTGCAGCGGAAGCACCAGACATGCCATTGCCTGTCCAGAGCGACCAGCGCCTGGCCCTCCTTCAGCAGCTCGCCGCAGCCGGCGCAATCATTCGGATCATAGTCTTCCTTCAGATGCGCCTTATGCGACAGCACACCGCTCGTCACCTGCTGATGGGCGGTCGCCCGTGTCGGACTCTCCGCCGGCGGCGCCGGTGACGCAACAGATGCCGGCCGTGCTGCCGCCGCCGTTGTTGGCGACTTGACGACCGATCCGCCCGTGACGCACTGCTCGCAAAGCACCTCCTTGCCGGTGTTGGTCACCTTGCTGCCGGACTTGAAGGGCAGCTGGCACTTGGAGCAAGTGAAGCATTTCTGATGGTACGTCTTGCCCATGGTGCTGACCACCTCGCCCTCCACATACAGCTGACAGGTGGCACACTTTGTGCCATACAACCGCTGATAGTCCGGTATGCAATAGTAGGCGCCATCCTTGGTAAAGAAGCCGCCCGTGGCCAGGGATTTCTTGCATTGGCAGCACTGGAAGCACGCCTTATGGAAATGATTGTCAGCCACGCGCAGCACCTCGCCGGAGCATTTCTTTGTGCATTTTGCACAGTAGATTTTTTGTTTACCTGCAGTTAAAAGGTAGGGAGAGAGAGGAAGAAAATTAGAGAGATTACTTGAATTCATTCACGGATTACGTATACGCCGCATTGTACATATACGCTGATGTCATATGCATGTGATGCGATAATACCCCAACCTTGTGCCGTTTTGAAAGACTCTTGTCTGAGCGCAGTTCAGATTTCTTATAAATATATATATATAGATATATAAGTATATATAGTTTTTGCTTCTATATAGGTGTGTGTGTGTGTATGTATCTTATGTGACAGTCAGTCTTTCATCTATAAAAGTATATATATTCTATGTGTCTGTCTAATAAGTCCAGGCCCACTCACACACACACAAACACACACACACACACACTTAACTTATTATTCGCATGAGTCATGCGCATGGCGAGCAATTAATCTTATCATTGATAAGGCCAAGGGCGACCAAGATATCTATGTCTACAAATACACTGAAAGCTCAACTAAAGAACCTCACATTAAAAAATTAAAAAGAATATATTAACAAATATCTGGACATGTTCTGACAGCAATATGTTTAATTTTCTTGAAATATATTTTGTATATATTTCTTAAATAAATATTAAAAAGCAGAAAAGAAATGAAAAGAAATATTTTTATATGCCAACAAATAGCATTTTTAACATCAATTCTTTTGTGTTATCAAATTAGTTTTCTCAAAATAAATTTGATTTATATTTTTACAAATATTAAAAAGGAGAAAAGAAAAATTAAAGAAATTTTTTTATAAGCCAACAAATAATTTTTTCAAAATCATTTCTTTTAAATATTAAATTTTTTTAAATATATTTAAAATTTTTTTTAAAATATTGTTTACCCATATAAAAAAAAGAAAAAAATTATTGTGAAATATTTTTGTTCTTTACAATTCTTTTGAATATTAATTTTCTTAAAATATATTTTATATATTTTTTTAACAATTTTAAAAAGATAAATAGAAATAATAAGAAATTTAAATTAATAGAAAGGATATTTTTCCTCGCTTTTCTGTTTTTCTCTCTAACCTAAATATAATCAACAGCTAACTAAGCAGGACCACTGTAGCGAGCTTTCACTGTACATATACCCTATAAGGTAGGCGCAAGTGTCTAGTTGTTGTATCGGTTTTTGTGTGCACAAGTGTGGAACAACAGGTAAGCCGCAGAGCACAGGCGAGAAAGGTCTGCTCCATATGCAATTATATTAAGCTATTAGGGGACTTTCTCAACAGTTGTCTTTTGTACAATATGTATCTCTATCTGTATCTGTATCTGTATATATATATATTTACAATCATATAACATATGTTTGTATATAGATAGGAAGTCAACAAGGTGACACAGAGGTTCCCAAAGGTGCAAAGATAAGAGATAAAATAACCAGAATACAGTTTAAGCAAGCAGAATGATCGATAAGTGATAAGTGAGCGCAACAAAGACAGCGAGAGAGAGCGAGAGAGGGAGAGAGGGAGAACAAGAGAGGGAGAGCTTAGCTGATAGAGTATTTTGTTAGCCATATTTTGCGGGAGTAAAAGATATTAAATAAGGAAAAAATGTTGAAATAATAATATAAAGAGGGGGAGAATCAAGAGAGGAAGTTTATCTGATAGATAACAAGAGAAGGGGGGAGAAACAGAGCAAGAGGAGGAGGCAAAAGAGAGTGAGAGAAGGCGAGATATATATAAAGGGAAGTAGAGAGAGGCAGTGAAGTAAAGAGAGTAAAGAAGAGTAGAGATTAAACAAGTAGAGGGAGAGAAAAGAGAGAGAGAGAAGCGAGAAAGAGAGAAATAGATAAGAAAACAGAGAGGGAGAGAAAGTGAGAAATAAAGAGAGGGACGGAGAGCACATAGAGAGAGCAAAAAAGAGAAAACAGAGCGATGTAAAGGGAGAGAGGGAGAGAGAGAGAGAGGGGGAGATTGAGAGAGAGAGAGAGAGAGGCAGAGAGAGAGCGAGAATAAGATCGAGAGAAAGATGACTGGAAATATGTATAAAAACAGATTAAGAGAAAAGTCTAACAAGTGCAAGAGAGACAAATATAGAAAGATAAATAGAAAGCAGAGCTGGAGAAGTAAAGATAACGTGAGAATATATGTAATACCCTCTAAAACCCGTTGGATTTAGCCATGTGTTGTAGGATTTAAATAATATAACTAAATATCTCTCTGATAGCTCATTAAAAATGTTCCTAGTCACAAGTATTGAAAAGAAGTCAAAGTCCAAACACTTTTATATTGTCTCTACATTCAAAAATGATTCCAAATCGAAATAATTCTTTTTTAAAGGTAAAAATGCATCAATTGAACCCTGAACCCTGAACCCAACGCAACTTTTCATTATTATTTTATTTTATTTTGCTTTCGCAACGCTTTCGCTGCGAGAATATCCAAAGCATAATAAATATAAAATAGTTTAACCCAAAGCCAAAAAAGCTTTTTCTAGAACTAACTAATGTGGGGCCGTGGTGGGGTCTGTGCGGCGGACAGGGGGTAGAGGGAACGGGGAGAGATGGGGGAACTGAGGGAACTGCGACAAACACGGTCGGAACAGGTCGAAACAGAATGGAACGTAACAAATTGCCGGCCATGACGGATGTGTTGATCTTTTGTGTCGAGCCCAAAAGCCTCGATTGTTTTCAAAGATAACGAAAATAAAAATAAAACAAGTGAGAGGTTCTAGTCGGGAGCTCCCGACTAGGTGATACCCTGAACCCTCTTCTTCCATCATCGAATGCATATATATCTATTCTATTTTAGAAGCTATATGTCAAGTTTTGTGACTCTAGCTCTTATTATTTACTAAAATTGCCCAACAAAACGGGATATCGATATCGATTTTTATCGATTGCTTGAAAACGGAGTAAGTTATCGATTATCGGAAACAAACTCGATCTGCGCAGGCACTAGGAGCACCTACATCTAACATTTCTCTAGCTCTTATAGGTTCTGAGATCCCTGCGTTCATACATACGGACGGACGGACGGACAGACGGACAGACAGACGGACATGGCTAGATCGACTCGGCTATTGATGCTGATCAAGAATATATGTATATACTTTATGGGGTCGGAGATGCTTCCTTCTGCCTGTTACATACATTTGGATTTTGCACAAATACAATATACCCTTATACCCATTCTTAATGGGTTCAGGGTATAAAAAGCCAAATAAATAAAATGTGCACAAAGAACAACAATATATTGCTGCACTTTTCATGGGCAAACGGGAAAATACAAAAGTTTGTTCATTATACAATTTTCATGGAAGCTATTTGGATATGCTTATTATTTTTTCTTGTTGTTTATTTTTGGCCTTTTTTTCGTGCGTGTGGTTGACTTTGGGCTACCCTGTAAAGGAAAGCATTGCTAACGTCATAATGTATATATATACATATATATATTCCTCTATATATATGCCTATACTCCCCGATCCTAGGAGAATTAAAGAGCTATAGATCTCAAATGTTGAATAAAAGTATTGCATTCCCCATAAAAATTATCTTAAATTATCAATAGATCGGAGGTTTCATCATCGATAAATGCCGATAAAATATCCAATTATCGATAGTTTGGAAGTTTCTGTATCGATAAATATCGATGTAAAGCAACCGTTTTTTATAGCAATATATAAATGTAGCATGCACATTTTATGGCTACTTCAAACTATCGATAACTTGGGGAGAGTATTGGGGAAAATATCGATAAATATCAGTCGCAGTTTTTGAGCATATCTCAGAGATTAAACAGATGGCAATATTACGTATAGCCAGACTTTTCTTATATAAAAAAAGACGCTCTCGCGGGTAAAAAAAAAAAAGTGGCATACAAAGGTTTTTCGTGATTTTTCCCCACATGCGGTTGGAATTTCCCACATAAGGTAACTATGGTAAAAGTTTTGGATTCCTAGCTCAATCAGTCAGTCAGTCAATCAATCAGTCAGTCAGTCAGTCAGTTGGAAAAAACAGCATGTAGACATTAGAACATACACAAATATTATATAAGAGTGACAGAAGATGGACAATAGCTACGTTTGCTTAAAGAGAAATGCGATTAAGAAAAGACAGGGTATCAGGCAGTCGATCAGCTGTTTTTTTCGTGTTCGTTGTTGACTTTTTTGAATGATCATATTTGATTTTCCTTGTTGTTTTTGCTTCTCCTTTTTTTCTGAACTTTTGCAGTTCGCTTTTGTGGCGCTGTTTCGGTTACTTTTTTTTTGCTGTTCTCTGCCTCCAAATAGAATTTTTATTGATAAGCAAAGCCGCGCGCAATAAATAGCAAAAGGAACAGCAACAATACCGTTAACCCAATACCAATACAGTTGCATTCAAATGGTGACGTCTGCTCGCTGAACGAAGCTCGCAGTTAGCACACGCACGCACACACACACGTACGCACACGCACGCGTACGCTCACACATGCATACGCGCGCACACACACACAACACACTCGCGCGTAATACGCATACGTGTGCTTCGTTTCAATTAAATTTATTTTATTTTTTTTTAATGCTGCTCGCTGCTGTTTATTATGCAATCACAGACATTTTTTTTTCAGCATTTCGCATTTTGTTTATTGACTCTAAATACCCCCACCCCCTGACCACTCACCCCTCTGCCCTTTCCCCAACCCACTCTCGTTTAGCAGCTTTATGTTAATTACATGAGCCTCATGAGTTTTTCTCTGTAAACTGTGGCGAAAACTGTTATTATTTCCATGGCAGATCATCTGGGCTGCGGCTCTCGCTTTTCAGTCCCGGCTAAATAATGGAAAAAAGTTTTTATTGTAATTACGGCAGCGATTTTGTAGTGCCTCGGCTCCGGGCATGATGTCATCCGCATCGTCGTTGTCGTCGTCATCGGAGAACCGAATGCGACCCACCACGAAACGCGCGTTGAGTTCAAGTTATTTGGAGTTGTGCCACAAAAAAGACCTCACAAACTGGTTATGGGAACAACAACAACAACAACAACAACACTCGGCAGCGAATTTGAATTCAAATTTGAATTTGAGAAACAAACAAACTTGTTCCAGAGCCAGACGCAGGCGCGGGGGCAAGTCCAAGGTTTAGTTGTTGTTGTGCATATCGTTGGGCTTTGCTGGCGCTGAGAGGTCAACTGCAGGCCGCATTTTTAATTAAATCAAGCCGCGCCCCGCTCTGGCAGAACATTCCTAACCTCAAAAAACATAGCGACGCCGTTTGACGCAACCGACTGCGCAATACTCTGTTTGCAACGTAATAGCCGATGCAAACAATTGGAATGGTGTCTGCTTGGGATGAGTGCCTTCAAACTGTAGGTCAGTGGCTTTGAAACTGGAACTTAAACGAGTTGCTGGAAATTGTGAATTCGGTAGATCTAAAACTGTAAGCACAGCTGCAAATACTCTCAAACTGCGTCTAGAAAATATCGATCGTTTTGCTACGATTTGTGGGATTGGACGGGAACCTTCTTCATTAAGAGGCGAATGGCTCCAAAACTGTAGGGCAGTGGCTTTGCAACTGTGATTAATATAAATTGCATTTTGCGAATTGCAAAACTGGGCGTGGTTCGATCTATTTGGAGTATAATAACAGTCTCTGCAGATTGTGCATACGGTACGGCTTTAAAACTGTAAGCGATGTCTAGAAAATATCGGCCTTCCAAAGTATAGAGTGAGTGGCTCTAAAACTGAGAGGCGAAAGGCAGTGACCCTCAAACTGTGGTGTTGAAAACTATTTATATATCACGATTTGTTGGATTGGGCGTGATTCGATCTGTACAGGTAAAAATAGTTGAAGAAAAGTCTTCATGAATATGAAACCAGTGGCTCTAAAACTGTAAGGCTTAAGCAATGACGTTCAAACTTTGATATTGGGAAATTGGGTTGTACGATTGGGTATGATTCGACCTGTGCAGATTAAAATAGTTAAGAAAAAGCCGAAAATTGCTTTCAAACTGTAAAAGACTCCTTTATCTTCTAATATAACTGATACGTTTAAAGCACGTATTTATTCATATATGTATATGTATTCGACGGATTAAGTCTCTAGCCTCCTCAGAAATTACATTTATACGGACAGGCGGACTATGCGCATAAGCAAAATACCCCATTCCCACATCGTACAGAGCATAAAAACTGTGCGAAGACCCTGAAGAGGCCAATGCCAACTCACACAAACACACAAAATACACTCAAAGAGCTCGCAGGTTGCACATTTTGTGTGCCCCAAAACCAATCCCAGCCCCGGATCTCTGTCAGTTAAATGTGCGTCAAGTCCGTGACACACGAAAGCTTTGCGTATCGGGATAATGTCGAGGACAATGCAGGTCAAGGCTCAACGGAAAAACCGGTCATATTTAACAGACAGCGAATATTTTGTATATTCTGTAGATTTTCCATTTTTCAATCAGCTCGCAAAGCCACGCCCACACACACTCGTATGCCAAATGGCTCTACACCAAATACATGAGTATCTGTTTTTATGGTGAAGAGCCATAACATAATCGAAAATACATATGCACACTCTTATACACGCACTTGTGTGTGTATTCAACGAATTACTCATCAAAAATTCAAATTTCTTTGCAAGTGTTTTTTTATGCGCTGCTCTACCTGGCGTATACGTAATATTTTATGGCTTTTCTACATACAATACACCCAGTAGAGCCAAAATATAGGGTATGCGTTGCTAGTATCCATTAACATATGAGAAAAAATTATATATAAGATAATAAGATGCCTTTTGGTCGAAATTTATATGCCTAAACTATTTAAAACTTACTCTACATGTGATATACCCTATTAATCAGATATAGGGTATCCTATGTATATACTATATCTATATCTATATCTATATCTATATCTATATCTATATCTATATCTATATCTATATCTATATCTATATCTATATCTATATCTATATCTATATCTATATCTATATCTATATCTATATCTATATCTATATCTATATCTATATCTATATCTATATCTATATCTATATCTATATCTATATCTATATCTATATCTATATCTATATCTATATCTATATCTATATCTATATCTATATCTATATCTATATCTAAATCTATATCTATATCTATATCCATATCTTTATCTTAAGTGTGATAATCTCGCGAAAGTCGATTGTGTAAACTTATTTTTTCTCAAACTCATTCTCAAAGATCTTTGTGCTAATTCATTTGAGAAGTGTTTCACACTTTATCATATAAGTCATCCTTTCTGTGTGGAAATTAGAGGTCAGGTAGAACTCACTCTTAAGGAATTTTGAGGTTCACCCCAGTGAAAAGTGGACAGAAAAGTGTTGAGTGTACTTTTTTCTCCTACATCCGATCGACTTTAAACCCATTTTCAAACACATATGATCATTACACATCTGTCATCTATTATAATTTGGCTAAATCAGTTATATCTAAAATTTAAAGAAAAAGCCGAGTAAATGATATGCTAGTGCGATTGCAGGGTACATTTTTAGTCTTGCACTCTCTCGACAATGGTCACTTTTACGGTTATTTCATTTGCTGTTGATTGTGTTTCCTGTATGCTTATTAGACGAAAAACTGAGAAAGTGAAAAGAAAAGCGCAGCGCAGCAAAGTACGTAAATGCGAGAGATGATGATGACGCTGCGTCTACGAAAATAGCATTCAATTAGTCGAACGGACGCCGCGACGTCGTATTCCCGGCTGAAGAGTAGCTGAAGAGGAGTCGCCGTCGCTTTCTATGCAAGTGCTCTGACCTATATAACCCGTCCGAGGGGGAAAGGGGAGAGCGCAGCATGAGAGACAGACGTGAACAAATCAACGGCCAAATAAATGAGAAAAGTGCCACTATAGTGCACTATAGGGAAGCGAGGGGCGCGGAGGGTACAACAAGCGGGGGCAGCTAGTTTTTGCCCCCTTTGGAAAAAGGAAACTAAGTAAAAAAAAAAAACATCAAAAACCGCAGCCAAAAGCGAGGCCCAGTGCGAAGTCAATGCGCCCGACATGAATTCATGTTGAGCAGCAGTTGTTGTTGTTGCTACTGTGATACCCTGTACACATTGTAAATGGGCACAATATAAGGGTAGTTGTGGTAACAGCCAGAAGACGGCATAGCTTGCATAAATTTATATATTTAATACGATTAAATGTAATTTTTATGTTTGTAATATTTAATAACAGCCGCACAATAAATATACTCGCCTACAGGGTATCTCTTAGTTGCACACCCTTGCCTCTCTCTTCAATGCAGTTGTTGTTTTTTCTGGCTATTGTTAAGCCTTTTGCGCAGAGATCGTTGAACGAGCGCTGCACATTATGGACATGTCGCCATATTGGGCGAGGGGGTGTGAGGGTGTGAGGGGCGCCCAAGTCAATTAGGCATTTTAAGCACGCACACAACTACAAGTGTTCGCTGCCGCAGTCCAATAGCCGAAAGCCGAGAGCCTGAGCACATGCACTTAATTAGGGCCAGAGAACCGGACGAAGAGCCAAAGCAATTAATCATAAACAATTGTAGAAGAAGAAGTAGTAGGAGAAGCAGACGCAGAAGAAGAAGCAGAAGCTGAAAAAGGGCTATGCAATTACAGGCTGGGCTAGCGGCTAGGGTTACCATCGGAATCCCAGCTGCAGTTGGTTCCCAGCGACCGTGGCGAACGGTAAATTAACAGGTATTCATGATGACGACGCCCTAACGGTATCGTGTGTAATTGCAGTTGCATTTTGAATCTGATTCGCCTGATATGGCCGACAATTTGGGGCGCTGTCCGGGTGTAGTGGGGCCAGTGGGCAGGAAGGTATCGTAAAACCGAAAAAAATAACTTGTTCTTACAACAATTCTGACGTCATCGCAGCTGAGAACCAACACGGGGAGTGGACGATGATACCCAATCGTATAAATATATATATATATATGTGTGTGTGTGTGGTTTATTGGTGTTGCTCTCTCAGATGACGATGGGCTCTACCAGCTGGCCAATATTGATTAACAATTGCATACACGCAAACACACAGACACAGCACTATTTTACTGGTTTTTCTTATGCCGTGCCATAATACGCGACTAATGCGTTAATACCATCAACTAAACTATATATGTACACACGCACACATCCATAACTATGAGAGCACACACAGAGAACGAAAATGAGAGCGAGAGAGAGAGAGAGAGCTGGCGGCACTGGCCACCCTCTTTCACTGGCGCTCGTGGTCTTTGCCTTTGCCTTTGCGCAATTTCGTACGCTCAACCACACACACACATACGCAGTAAGACAATCGTATTCAGTGTCGGCATTACGACTACAAACAACTTACCCATTGCGAGAAATACTGCTATGCTCTTCACACTAGCGCCTGCAATATGGGGGAGGGTAACACACACACACACGCACGCACGTATAGAAAGCAACAACAACAACAACCGCTATATAGGCGCACAGGTCACCACTACTAATTCAGCCTTCCCCTTCAATTCACTTCACTTCACTACACTAACAATTTTTTCTTCTGCTTAGAATTTTTTCTATTTGTATCTTTCTTGTATGCATTCGCAATTCACGTGTATTTATGTATCAATTGTAGGTGGCTGGCGCAGTGAGTGTATGTGTGTATGTATGTGTTTGACGCGAACTCGATGCGCATTCGGCTTTTTTGCATTCATAAAATGGTATTTATGTCCAAATAACCGACAAAATCACAGTGAAATTATATTTTCGGGTTTCTTTCTATGTACTTCTTGCTACGATTGCTTAACAAATATATATTCCAATTTGAAGCTATCCACAAAAAAAACCCCGCGCAGCAACAAACGGCACCGACAAGCGACGACGACGGCAGCAACAAAGCGACTATCTTTTAAATGAGCCGCATTGAGAGAATATCTCAGATACAAATAGGGATGAGCCAGCCAGACTATCGATAACCAGCGCCGAACTATCTATCGATATCAAAGGCGGTCGTTCTAAACGAAATGAAAATCTGTTTTCTTATAAGTTTTATTTTGTTTTTAATGCGTTTTGCGTGTACATTTGCACAATAAGCTTTCTTAGACATTAGAATAATAATAATAATAATAACATTACTAACAAAACTATTACAATTAGAATAAAATTCATAATTCATATTCACCCACATTGGTGCTCTCTTTCACAAGTTAAAATTTAATAGTACATCGAGATTTTGCATAGTTTAAAAGTACATACATACTTAGGTAAATTTATGAATCATATACATATATAATTTACTGTGTTTATACTCTGTTTTTTTGTTTTTCAATTTCCATTCGCGCTACGATCATGTATTGAATTAAAATATTCATCTTTTTAATAATTTAAACTACTGTATAATATTGAATTATGGATTTTGTTTTTTTGTAATGTTGCCTCGTCTGCCCCCGCTGGCGCGCAAATAAATTTGACTAAAATCCACTAACGTTAATGTGGAAACGGATATGAAATATGTATGTATGCATGTATGTATATATATATATATATTATCAATTTATGTATTTTAGTACTTTGCTGCTTAACCTTTAGTTTGCCTGCAACTACAACTTAATAACTGCTATATTTATGTATATATATACATATATCTATATATATGTATCTTGTTTTTCTCTATATAGATTCCATTAGCTAATTGCATGTGCATAGGAGCTGCTATTGCATTCAAATCAACCGTTTTCAATTGTTGCCTGCTACCAAAGTAAAATATAAATTTCTTGTTTGTTTGTTTGTTTTTTCGTATATGTATAGACTCTCTTTCATAACCAATCCATTTCCAAATCCATCAACCAAGCGAAAATTGCATCAAAGAAGACCCGAGGCCCTGTTTACTGCGTCCTCCTACTCCGCTACTCCTCATCCGAGTCGCCATCGCTGGAGTAATGGGTTATCTGCGGTCGACGCACAAACGGCGCTGTTATCACTTGTCTAAAATGTTGAATCGATCAATCAAGGCACATTCAAATATTTATATATTAATATCTATCAATTGAGCTGCACTCACGCAATGCGTCTGTAATGATTCAGCCATTCTTCGAGCATTTGTGCCACCAGCAGCGGACGCTTGGATAACTTTTGCTGTGCCACCAACAGACCCCCATCCGTGACACAAACGTCCAGCCATTGACGCATCATGGTCTCCTCATTTCCGACCTACAAGCAGAAAAGATGGTCAAGTACAAGGCAAATTCGAATTTCGCAAACTCACCTCCGTTTGGGTTAGAAAGTGTATGGGCAGCAGCTTCAGCTCGCAGTCCATAAGCGGCAGATAGGTGACATCCTCGGCCTCGTCGCGTCGCCCATCGATCCGCGAGAATGGCTCCATAGGCACCAGAGCGCTAAAATGGCCACGCGTGTAGCCCAGCGCAATGGGTGATTTTGTACAAAAGTTTTGTTCCCAGAATAAAGGTAGATAGACGCCTGGAAAAGTGAATGTTAGGGAATTTGAGAGCTCGTATTTATAGGCAAAGATATTATTAATGTTGCCAAGGTCCCAAGTGCGAGGGATTCTTCGAAAAGTGATCAAATATATATATATATATATATATATATAACTTATCGGATCGTAGATGTCTTTTTTAATGCATTACACATGACAAAATAAATATGCCCGTTTTAAGGGTAAAGAAAATCATACTGGCACGCACCTTCAAATCGGGCGTAGCCAATGTCCTCGCCCCGAAAGCTCTTCACGTATTTGACGCCATAGACAATAATTGGACGTCTTAGGATGTGGGCCAGGGCGAAGATGTGCAGCTGTTCCAATGACGAGCCCGGCTGACTGGCCAACGATAACAGCGTGCTCCAGTCCTCCTCCCACTGTGAATCCTCCAAGGTGAAGTGCAGCATGGACGCCTGCAGCATTTCATACTCCTTCCAGCGGGCAAAGAAACTAAGTGAATCAAGAATAGTAAACGATTTTCGTTGAAGATTGCATCAGGTTCACTTACACATGACCGCACTGGTGTAGGGTGTCGGCCAGGGCGCGCCTGAGTATGTTGTCGCGATCGAAAACACCCCAGGTGGCCTGCATTGCCGAGTCCAGGAGGCAATCGCCGGCACTGCGATTCCACAGGACCAGCAGACGTGAGCTCAGGCGTGCGGTTATCTCTAGCGACCAGTTAAGGGCCGGCGGCGGCATCTCCAACTGTTTTTGGGCATCGCGATCGAGTAGCTCGTCATACAGCTGCTCCTGTATGGGTATGGGCAGCTCTTCGATCTCCGAGGGCAGCGCAAAGGTAGCATGTTTCTGGACATAGTGACAGGGCAGGCCGGATTTGCGTATGCGCAGCGTATTGGAAAAATGCCGGCGTATATCCGCTGCCAGATCGGGCGCCACATACGAGGGCACACGCTTAATGCCCGGCCCAGAGCCCGAGATCTGTGCCAACAGCATCGGAAGCATTTCCTCGCGATGGAAACGTATGGCCAGATGGATGAGCGTGTGGCCCACATCGAAAGCCGAATTACGATTCAATGCGGCAATTTCATTACTGGTCAACGAACGCGCCGGATTGCCGCCGCACGACAAATACGCCTCCACGGCGCTATAGTTGTTCTCCACAACGCCCAGGCATGCGTTCAACCATTGCCAGTCGACCTGCCGCCTGATCTGACGCTGACGACGCTCCTGGCGTTCCTGCAGCGTATCACAGTTGTTGATGGTTTCCGAAGAACCTGTTGCAGGCAGAATAACGAAAAATATTAAACGGAATTTTCAACCGACACAACATATGCATATAAGTATATATAATACTCTACGGATTAGGAGAGGTATCCTACATACATTATACATTGTGTAAGAACTAGATTTATGGCCTTCTATATGACCTTCTGCCTACCTAGTTGATAAATATGCTTCTTATTGAACGAGTTGTTGACACTGACGGTGTCCGAGTTCTGCTGCTGTTGCTGCTCCTCCTGCTGCTGCTGGTTCAACTGCTTGTTGCTGCCGGATATGCTGCTGGCGCAGGCATGCAGATCGCACTGTGATCCCGAGCCGCTCAGCTCGCGCGTCTTGCCGCACATCGAGCACTTCAGACTCTTCGGCCAGTTCTCGTAGGTGCATGACTAAGTTATAAAGAACATTATGTTAAATATATATTATTGCTATTATTGGACTGGCCACTCACATTGCAGGCCCATTTTGCCACGTAGCAGTGCTTCTGCTGCAGCGCAGAGGACGTGGTCGAGTTCTGCTGCTGCTGCTGCTGCTGTTGGTTTGTCAACTGCGGCTGCGACTGCGACTGGGACTGCTGCTGGCTGTGAGATGTGTTCGCTAAGTTATTGAGATGCGTTGAATTGCTGCAGATTTGCGGCTCCATGCTGGGATTGCGGCGATTTGAGTTGGATGCAGCAGCGCCAATCAGTTGCCTGCCGCTGCTGCTATTCTCCGTACAATTCAGTTCCGTATCGGAGCCGCTAATGCGCAACGCTTGCAGCGCCTCGCCCGCACTGTTCGTCTCCTTGTCCGCAGCTGGTTCCATTGCGGCGGCGCCGCCACGCTTGGTGCAGCATTGCACGCAGCGCAGGCTGCGCGGCCAGTTGAGATAGGTGCACACCTTGCATGCCCATTTCTCGCTGTCAGCTACGTTGCTGTGTCGCGCCAGCTGCTGCTGCTGGAGATGGGGCTGCTGTTGGGGCTGCTGCTGAGTCTGAGCCTGGGGCTGGCGCGCAAAGCATGTGGATGTGGGCTCGACGGGCAGACCAGCTGCCGCCTCCTCCGCGCTGTAATTGTCGTGTATTGTCTGCGCTGGACTGAGACTGTCAAGATATATCAAATTGTGACTAACCAGTTGGCACAGATGTTAAATGTCAAATGCTTACCGAAAGATATCCTCGTTAAGCAACGGCTTGGATGCCTGGCACATTGTGCATTTTAGGGAGGATGGATAGTTCTCATAGGTGCATATTTCACATTTCCATTTCTGCGCCTTGTCGCTGGTATCGCACATCTTTTGCGCGACAACAAAGTAGCTTTAGCTGTTTACAGTTCCGACTTCCACTTTTTCCACGGGCTCTGCTCTGCTATCTCTCTCTCTCTCTCTCTCTCTCTCTCTATCCGGGCGCCGTTCGTTCAGCCACAAAACTGTCGACTTGGACGGTCAACTGTTGTAAATAAAATTGAATAAAATATATAGAACATTAACACACACGCACACACACACACACATATAAATATATACATGTATATATAAGCTTTAATTGAGCTTAAAAGATGGCCTTGAACCCCGAACCCTCGACACCCGACCCCAGCAGCTTGTGCGGAGATATGCACAGAGTGCAACAGAGCAGATATTAACAATTCGGTCGATGATTTGAACTTTTTTTTATTGAACTGCGGCGGGTATTATAAATATGTCACTTGATGTGTCACGATTTAAATGGAAAATCGCCATATATAATCAGTATTAACCACCGATTCAATTCTTTATAATACATGGCATTATATTCAATATCATAATTAAGTTCATGTATAAAAAACATTGAATTATTCAAGATATATTGAACGAATGAGCCAAATCTTACGAACATTGGACAACATTATCATATATCTGAATATCTTGAACATTTTTGAGTTTTTTCAACTTTGAACTTCACTATTCTTATCACATATGTGCAAAAGCAAAAGCCATATGTCTACAAGGCCGAAGAAATGCGATTTTTTGTTGGTTAGTTTTTCACACTTGTTCGCAAACAACTCAGTAAATGAGTAATTATGAAAACACTACAGAACTATAACGCACATGTGTTTTATGTATGCAAGGGTATTTAATCTTCGGCTGCGTCGAAATAACTGTTTCTTTCTTGTTTTCCACTGTGGTGTCGTCACAGGCAGCCTTCGGGCGCTGCGCTGCCTGCAATTGTTGATAGCCAGTGTGGGTTAAGGTGGATTTAGGGGGGGTGTTGGGTAGGGGTTGATGGGTTTGGATGTAAATAGTTTCGCGCTAGTTTGTTTTTTTCTGTCATATTCTTCTTCTGTCTTATTGGTACCTGGCGCAAATAATACAAGGCCAATTCAGGGGAGACGACGCGATTTATATATATAAATCGAAAATTGATGTCAGCCACGAGCAGCGCTCATACCGTGCGAATATTGGCTCAAAAAATGGCAGCAAGACTAGCCAAGAAAAAAAAAAAAAAAAACAATTACAATTACAAAACAAAGGCGAGAAAACTTTCACTCGTTGAGGCTATTTTTTTTTTATTTTTTTTTTAGATTGGGGACAAAACAACAAATTTGGTTGCACTTGCCCTTGCTAGACTGTGGCTGAGCGCACAGTCTGTTTATTTGCGAGCACAAACACAGCACAATTTGGAAATTTGGAATTTTAATTAAACGTCGTAGCGTAGCTGTTGTGTTACATATTAATTAAACGTCGAAATTTTTTTTTTATTTATCGTCACATCATCTATCAGCTGCTGCTTGCGAAACTTACCAATACTTATCGATAACAGCGCCAGCCGATTACAAACAGCTGCAACCCTGGATCCAGCACAACAAGAAAAAATGGCGGGTAAGCGTTTTGTGCTGCGCATATACTACGTTGTGATTTTTAATTTTTATAAGTAAAACAAACGTGTAATTACGCATTTTGAGGCAAAATGGTTAAAGCAATTCAAAGTCAATTGCGCAATAAAACTGCCGCAAGTAGAACTGAAACTACAAAAAACCCACGATTCTTGGCAACAGGCAACACAAAGATAAACATAGAAGCTAGCGCAGATGCGACAACAATAAAGCCGCTGACAGGGCTTAACACTAAAAAATTAAGTATAAATCAAGTAAATTGTGTGCGCAAGTGTTATGTTAGACTTAAACGCCTTAAGTTAAGAACAAACAACACTGCGGCGCAGAAGTGCAATGTAAATAAATCGGCTTCAGGTAACGGTGATAACTTGCACGATGTAAGCGTATTCGAGCCAGGTCGGAACTCCACCATGTGCCAGTCCAGAGTCCAGGACATAGGTAAGCGACTGTTTAAGTCAAGTACAATATGCGTCTAAACACATGCTTTTAGGTGCCATCATATCGCCCTGTCGCGTTCGCATCAGGCGCGCCGTACAGAAGCATCCAGAAACTTCCGAAAAGGCGCAGGAAAACATGACAGTATCGAAACGTGTGCATCGCTTTTTTCACCGAGATCAGCCGCCAGCCCGAAGCCGTTCCTCCGTCACACGGCACGTCTATGAGTTTCTTTCGCAGTCGCAAATCGAGGACAACGAACCGCAGGATCCGGCGGCGGACATAATCAAACAAATGGTCGAAGACGGACGAGCCTGCGTGATGGTCCGAAACAAGGGCAAGACGCGCAAGCGGACTGTCAAGAAAAAGGTTCGACCAGTGGGCAAGCGCAAGCAATGCTCCGTACGCAATATAGCTGAAAAGCAGCCAAACATGCCAAGCAGCAACAAGGCCCCTGGACGGCAATTAACGCCCGTTATCGAGCTGGACGGCGATTCAAGTGATGACAATATGGAGGCTGTGCATGTTGAGGTGCCCGCCCAGATACACACGCCTCCAGCAAAACTGGCGGCTGCCATTGCAAATCGAACTAATATCGAGGGCGCCTACAGCCCGTTGGCGCGTTCGCTGATGCTGAATCAAACCAAGGCACATCACCAGCAGCCGCAGGAATCCATGGAAAGGCGACGAGAGCTCTTGAACATGGCCAAGAAATTTGTCAGCACACCCGTGAATCGCAAAAATAACACCGTCGCGAGTATAAATACAACAAAATTTTCCCCGATTTTAGATAATGCCAGCAGTAGAGCTGGAAGTCTAAGAGCTGGCTGCTCTCCCGGCTTTAAAGACAGTTCGCCGGCAGCTTCAGCTGGTGCTGCCAGTGCTGTATGCTCTTCCGGCAGGCGACATATGCCGCTGGCAGCTTCAGCTGGTAGTCCCAGCGGCGGCTGTTCGCCTTGGCGTGTCTCTGACGAGGTGCCCTTGCCAAACACATTCTCATTCGGCTTGAATACATCAAATTTGCCATCGTATTCCAGTGACTTTATACGCAGTCGGCATATCTATGTGCCGGATGAGCCCGAGCCGGCGGAGTCTAGTTGTCCAGCGCCCAACGAGCAGGAAACTAGCTGCGCTGCCAACGACTCGAATGGCGAAAATATGCCGCCTCCAGTTGTAGCAGTCGCACAGGCGACGCCTATTAAACCAAGCGAGGACCAGGAGAACGAAAATTTTGAGAACTATGTGCAATTACCAAATCCGCGACGCACGCTACAGCATCGCAGTCCCTTAAAGGACATCAATATATTGGAAGTGGTCGTTTTGCCTTCGTGGAAGAAAAATGCGCAACCAGACAAGACGCCCACAAAGGTCTCCACGGCCAAAAATCAGAACAATGTAGCCATCAGCAGCCCCAGAGAGCAGAGTGCGCGGGCACAGCAGCCACCCTGCAATCTCTTTGGCTTTGAGGATTTTCTCGACGAGGAAGATGAGGAAAATGCCAATGCTCGTGCAGCTAGCCAAAATGTGACATTGCATGAGAAGCTGCAGCGGCTGAAGGGTCTGCGGCCCGCAGAGGAGGAGCTGCCACAGACAAACAGGGCACCGTTGCGGCATGACTACGATGATCTGCAAGCGCGTGAGCCCAAACAGCGCAATATCAAGGAGATGCTGTGCTCGACCATGATTGGCACGCCGGCACGCGTTCCGAGTACGGACGAGTCGGTGGCGTTATTCAAAGACAACGACCCGGAAGTAACGTTTGATGAAAAGGTAAGTTGTAAAATTTGACAGATCGCTGGAACAGACTTCCAGGCTAACTTGATTCTTAATGTCGCGCTCGACAAGACGACGACATTGTCCAGAAACGTAAATGTTCTCGTTGTCACTGCGCTAAATTAATTCCAAATCGAGAATGTTATTTATTTCGATTGAGCCAACAGGGCCGCAAAGATTTAAGCCCATCTTTATGCGGTAGTAAGCAGCTCGCACAAATTTAAACGCACAATTCTAAGTTTAAGCAAGCTAACTAAAACTATTTTAATTTTCAGCAACCGCGGCGCACCTACGTCCGGGAGCGGCCGAAGCGGAAGCGCAAGCAACGCGTTCATGTGCTCTTCATTGACTCGGATTCGTCGGATGAGGAGGGGAATGAGCAGGACTCCAAGGACAAGAGTGGCGAGTCACCAAGAAAGGCGATGCCGCCGCAAAAGCGCACTCGCAAGGATGTGGAGCACGAGGCCAAGCTGCAGCAGTTCATCACGAGCTTCAATCAGGAATGCGCCGAGGTCGAACGTTTTCCAGTGATCGTTGAATAGCCACGCCCAAAACGTTGGCGTTTAGTTCATTTGTTTTCCTTATTATTATTATAATTTTTTATTTTTTTTGGTACTTTTAAAACATGGTTCTTAACTTGAAGTTAAGTGAGATTTGAAATGGAATTCCGATGAAGTATTTTAAAATCGTTTCATTTAGTTACAAATACAAAATATTCTTATCTATAAGTACAAAGAGGGCTGGATGTATATTTACGTATATATAAATAATAATAAAAAAACTTAAGCGCTCGATCAGAAGTACAATATATAAAATTGTTTATATATATTTTTATATTAATATGCCTGTACTTTTACTTATTGAAATTTGATATTATCTAGCTACCACATTAAGCATAAAATTCGAACAATACAGGGTATTAACAGACCAATCATTTTTGTTGCCCCCATTTTATATTGTCCTGTTAAGTGGCAACACTGGCATCAAACAGCTGTGCCAGCCACAGTGGCAACACCGCGGCACAAGCAAAACAAACTTTAAAACTTATTTTAAAACGAAATATAAGAATGGATCCACCGTACGCGCCTTTAAGTGAGTCCTGTGCCAAGGCGCTGGGCGACAAAATGTACGACAAGCGGAAAGTGGCCTCCCAGGAGATTGAGAAGTAAATAATCAGTGCAAACGCCCCTCGAATAGAACTCAAACTAATAACAAATACACTTTCTTATGCTTTACACACAGAATGGTCATTGAGTTTAATGATAAAAATAATGCGACACAAATACGAAAACTGATCGAGGTGCTCTCCAATGACTACGCCACATCGCGCGATGCCAATCGCCGCAAGGGTGCGCTCATCGGGCTAGCCGCAACGGGCTTAGGGCTGGGCAAAGTAAGCAATTGCTCATCTATTAGTCATTGTTATACCCTTGCAGAGGTATTATGAATTTCTTCCTCGGCGTGTAACCTATTGAAACAAGTCTCTTTCAAGTATTTACCATATTCGTGATTCAGTATCAACAGTCGGACTTCTAATTAATAAAAGAGATGCTTAAACCGGCAGTTGGCAACACTGATGACTAAGCGTTGCCAACTGCCGCTCGAAGCATCTTGCCGAAATCCAATTGGCAATAAATAGAGCTGCCAGAGCTGGCATTAAAATGCCAAAAATGGCTAACCCGTCCTGGCTGATGACCTGTCAAAATAGCCAATTTAGTTGGAAAATAGCTGAATTGGCAGCACTGGCCATGGGAACAATTTGCAGAAAATGGAGTTTTTATATGAAAAACTTAATTTTCTGGATATTTATTTTATGAAAAATATAAATAAAATCGGAATATTTTATAGGATAGTTCCCATAAGTTTAAAAATGTATTGCACCTCTTCTATATCTCTGCAATGGTATTTAATCTTCGTCTACAAGTTGAATATTAATGTTTTTTTTTTTTTTTGCTAAGGATTCGGATAAATATGTCAACGAGCTGGTGACGCCCATTATGAGCTGCCTGTCCGATCCGGATTTGCGTGTGCGCTACTTTGCCTGCGAGTCCTTGTACAATGTGGTTAAGGTGGCCCGTGCGGCCATTATACCCTACTTCCCGGAGCTGTTTGCGGCTTTGTCGCGTCTGGTTACCGACTCCGATCAAATGGTGAAGGACGGCAGCGAGCTGCTGGATCGCTTGCTAAAGGTTTGTTGTGCTCGACATTGTATATATATTATATTTAATTATGTTCATATGGACGCAGGACATTGTCACGGAATCGTATGAGACCTTCAATCTGGAGGCTTTTATACCCTTGCTGAGGGAGCGCATATATGTGAATAATGCCTTTGCTCGGCAATATGTGATCTCGTGGATCTCAATATTGAATGCTGTGCCCGATATAAATATGGTCAAATATCTGACGGATATTCTGGACGGCCTCTTTGTCATGCTGGAGGATAATACGCCGGAGATTCAGCGCATGTGCGAGAACACAATCAGCCAGTTCTTAAAGTCCATACGCAATGATTCGTCCTCGGTGCGCATGGAGGATATCATCAATACGTTAATCACACACGCTGAATCCCAGAACGAGCTAATCAAGTCGATTGCCATCACCTGGATACGGGAATTTGTGCAAATCTTTGGACCCAATGTATTGCCCTACGCAAGCGGCATATTCACGGCCATTCTGCCATGCCTGGAGTACAATGTGGAGTCCAAGCGCAGTAGGTGGACTAAGGCTTAGACTAAATCCAGTTATTAAAGGCTTTCTTTTCAGGCATCAAGGAATGTGCCGTCTCGGTGAACAACTCCATGATGCAGCTGGTCTCGTCAAAGGAACTGAAAACCCAAAATGTGGCCAAAATTGATTTGCGTTCCATTATGGAGGTACTTTCGCAATATCTCACGCACAACTCAACGCACACAAAGATCGCGGTGCTGAAATGGATACATCATCTCTTTATCAACTTTCCCAATGAGATGTCGCTGCATGCCAACAATCTGAACAACAATCTGCTGGCCACGCTCTCGGACAACTCGGACGAGGTGGTGCTCCAAAGCTTGTGTGTGCTGGCCGAGATTATCAACTCGCAGGACACAAAGGGTGCGGGCACAGTTGGGACTAGGCCCATTGCAGATACATATTTACAATTTAATCTTTCTCCAGATCTGGAGGATTTCAATAAGCCGCATTATCGCAAGTTTCTGCTGAGCCTGCTGAATCTCTTCAGCGAGGAGAAGGTCATACTGGAAACCAGAGCCAGTCTAATTATAAGGTGAGCCTTACCTATTATAACAAGTTGATGTTAACTCGTTTCTCTTCGTTAGACAACTTTGTGTGCTCCTCAATGCCGAGTATATTTATCGCACCTTTGCCGAGATCATAGCCGAGGAAATGCCGAACCTGAAATTTGCCTCGACAGTTGTCCGGCTGCTGAACAACATTTTGCTTACCTCCACGGAGCTGTTTGAGCTGCGCACCAGCCTGCGTGACATATCCAATGAGAAGTCCGCGGATCTCTTTCAATGCCTCTACAAGAGCTGGGCCCACTGCCCGGTGTCCACGCTGTCACTTTGTCTAATCGCCCAGTGCTATCAGCATGTCTCCGAGCTGGTTATCTTATTGTACGTCTCCAATCTGTTCCTTTTGTTCGATCGTAGCTAATGCCTTGACTTTCAGCGCCGATGTGGAAATAACGCTGGAATTGCTGGTCGAGCTGGATAAGCTGGTGCAGCTCATTGAGTCGCCCATCTTTGCTGCACTGCGTCTCACGCTGGTGTCCAAATCAAATAACTGCGCCGATGCCCAGTATTTGGCGCATGCGCTCTTTGGAATTCTCATGCTTCTGCCGCAAACCTTGGCTTTTGATACGCTCCGCAATCGCCTGCAATGCGTGCCCAACTATTGGGGCAAACAGCCCCTGTGAGACACCTTGACATCCTCAATCTGTTATCATAATAATATTGTATTGTATATCTCTTTGCAGAGATGAGCGCAAATCCGTAGAGTTCAGCAGCGGCATAGACTTTGCTGCACTTCGCGCCCAGTTCGTCGAGCGCCAGAAGACGCATCGCGCCCAGCGCATAATCCAGCGCAAACGTAGTGTAATTACGCCGGATAGTAATTAATATTATATTAAAAAAAAAAAAATTATATTATATCTGTGATTAAGCTAACAATAGGCATAAAGCGTAATTTTTATTGCAAGATTCATGTACATCATGTCTAGAAATTTTTTAAGCCTAGCCTTAGGAAATTGGTTTATAATTTGTAAAATGCCTCTCAAAGAGCGAGGAATACGATAAAAAGGCTTAATTGTCCACCAGCTGCATAATATAGATATTCCATCCGGCCAGATCCAACCAAAAGACTCCCTGCAATAGAAAGGCGGAGCTAAGCATAGTTTCATGATGCTGATATCATCAAATCTGAGACAAGTTTGGTTGGATCCGCCGTAGTTACTGATCCAGATTAAATATATGTATATATATATATATTATACGTTTTACATTTTAGTACAATATTATTATACAAGGGTTCTACGTTCTACAAAATTGTCTAGCTAAAGAACTTTCAACAGAAATCTCACGACCATTCGCTCAATCTCAATCCTTTCCAAGTTGTTTTTTAAATCTTTTAATTTGTTGATTTCGCAACAATTTAAACCTTGCTTTTGCAGCCATATTCTAACAGATAATTTATTTTGATTTATTTACTTCTTTTTATTATTAAAATTGTCCTTAACTTTTCCATAGTAAACTGTCGTGGTGATATTTTGAACAAAAATTGATATAATTATTTCTTTAGGGCGCCCATACGACTGGCATCCTGGCTGGGATAGGGCATTTGGCCAGGCGGCGGTGGAATGGCATCGAGATTCACACCGGAGGTACTTGCGGCTGTTGAACTAGAACCGGAGGCAGCTCCACTGCTGCCCAGGCCGCTGTAGGGCGCAACATAGGTGGGCTGAGCGTACATTTGGTATGCCGAGGCAGGCACCAGATTGGAGGGCAGCTGATGCAGCTTCATGCCGGCGGGCATAACGTTGATTTGCTCCTGCCGCAGATTGAAGTAGTCGTTGGGCTTGGCGCTGGGCGGCGGTATGCCGGCGACATCAAAGCGTCGATCCGTCTTGGCGGCGGTGCCCTGTTTCGCCTGAGAGTGCGCCCACTTGATGCTGACCTTGCGGCCGTGCATCACCAGTTTGTTGAATGTGCGCTCGGCCGCCAACTCGGCGGCGCTGCGTTTTGTGTACTGCACAAAGGAGCATTGCTGGCGCGGCACCAGCGCAATGGAACGTATCTCGCCATACTGATAGAATTGGTCACGTATTTCTGGCTCGGTAATCTCCTCCGGCAAATTGCCCACATACAGTGTGGTTATGTTGCGATCCTCGGGCGGCTCCAGTGTGGGCAATGAGGCGGCACGCTTCATTATCTTCTCGGCGACCGGATCGTTCCGACCGTAGTAGCGATCCTTGATATTTTGCTCGCACAGCGGATCGTCAGGTTCGTTGGGCTTGTCGTGGCGATAGGGACACTCCTCGCCACGCTTGCACTCGCCCTTCACCCAGAAGGAGCAGATGTGCGGCCTGTTCCGTTTATAGTAAGGCGCCGTGCGCGCCAATTTGGACAGCATTTCGTTGGCCGCCAAGGAGCGACCCACCGCGCCGGCCGCCTCTGTACCATCGCCATCCTGGAGCTGAGCATCAATGTTCTGTATGTAGTACTCCTTGTTGACATCGCTTTGGGGCATATTGTCCGCCACTTTTAGTGCCGCGTCGCGCACCTGGATGGGCAGACCGTACTCCAGATCTAGCAGGCATGTTTGGCACACGTTCTTCAGGCGGGCACACGTCTGGCAGACCTCGGTTTTCTTAAAGCGCATCCGAGCACCGGGACACCAGCGGAATATGGTGAATGGCCGCGTGCAGATTTTGCATTCCTTGCCGAAGCGCTCTTTAATCATGCGCACGTACGGGTTATCGCCCAGGCAGGTCTGGCAGAGAATTGGGAATTCGGCATCCTCCCAATTCTGCCGGTTGTACGTATTTGTCGTCTTTGACATAGACATTGCTACGTCCCAATTATGTTTGTTACTTTAATAAAAAAATTACAATGCAGAACATAAAAAAGACTTATCGGAACATGTTCGATAAAACGATTCACCAGCGATATATCGTTTGTTGCCAGTATTTTTCGGTATTTACTTGACTCGATATGGTAGCCCTCTCGGGTCTAGTGGCAATTCCTATTATAATTTGATTTAAGCAACGCAATCATATTTTGTTTTGACAAGATACAACATAGCTGAGCCGACTTTTGGCAATCTGAGATGAATATAGAGAACAAATCCTTTTAAACCACAAAGCTTTTCAATATCAATTATATAAAATAATGGCATTATTGCAGTTTCGCGCTGTCGGCAAGTAATTAATCGATCATGGTGGCAAGGCTTTTAATAAAATGTAGGCTATGTGGCAATGCCTTATTCGCGACATCTTTTCTAGTACGATAGTACGATATTGTAATTTATCGAAAATGTGCAGTGTGCACTTATCGATTCGAACCATGTGGCAACGCTCAATAGGCGAAAACGTTTGGTTGCAAAGAAAACGTAAACAAAAACAAAGAATTTGTTGATGAAATTGACTAAATATGGGACCACCAATTAAGCGTTACAGACGTAACTCAAGGTCATCCGATGAAGACGAGAAGGATGACAGCTATGTGCCCTACGTGCCGGTCAAGGAGCGCAAGAAGCAGCATCTAATGAAACTGGGCCGCATCGTTCAGCTGGCAACAGAGACAACACAGCCAAAGTCTTCCAGTGAGAATGAAAACGATGATGATGCACAAGGCGCCCAGGATGCGGAGACCTGGGGCCGTAAATACAACATCAGTTTGCTGGACCAGCACACAGAGCTGAAGAAAATTGCCGAGGCTAAGAAATTGAGCGCCGTCGAGAAACAGCTGCGCGAGGAGGAGAAAATTATGGAGAGCATTGCGCAGCAGAAGGCGCTGATGGGCGTCGCGGAGCTGGCCAAGGGCATACAGTACGATGAGCCCATCAAGACATCCTGGCGCCCACCACGCTATTTAGAAGCTATGCCGGAGGAGGAGCGGCAAGCGATACGCAAGCAGCTGAGAATCTTGACGGAGGGCGAGAATCTCAGTCCGCCCATACGTAGTTTTCGCGAGATGAAGTTCCACAAGGCCATACTCAACGGTCTGGCCGCCAAGGGCATCAAGAAACCAACGCCCATACAAGTGCAGGGCCTGCCCACGGTGCTGTCTGGCCGGGATCTCATAGGCATTGCGTTCACCGGATCCGGCAAGACGTTGGTCTTCGTGCTGCCCATTGTGATGTTTTCCCTCGAGCAGGAGTTCCGATTGCCCTTTGAACGCAACGAAGGTCCATATGGCCTTATCATATGCCCGTCCCGCGAGCTGGCCAAGCAGACTCACGAGATCATCCAGCACTACAGCAAACATCTGCAGCTGTGCGGCATGCCGGAGATACGCTCCTGCCTGGCAATGGGCGGACTGCCTGTTAGCGAGGCGCTCGATGTGATATCGCGCGGGGTGCACATTGTGGTGGCCACGCCCGGCCGACTGATGGATATGCTGGACAAGAAGATATTGACGCTGGACATGTGCCGTTATCTGTGCATGGACGAGGCGGATCGCATGATTGACATGGGCTTCGAGGAGGATGTGCGCACCATATTCTCCTTCTTCAAGGGCCAGCGGCAGACGCTACTCTTCTCGGCCACCATGCCCAAGAAGATTCAAAACTTTGCGGTCTCTGCGCTCGTCAAGCCCGTGACCATAAATGTGGGACGTGCGGGCGCGGCGTCCATGAATGTCACCCAGCAAGTGGAGTATGTGAAGCAGGAGGCAAAGGTGGTCTACCTGCTGGACTGCCTGCAGAAGACGGCACCGCCCGTGCTCATCTTTGCTGAGAAGAAACAGGATGTGGACTGCATACACGAGTATCTGCTGCTCAAGGGCGTTGAGGCTGTGGCCATACATGGCGGCAAGGATCAGGAGGAGCGTTCGCGTGCCGTCGACGCTTACCGTGTGGGCAAAAAGGATGTGCTCGTTGCCACAGACGTCGCCTCCAAGGGTCTCGATTTCCCCAACGTGCAGCATGTCATCAACTACGACATGCCCGATGACATTGAGAACTATGTGCATCGCATTGGTCGCACGGGTCGCTCGAATACCAAGGGCCTGGCCACCACGATGATTAACAAGATTACCGAACAGTCCGTGCTGCTGGACTTGAAGCATCTGCTGCTTGAGGCCAAGCAGGAGGTGCCCGATTTTCTGGACGAGCTGGCGCCCGAGGCGGAGCACCAGCATCTCGATCTGGGCGACTCGCACGGCTGCAGCTACTGCGGCGGTCTGGGCCATCGCATCACCGAGTGCCCCAAGCTGGAGGCGGTGCAAAGCAAACAGGCCTCCAATATTGGAAGACGAGACTATTTGTCTAACACGGCGGCCGATTACTAGATTTAAGACTACACTATCTTACAAAATAAACAAGACAAATGTGCAAAACATATCCTTCACTTTTGTAATGTCTTTTAAAGTCTTGAATTTTGGTTGTTTTTTAGTAAGCATAGATAGTTAAATATATTTACTAGAATTTGTATCATAGGATATGTCTATAAATAATATCCATCCAATTGAGTTATTTTTAAAAATTCCTTCATATCGTATGTGAAAAGCTTTTTAATAATTAAAAAAAATATTTTTCTTAATATCAATTAACTTCATTCTTTAAAAATAAGTGGATATTCATTTTCGATAAAAAAAAACTAACAAAAAAATTTTTTTTTCATTCGAACAAATTTGTTGCATAGTGTTTTAAGGTTAGCCTAGAGTACCTAGACCTTAGCGCGCTATGTTGAAAGCTGGGAATTCGCAGCCAGTGACATTTAACCTGGTTTCCTGGAAAGCGTCAATTGTGTTTTTCATTTGTTTACAGTTTGTTTTTGCATAGGTACTTTTTGTATGCGGCGCGCGCTTATCGGCCGAGCTGCGTCTTATCAATCAGCTACGTTAAGCCACACTGAGAGAGAGAGAGAGAGAGAGGGAGAGAGCAACAGAGTGCGAGTTAAAGTCAGCTTTGAGCGGCCTTTTATAAAGTCGACGACATTCGTTGAGTTTCGTTCAGTGTCTCAAGCTGCGTTGCTTCGATCACTACACGCATCCCGAGTTCGTTTAGTCGCTACCAAGGCCTGGAAGCGGTCAGTTCATTGCAGTGAAGCAGAGCGTAAGTGCTTTATTTGCATAGTGTGTGTGTATGTGTGTGTGTGTGTCTATGTATTTGTTTTGTGTATTTTGTAAATCAAGATAGCAGCTGCCATCTAATACGTAAGCCCAATCGAAATAGATTGAATTGAAAGCAATTAGATCGGATATCATTGAAAAGCTCTATAAACCTATTGATAACCTTAGTGCCTAGTATAAAATTGAAGAATTGCTCAATTGTCAACGGTATTAGGCTCGACAGTGTGCACATAGTATAACGTATTGTATGCCAGACATACATACATGCAGTCAATCAAATTGATTAGGCTTATCAATTGTTTTGAGCTTAGCTTATCTTGGGTTAAAACCTTCGGGCTAGCCTTTGATAGACATGCCTATACTAGGTACTACTATACTACTAAAAGTGTTGTCACTTGTATATAAAATATGTTTTTTAAAACATTGCTTTTTATAGCAAATGTTAAGCCATTTAAAGTTCCTTTTATGATCACGACTGGAAGTCCTCTAAAAAAAAACAGTTCCAGTGGTTCGGTTCATGCTGCGAACTAGTTTCGTTCAGTTTTGCACATACTTGAACCCAGGCTAGGGTTCAAGATTCTTTTTTTTAATTTAATTTAAATACATTTAATTCAAGATTTCACGTAAGAAAATTATTAGAAAATATTACAAAAAGTATTTAATTAAAAAAAAAAAAAACATTTTTCGAATAAATTATATAAAAATATAAAAAATATATACTAATTCCGGGCTTTGAGTGTATTTATTGTATAAATTTAGTTTAAACAAAGTTTCCAGTTTTAGCAAACCTATAAATAATACCACAATTTTTTCTTTAGCTTTTATATACAATCTACGTACACAGCTAAAAGGAAGTGATATTGTTTCTTAATTATTCTTTTTTTTTTTTTTTTAACACATTTATAATGACATATTAAAACGCAGTTGTTCTTATCGCTTTGTATATTCGAGTAAATATTTATTTATGAGTTAACAAGTTTTTAAGCACAATTCCTAATGAGATTTTAAACATGAATTTTTGTGAGTTCTTTGCGTGCGGCTAACTCTTCAACAATTGTGATAAACGAGCTCCAAGTGGAAGCTGACGTTATTCGTGGTAATTATAATAATAATAATAATACTTGGAATACCTATGGGCAGATATTTGTTTATTATGCAAGGCATGTTTACATACATTCCCCAAATAACAAGTCGAACTTGAAAATGGCACACAAAATTGTACAAATACGGCAAAATTAGGAATGTGTGTGCTGTCGCTTATCATAAATCATCATAATATAAATATAGTTTTTTTTTTTTTTTTTTTATAATACCCGCGACCTAGTTGGAAAAAGAGAAAAGGGCTTGCCCGGCAATCTCCTCAATCGTGATATCATACGAGACACAGAAAATGTCGTCAGTCGGCAAAACTAATTACTTAAAAAGACAAAAATAACAACAATAAACGGGTAAGAAAGGCTATCTTCGGCACGCCGAAGATCTAATACCCTTGGAGACCCAACCTTTTCATGATGCTTATAGTGCTTTGACCGTATCTAAGAAGCACAGGGAAAATAGTTAATGCCGAGTTTGGGCAAGATATCTTGATAAACAAAATATTTGTTCATACAAAAACTTAATTTTTGACCGATCGTTCCTATGGCAGCTATATGATATAGTGGTCCGATCTTAACAGGATTTTGCATATATATGGGGAGTATAGTAAAGCTAATAAATGCCGAGTTTGGTCAAGATATCTTGATAAACAAAATGTTTTTTCATACAACAACTTAATTTTCGACCGATCGTTCCTATGGCAGCTATATGATATATGATAGAAAGACGGACTTCTGCAAAATTTCATTAAGAAAACTGAGAGACTAGTTCGCATAGAAACAGACAGACGGACAGACGGACATGGCTAGATCGACTCGGCTGTTGATGCTGATCAAGAATATATATACTTTATGGGGTCGGAGATGTCTCCTTCTATGCGTTACACATTTCACGACAAAATTGGAATACCCTCTGCAAGGGTATAAAAAAACACATGCGTGACATGTTTTAATTTACAGTCTCAACGAATGATATAAAAAAAAAGCAAAACTATAAATGAAAATTAGCCAAAGACAAATTTTAACATATATATTTCTTGTTGTCCAAATAATAATAATTATTTTATTAATTCTAATATTTTTATTTAATATACACAAAAACAAGATAAAAGTATGTTATTTTATTTTTATTATATTTATTTTATATGTTAGTTAACAATTTCAGAGAACTAAAAATATTGTTATTAACTTGTCAAAAACGAACTTTTTTTTATTTTCAAATTTAAAAAACATTTAAAAATAAAATAACAACATTTGTAGACTCAAACTACAATATTTAAATATATATATATATACATATATTTATATATATACATATATATTTTTTTTATAAATTATATTTTTTATTTAAATTCTACATATATATAATAAAAACTATACTCAATTAGAAAGCTTTTAGAGTAGCGTAATAAAATAAAAAAAAAATTAACAACAAATTATAAATATACTTATATTGTATTATGCTTGATTATATTAATTTTGGAGCATTAAATAATATTTATTTGTATTATTTATTAATTAAAACTTCAAATTTAATAATTTAAGCTCTTTAATCTTAAAATGTTCATTTAGTTGGATTTAATTTATTTTATTTATTTACGTTTGAGTTGAAAGCTGGAGCGAAGTTTGTTCTGCAGCTGATTTATTATTTTATATACTATATATATTATTATTAACCGCTTTATATCTTTATTGTTTCCTATATATTGTTGCAAGCTTAAGCATCAAGAAATCTTTGTTTATGTTTGTTTTTATAACTTGTTGCTTCTTTCTTTCTCTTTTGCAGCTCACGCGCGCTCTCTCTCTCTCGCTCTCTCTCTCTTTTGGTTTGAGTTGGGAAAGATAAAAACAAAGGCGAATACTACATAATAATAGCAACAATTCACCCGATACAAGTTGTTATACACGCACACAATTGTGTATATATATCAAGAAACAATAAACAAAAGCGCCCCCCCTCCGCCTTCTTCCCACCCCGCAACCGGGCAGTAGTCAACGCCGCGAAATGGCCAGGCAAAGCGCCGCCCGTCATCTGGCAGTCATCTGCAGGTAATGCAAGCGAACAGTTCAGCTAGCTAATAAGCTGCCGTCAAAACTAGAGTACACACAAGTGCAAATACAAAATATTACTCATACGTCGCGTGTTCACAAAAGTCACTTAATTATACGCTCATAATTGTAAGTGGCCAATACATATATATATTTCTGTGCAATTAGACGTGCAGATGGGCTGTCTTAAATTCAAGAAATAGTTCACAAAATGTAGTCTGTAACCATGTTTGGGTGACCTTTTATGAGGTCATGACTCACGGCCAGGGTCGGGTCAGCTCGTTGCCTGTAAAAGGCGTCAACTAGTTGACTTGTCATCGCGCTTGACAATTGTGAGCTGAATAATTTGAAGCACTTTATTTACTTTACAGCTTGGTCGTGTTTATCGCAATCTCGACCAGTTTCTGCTCAGCCGGCACATTTAACCAACGTCCCGCGTTCCCCGTCCAAACCGGTCAGATTCAGCCCTCGAGTGGTAACAACAACAACAACAACAAGCAGCCAGGTCGACGCGTCATGCATCCAGCCTTTGCCAATGCCGGCCGCGCTCCTGGCCTGGAGATCTGGCGCATTGAGGTAAGTCCAACACAAAATATCAATAAATTTGTGCTTAAATTAAGTACAAACTGTCATCATTTGTTTTGGGTTCTTTCGAAAAATGTCTGCAAAATTTCTGTAAACACGAGCCAATAAATACTGTACTTTATGTTCGAAATGTACAGTTAATGCTCGACATAAACAACCAAGTATTTTCCACTCAAATCAATATATTTGTGCTTAAATTAAGCACAAGCTGTCATCATAAACTTCTTTATTTAAGAACTTTCTGAATGCAAGAGACGTTAAAATACTGTACTCTTTGCACGAAATGGTACAGTACAACAATCAAGAACTTTACACTCAAATCAAGTACAAACTGTATTAAAACAAAACTCAAATGTTGTGCTTTGAGTGAAGAAGAAGTCAATAAAAATTCTGTCTAATTACGGTCAAGTGCAAAGTATCTTTATTAATGTATAAGAAACACATTTCATAAACACTTTTAAGTCCAGAAGTGCTTAATCTAAAGCTTGAATACTTTAAAGTGAGTCAAGAATTTCGTACTTAAATCAAGTACAAACATGCTGGAAAACCAGACAAGGCCGAATTAGTTCAAGCTGTCAGTAGACTTCAAACTTAGTGCTTGAATTGAGTTTGTTATGTTCAGTCTTGAATTAAGTATGTTTAACTTAAAACAAGCACATTTTTCTAATTATGCTAGCGAACAATTTCAAAAGCAAGAATGAATCACGATTAATTAAAATTTCAAATGTAGTTCGACACTTTTGAAAGAAAATCTTTTTGTTTTATGCTAGCAAAGTAGTGCCAAATATTAAGAACTGGCTGTTCCGCTTAAATTAAGTATGTTTTACTTAAAACAAGCATTTGTTTTGTAACGAAAAATTTTGAAAGCAGGAATGATTCACAGTTAATTAAAATTTCAAATATACTTTGACATATTTGTAAGAACATTTTTCTGTTTTATTTTAGTCAAAGTCGTGCCAAATATTAAATTAAGTATGTCTTACTTAAAGCAAGCATACTTTTCTAAAGAAGCATTTCGAAAGAAAGAATGAATCACGTTTAATTAAAATTGAAATTTACTTTGACATTTTTGAAACAAAATCTTTTTGTTTTATGCTGTTCTAGGCAAAGTCGTGCCAAATACTAAGAACTGGCTTTTCCGCCGAGTGCATCTTTATATTATTTTGAATGTGCTCACATTTTCACTTTTGTATACTTATTTTGTATACTAAATCTGCCCCATTTACGAGAAAAGTTGATATAAATAGTTGTTGCTGCTGCATGTTTACATCGTTTGGGGGAAAGTTCGCAGCTGCCCACGCACGAATGCGTTGCTCATCCAGCTTGTGGCATTTGGCATGCAAAGTATTGCCTCACACACACACACACACACACACACACCTGCATACCTGCACACCTGCAGAAACACCTTCACTCTGGCATAAAGGAATTATTGACTTGTGCCTGACTTGATTTTTCTATTCGCTGAGCACACGCAATTTTAAGCAGCAGCAGATGCTTTTCTTTCTTCACTAGCGAGTCTTCACTGTAGCAAAACATGTGTACAGTAAACATCAGCATATGCCCGGCTCGTGTTAATTAACTTGGGGAAACATTAGCAAAATTTATGAGACGCCGCTGCCGGCACATGCAAAGTTTTTCTTTTTTGTTTTGTTTTGTTTATAGAAAATTGCTTTCGATTTTTTCACATAAATATTTTGACACTGCCGGCAGCCGAAAAGGCATTTATATCTATATATATATTTGTACATATATATCTGTCTATCTGAATATTAATGGTTTTTTTTTTGCAATTTTTTTCTATTGTCTAGAATTTCGAGCCCGTGCCGTATCCGCCCAACAACTATGGCAAATTTTACACTGGCGATTCCTTCATAATTCTGAATGTAAGTAATAATTTATTATAAGAAATTAATTATACCCTGAACCCATTAGAAATGGGTATAAGGGTATATTGTATTTGTGCAAAATCCAAATGTATGTAACAGGCTGAAGGAAGCATCTCCGACCCCATAAAGTATATATATTCTTGATCAGCACCAAAAGCCGAGTCGATCTAGCCATGTCCGTTTGTCCGTCCGTCCGTCTGTCCGTCTGTCCGTATAGATGAACGCAAGGATCTCAGAACCTATACAAACTAGAGAAATGTTAGATGTAGGTGCTCCTAGTGCCTGCGCAGATCGAGTTTGTTTCCGATAATCGATAACTTACTCCGTTTCCAAGCAATCGATAAAAATCGATATCGATATCTTGTTTTTTTGGGCAATTTTGGTAAATAATAAGAGCTAGAGTCACCAAACTTGACATATAGCTTCTAAAATAGAATAGATATATATGCATTCGATGTTGGAAGAAGAGGGTTCAGGGTATCCCCTAGTCGGGAGCTCCCGACAAGAACCTCTTACTTGTTAAATAGTTTTTTAGTATTTTTATGCTATATATAGGAATAATTGCTTTTGTTGAGGTCAGTTTACAGCTCGGGTTTACTTGTGGCCTTTCCATCTGAAAAACTGACTCATTTTAATTGCGTAAATGGAAAAAAGCATCGCTACGATTGTAAAAACTGGCTAACAAAGATTCTTTGTGTAAATATATACACTTTCTAGATAAGTTCAGAAATGTATTTAGCATTATTATGACTAACATATGGTGTTTAGGTTCTCATCAAATATAAAACAAATATTAAGTTAATTTAAATGTGGGAATCGGGAACTTATAAATATTTAAACAGTTGAAAGGCTAAAGAATCGTACAGCGTATGATTGGGTTAGCCTATAAAATTTCACAAATAATTTATTTTGGTTGAAACTAGCTTTGGTTACAGTTTCTCTAATAATTGGAATAAAAGTAGGGTTAGGTTTATTTTAAGGTTAAGTTATGCATTTTGTGAACTGGTTTAAGAATTCGTTTCATTAAACAAAGCTGAACTATTTTAATAATTATTTTATCGGTCGGTTTTAGGTTAAGTTATTGTGTTGTTGTGAACTGGTTCGGTTCAGGGTTCAGCTCGGTAATAAAATAAGAATTCGGTATTTAAACCGGTTTTAGAATTCGATTTTTGAACTGGTTCGATTCATGAACAGTTTTTTAAAGTTGAAGAAACGTAGGGCTATGTTCGTTTTGTAGGTAAAGTTATTTTTGAACCGGTTCGGTTCAGGTTTTGAATCGTTATACATAAAAAAAAAATTCGAAATTTGCACTGGTACGGTTTTAGGCATTGCATTTATATATCAAAATCGGAAACATTAAGATAAGGTCTATAATTTTTGAGATTTAAGTTAACTAGAAAATATTTGATATTTAACTAAACAAATATCAAGAATTTTGTTTATTTTATTAGTTTTTATACTATATAAAAAATCAATTAATTAAATACTTAACTCTTTTTTTGCGAAATTTTCACAGACCAAGCAGAACCCGAAGGACAAGCAGCTCACATGGGATGTGCACTTCTGGCTGGGCTCGGAGACCTCCACGGATGAGGCTGGCGCAGCGGCTATATTGACCGTGCAGCTGGATGACATCCTCAATGGCGGACCCGTGCAGCATCGCGAGGTGCAGGATCACGAGTCCCAGCTGTTCCTCGGCTACTTCAAGAACGGTAACTAGAGCTTGCTTCGTACTTGGTTCGCATTTAAAACTGGCTCGCTTGTTTCAGGTGTTCGCTATGAACAGGGCGGAGTTGGCACCGGCTTCAAGCACGTGGAGACAAATGCTCAGGGCGAGAAGCGTCTGTTCCAGGTGAAGGGCAAGCGCAATGTGCGCGTCCGCCAGGTGAATCTGTCTGTCTCCTCGATGAACAAGGGCGATTGCTTCATACTGGATGCCGGCAACGATATTTACGTCTATGTGGGCGCCCAGGCCAAGCGCGTGGAGAAGCTGAAGGCCATTAGCGCAGCGAACCAGATTAGAGATCAGGATCACAATGGACGCGCCCGCGTCCAGATCATTGACGAGTTCAGCACAGATCTAGACAAACAGCAGTTCTTCGATGTGCTCGGCTCCGGCTCGCCCGATCAGGTGCCCGAGGAGTCCACCTCCGACGAGGACGGCGCCTTCGAGCGCACCGACGCCGCCGCCGTTACCCTCTACAAGGTGTCCGATGCCAGCGGCCGGCTCCAGGTGGACACCATTGCCCAGAAGCCGCTGCGTCAGGCCATGCTGGATACGCGCGATTGCTTCATTTTGGACACCGGCTCCGGCATTTTTGTGTGGGTGGGTCGCGGTGCCACGCCCACGGAGAAATCGGATGCCATGGCCAAGGCGCAGGAGTTCCTGCGCACCAAGAAATATCCTGCCTGGACGCAAATCCATCGCATCGTCGAGGGCGCCGAGTCGGCGCCATTTAAACAATATTTCGATACATGGCGCGATTCCGGCATGGCACACACACGACTCGTGCGCTCCGCGCTGAACATCGGCTCGGACGAGTCACTGGATCTGGACGAGATCGATGCGGTCGTGCAGCAGCTGAAGAAGAGCGGCGGCCGTGCCATCGGCTTCATGCCCGATCATGGCCAGAACAGCATTGGCGACATCGTCCAGTATGTGAGCGAGCCGGGCAGCAATGAGGTGCTGCGCAACCGTGTGCCCTTCGAGGAGGAGTTGCCGCTGCTCGGATTCGGCTCCTATGTGCTCAGCTACAACTACGAGGCCAACAACGGTGACAAGGGCGTCGTCGTCTATGTCTGGCAGGGTGCCAAGACTAATGCGGCCGTCAAGGAGCGCGCCTTCGAGGACGGCCTGGCGCTGGCCATCGAGCAAAAGGCGCTGCTGGTGCGCACCACGCAGGGACACGAGCCGCGTCACTTCTACAAGATCTTCAAGGGCAAGCTGCTCGAGTCGTACACGGCGCTGCCCGTCTCCTCACAGCTGTTCCGCATACGCGGCACCGTCGAGAGCGACGTCCATGCCAGCGAGGTGCCCGCCGACAGCTCTTCGCTGGCCTCCAGCGATGCTTTCGCGCTGGCCTCCACCAAGACGCACAAGGTGTACGTCTGGCATGGCCTGGGCGCCTCCAGCTTCGAGAAGGAGGCGGCCACAGCACGCTTCGCCCACTACTGGAGGGATGCTAAGCTGGAGCTGGTCGAGGAGGGCGCCGAGCCGGATGAGTTCTGGGAGGAGCTGAACGGTGAGGGTCAGTACGATCGCAATCTGGAGGATCATACGGCGCCGCTGCTGGAGCCGCGTCTCTTCCACTGCCGCCTGACACGCACCGGTCGCGCCAAGGTCGAGGAGGTGGCCGATTTCCAGCAGGAGGATCTCGACACGGACGATGTCATGCTGCTCGATGCCGGCGACGAAATCTACCTGTGGGTTGGCGCCGGCGCCACAGCCGAGGAGAACGGCAAGATCTTGGACATGGCACAGGTAAGCCCAGCACAAGCCCCATTGAACTTCTCTTTAATCTTCTTTCCCCTCCATTTTAGCGCTATATCGGCTCGGAGCCCACCGCCCGAACCATGGACACCGTGAGCATTGTGCGCGTCACCCAGGGCCACGAGCCGGGCGCCTTCAAGCGCATGTTCCCCGCCTGGGAGGACAGCTACTGGCAGGTAAGTAGATCGCTGCCCAACTGAATCGCATGCCACATTCAATTACATAACAATCGCCTGCTTTGCTTAATCTTGTTCTCGCTCACGCTCACACTCATGCCTGATCCCAAACACTCGACTTGATCGGTGAGTGAGTATCTCGGCGTCCACAAGTCCACCAGCTCACAAATCATTCCACACTCTCCTCCATTCCTTAAACACTTTATTGATCTTCGCTTTTTATCACAGTCCCTGCCCTCCTATGAGGACATTAAACGCCAGATTATGGATGCCAACAACGAGGTCTGATGTGGAACTCTCAGCTAGAATACTCAGCAAAACTGACCAAAAAATTTATGTTCGTTTTTGCCTTCAAAAAAATACGAAAGAAAAAAAAAACTTCAATGTAATGTATTGTTTTTTCTATGTATTAAATGGAAATGTTTTTTACTCACAAAAATTATTTGTAATTTTTTCAAATTTCATATTTTATACGGTTTTAGAGAAAAACATTTTTAAGAGATTACATTATCTGGAAAAGCTCTTTTAGCAAAATTGCCTTAAAAAAATACTAAAGAAAGTAAACTTTAATGTAAATCCATTTTTGTGTAATAAATGAATATATTTGTAATCTTATAAAGTTAAAAATTTTAAATGGATAAAACTGTTTTAAAGAGATTCCATTCTCTGGAAAAACCTATTTCCAAACTAAAAAACCTCATAACTCAGTAATAAGTAAAACGAGAAAATGTTTATTTTTTGGTTGGATTCTATTTCTATTTGTGAATTATTAAATAATTTAGAAATCGTCAGCTGCGGTCTGTGCGAGACATAGTCTTAAATTAGATTCAGTTTTCTGGAACACCCCACGCGACTTCTTCGATCCAGTCCAGGTACGTAAATACACGGGTGTAGACACTTGGGTAGCTGCTGCGGCAGAACACGCCGAAGGAGGTGATGCCAATAAGATGATAATGGATGTGCTGATGTCGGCGACCCGGCAAATTCAGCTGGAGTGGACCGCCCGAGTCGCCTTGGCAGGTGTCCCGATTTTGAACAAAGTCCTGAGCGCATATTTGACTGTCTATAATGCCATTGGGCGTCTCTGCGAAAACGGGCAGATCCCGGTTGCACTCCTCGTTGGGCACAATGGTCGCATTCAGATGGGTCAAGCGATATGTCATGCCCTTGCCAAAGCTAGTGGAGCCATAGCCCATGGCGAATGCAATCGATGTCGGTATCTCCCCGCGGACCCACAGACGTATGGGGCGAACGTACTCGGTCAGACTGAAAGGAAACCAATTTGAAAGAATGTTCATGTTCTACTTTTACTTCTACTTCTACTTCTACTTCTACTTCTACTTCTACTTCTACTTCTACTTCTACTTCTACTTCTACTTCTACTTCTACTTCTACTTCTACTTCTACTTCTACTTCTACTTCTACTTCTACTTCTACTTCTACTTCTACTTCTACTTCTACTTCTACTTCTACTTCTACTTCTACTTCTACTTCTACTTCTACTTCTACTTCTACTTCTACTTCTACTTCTACTTCTACTTCTACTTCTACTTCTACTTCTACTTCTACTTCTACTTCTACTTCTACTTCTACTTCTACTTCTACTTCTACTTCTACTTCTACTTCTACTTCTACTTCTACTTCTACTTCTACTTCTACTTCTACTTCTACTTCTACTTCTACTTCTACTTCTACTTCTACTTCTACTTCTACTTCTACTTCTACTTCTACTTCTACTTCTACTTCTACTTCTACTTCTACTTCTACTTCTACTTCTACTTCTACTTCTACTTCTACTTCTACTTCTACTTCTACTTCTACTTCTACTTCTACTTCTACTTCTACTTCTACTTCTACTTCTACTTCTACTTCTCTACTTCTACTTCGACGTGACGGGCACGGCGACGGCGACGGCGACGTCGGACGGCGAGGCGACGGCGACGGCGACGGCGACGGCGACGGCGACGGCGACGGCGACGTGCGGACGGCGACGGCGCCGGCGACGGCGACGGCGACGGCGACGGCGACGGCGAAGGCGACGGCGACGGCGACGGCGACGGGCGACGGCGACGGCGACGGGCGACGGCGGACGGCGACGGCGACGGCGACGGCGACGGCGACGGCGACGGCGACGGCGACGGCGACGGTCGACGGCGACGGCGACGGCGACGGCGACGGCGACGGCGACTGGCGACGGCGACGGCGACGGCGACGGCGACGGGACGGCGACGGCGACGGCGTGGTACGGCGACGGCGACGGCGACGGCGACGGCGACGGCGACGGCTACGGCGACGGCGACGGCGACGGCGACGGCGACGGCGACGGCGACGGCGACTGTCGACGGCGACGGCGACGGCGACGGCGACGGGACGGCGACGTCTACTTCTACTTCTACTTCTACTTCTACTTCTACTTCTACTTCTACTTCTACTTCTACTTCTACTTCTACTTCTACTTCTACTTCTACTTCTACTTCTACTTCTACTTCTACTTCTACTTCTACTTCTACTTCTACTTCTACTTCTACTTCTACTTCTACTTCTACTTCTACTTCTACTTCTACTTCTACTTCTACTTCTACTTCTACTCTACTTCTACTTCTACTTCTACTTCTACTTCTACTTCTACTTCTACTTCTACTTCTACTTCTACTTCTACTTCTACTTCTACTTCTACTTCTACTTCTACTTCTACTTCTACTTCTACTTCTACTTCTACTTCTACTTCTACTTCTACTTCTACTTCTACTTCTACTTCTACTTCTACTTCTACTTCTACTTCTACTTCTACTTCTACTTCTACTTCTACTTCTACTTCTACTTCTACTTCTACTTCTACTTCTACTTCTACTTCTACTTCTACTTCTACTTCTATTTCTACTTCTACTTCTAAATTTCAACCCATTTATACTCACATAACATCTTTCTCCAGTTTTAAAAGTGCGATATCATTGTAGTAGGAGTCCACTCTGTAATCGGGATGCTTGGATATGCTTTCAATTCCAAAGTTCTGCGGCTTAACCCGCGCCTCATCGATCAACAGATTCAGTCCGCCGATTCGCACCCATTTCGGCGCGGCGCTACAAAATGTTAAATGGGCCACAGGCCATCAGAGAGAACCCTCGACCCGACGCTCGTTCCCAACTCACCCCTCCACCTCGGTGCAATGGGCCACAGTCAATACAAAGTTCTCACTTATCAAACTGCCACCGCATTTGTAGTCAATTTTTTCGGAGTTCGTCGCAAAGCCGAGAGCTGCCTATAAAATTTAATTGACCGGGTTCATGTTATTGTTCGTCTTATAAAAGCTACACTCAGAGAAAAATGTGGCTGACGAATTTGCACTTCAAATTAAAAAATTCAGGTTTTTGTTTGATTATTTTTGTGTATACCTAAGTTAAGAACTTCTAAATGATGAACTCTAAATTGAGCGTCAATCTTAGAAATAATGCTTGGATTAAGTTGTTTTATGCTTAAGATAAGCTTAAATGTATAACTTTTCTTAAATTGAGTTCTCAACTTAAATCTAGTATTCAAGAATTTGGAGCTTCAACAAAATCTTTGGATAGAAAGCTTGTTTCAGCTCAAGAAATATTACTTATGTTTAATTTTGTTAAAGTTTCTGCTTATTTGAAGTAGAAAGTTTTTGGTTTCTTGACTCAAAAAATTTCAAAATTTCCTAGATTCAAGGATCGCATTTGGGAGTTTCAGATGAAACAGAAAAGGGTCATGGGAAAAGGGTTGCAATTCTTGATTTCTCATTTTTCTCTGAGTGTATTCACAAAAATATTTTATTATCAGCTGAGCTGCCTTTTTACCATATGAGGGTATTCACCAGGCCGAGCGAGTACGCGTCCATCGAAATCTTCATCATTGGCGTCTTCCGTTACGGCCGTATCGTTGGGAAATATGCGCTCCACATACTCGGAGTACTCTTTGGCAGAATATAGGGTATACAGTTGGTGAGTGATTAATAACTAAAAACAAGAACTCACTTCGCTCGCAGAGGCGCCGCTGCCTGTTTTTGCGCTTCTTGTGCCGATGACCATTTGGCGGCGGCGGAAAGGGTTGACCCGGCCGATAGGCATGCGGATTTAGCTGGCGGGCGGGCGGCTCCGGCAGCTCCAGGCTATTATCGGGGCTGCCCACCAGCTGAAAATCGCTTATTTTGTACAGTGTATCGAACTGTTTGGTGCCCGGAAAAACAATGTCCTGCTCCCGGGGAAAGAACATCGGCTGATTCATGGGCAAACGCTGGCCCAAAGCCAAGCAGCTGAGCGCAGCCGAGAGGAGTGCCAAAAAGCAGCGCATTTTTTTTGTTTTTTATTATTTATAAATTATAAATTCGGATTACTTAAATTTTGTTTTTCGGGCGCACAATTGCGCACAGTCGGAGCTGAGAAGTGAGACTAAAGCGGCGAAGAGCCGAGCTCCGGCGAGCCGAGCCGGCGGCTTATCAGCCTTATCAGCATATTGAAATGGTCGAAGAGATTGTCACAACAATTTGTTATTTATTAACATATTTATTTTTTGGTCATTTAAATGTGGATGCCCAGTGTCTGGGGATTGACGAGCGTCGCAGTGCGCGGTGCATGAACCTGTGTGCTGCCCCCCAGTTGTGCCTCATATTGCGCAATTATCGAACGCTGGATCTGCTCCAGTTCCTGGTCATTACGGTATCTCAGCACGTTGACGGTGGGCTCATTGTCAGGCGTGGGCGCGGGGGCGGGGGCGGGCGCGGCATAGACGAGCGCCAGCAGGGCGAACAGCAAAAGTAGCTGACATGAAAAACCATATAACATTCTCTATATATCTTTTATATATATCTCACATCTGGCACTTACGCAAATAGTCTTCATTTTTGTGCAGTTCTTAAAGCAAAACTAAAACGCGCGCTTGCCGACGCAGGCGCTTTTATAGTCCGAAAAGAAACAAAACTTTAATAAAACTTAAATAATAATATCATTTTTTTTTTGGGGCTCAAAACTTATCGTTGTGTTCATAATCAAATTATAATTTGCAACTATACGAACTTGAACAACTTGAAACGTTAACGAAACGAGTTTTGGAAACTCATTTGTTTAACATAATATCCATGGCTCGATTGTCAGGCAAAATCGATCTGACAGTATTGAGCCCTGATTTTCCAGTAATCGCAAAGCGGGCTCTCAGTATACCCTGTACATATTGAGATTGCTTGCGAGCAGGGTATTATAATTTTGTCGCAATGTATGTAACGGGTATCACAATATTGTCGATAACGATAAATATCGATTATCAGCTTAAGTTTGTCGAGCATATCTTATGTTATTATCTGGATATCTTCCCTCCATTCCCAGTCCAATCAAAATCATTGCCAGAGATATAATATTATATGTTTGTGGCAATGTGTGCTCGTATGTCATATCGATAAGTATCGAGTTTATCGATTATTTTACGGCATGCAAAAATATATTATTAACCGAATACCAGCTTCCTTTAGTTCGGTGCTGCATATAGGGTATCTGCCAGTCGAGCACTCTGACTTGCCGGCACAGATTTCTTACGATGAGCTTAATTATTCCTAAGACTACAAATTGGCGTGTTTTTGTTCGAATTCGATTTTGCTTTGTGTGAAAGCGAAACCATCCAACTGGTTTTGTTAGCATGTAAATTAAAATAGAATGTGGGCTATGGTATTGAAAAAAAAAAAGAAGCAAACTAGTCGCTGATATGCTTAGTTAGCTGCCATATATCAATAAATCAATCACAAGTTCACTTTCATGCTGATTTCTTTATTTTATTTTATTTTATTTGTATTACTTCAGCTTGTTTTACTTTTAATGCTCCGATTATAATATGTTGTCATAGTCGCAATAATATGTTGAACAAATATATTAAAAGTTCGAACGCGCACTTTTCTGTTCTCTAGCTCAATTTGGCATCTAAATCTGGCAACATAATACCTGGTCAAAATTAAAGTGGAAATGTAACCTCCAAGTCTCAAATATCGTACATAGACATAGGTCAAAATTTCCCACCCCCCATAACTCTGTCAAAAACCAACAGATTTTCATAAGGTTTGGCTTTTTGTTCATGGTTTGGTGTGGGAACATTAATCTTGGTCAAAACTCATGTAGCCATACGTCAAAATTGCCCACTTAGGTCAAAACCCATCCCCATAATTCGGTGAAATCTCATCAGTTTTTCACGTGGTTTGGTTTCTTGTACATAGTTTTTCATCTAAATCTGGCAACATTATGCTTGGTCAAAATTCATGTGAAAATGGTACCCGAAAATCTTAAAGATCCTTTATACTCATAGGTCAAAATTTCCCATCTCACAGTATCAAAGGCTGTTTCCCATTTCGGACTCAAGAAATTTGTTTGTAAGAAAAGTGTTGCATATTTTCGGGCTGCTTGCGAAAATAAATTGCATATAAAAAGCAAACATTAAATTGTAAGATAAATGTTTATTTTTGAAATTCTTAAACGTAATATGCCACAAATTTTTATTAAATTATTTAACATTTAAAAAAATATTTTTATATTTTAACTTATGCAAGTATGCGCAATATTTAAGTCCACATTTTCGGTCTTTGGCAATTTTGGTAAAATTCCAAAAATGTAAATTTTATATATAATACTTATTTTAATAAGCCGTCTGCCGACAGTCGCGTCTTAGATGATTCCCGAAAAAAATGCATTGCCGACACACAAGTTGACATTCCAGCTGGGCCCCAGTTTTGGACAAACCCACAAATCTGGTCGCCAAATTGGACACCCAGCCGTAATTTGAATACATTTACACATTTTCCGGCTCACCAAATCTGATGTGTGTGTGTTTTTTTTTTTTCATTTTTGAAGCTATATGTTCCAATTAAAAAACGTTTGGCATTTTGATTGGAACACGGGGTCTGATATTTGTTGCCCAATGCAGCAGCGCATTTGCATGCTGTTGCATCTTTGGGATGCAGCCGCATCTTCATATAAATATCGGGCGGAGTTGCAATTGGCGGACACACAGACACAGCCCAGCAGCTGCACAGCACACTCAGAGCCAAGAAATAGCCTACGGTGTGGAAAACTCAAGCCCAAGCACAACAATGCGCGCTTTTATGGTAAGTGCCACAGCCTAATCCTCGCCAGAAATTAGGTTAAGCCCTGCCTTATTTGCAGATGCTTTGCCTGGTAGCCGTCGCCCGTGGTCAGTATGATTATACGCCCCAGTCCCATGCCGGGGATGGGCGTGGCGGTCTCATAGGCAGTCCCGATGTCGGCGCCGCCCAGCTGTCGGAGCCCATACTCATTGCCAATGAGTTCAACAAGGAGTTCTACACGTACAGCGCGCCGGAGCAGGAGTTCGACAACGGGCCCGTTAACGAGCAGATCGCCAATAGTCTGCGCAAGAATCTGCGCGTGCTCTTCATCAAGGGGCCGGAGAACACGGGCCTGGAGCAGGCGGCACTGCAGCTGGCCTCGTCCGCCTCGGACGATCGCACCGCCATCTATGTGCTGAACAAACAGGCCGATATTGGCGAGCTGGCCAACAGACTGAACCAGGTCAAGCTGCAGACGAACAACAAGCCGGAGGTGCACTTCGTCAAGTATCGCACGCAAAGCGATGCGGAGAATGCACAGCGCATCATCCAGGCCCAATACGATTCGCTGCCCGGCCGCTCGACCAATCACAATGCCGGCTCCTCGGCGCCAGTCTTGGACTTTGCCACAAAGAATGGCCCAGTTGGAGCTGCAGCCACAGGCGAGGCACCATCAAATAGCGTGTATTTGCCACCCAGCCGTAGGTTTTAGATATAAGCAAATGTTCATTATAGCTAGTATACACTGTTAAAAAAATATAATTTAGTTTTTCCCTAATTCGATTCGATTTGAGTACGTTTTTTCGCTGGGCAAAATAGTTAACTGCGCCAACTATTAGAGGCAGGCCGACTATTTTCGACGCGACTGTTGCTATATCTTATTGCAATATTTATTTGAATTAGTTAAAAAGCTTGAGTTGCTTACTGTAAAGCTGAGCCAACTATTTCGAACGCGACTGTAAGCAATATGACTAAATATGACCAGGTCAACAATTTTGAATGCGACTGTAAGAGATGTGGCTGTGTCTTGACAAAAGGCAAACATGATTTTGTCTAAAATGTCGAGTCAAGCTGGTCAACAATTGTGAACGCGACTGTAACAAATTTAGCCTCTCGTAAAAGACAATATATTTATGTTTGCTTATTTAATTAAAGTGCTTTAAATTAGTCACAAATCCTAAAATGTTGCTCTTTAATAAAAATAAATAGTAATTACTTTTAAGTGAGTTGCTGATACTTTAAGCTGGGCCAAATATTTTTAATGCGACTGTTATAAATGTGGCAACATTTTAGTTGGGCAAAATAGGTTGAGCAAAGTGACGTTTTTGAGCGCAACTCTGGACAGTGTTGCTCTAGTATAAAAAAATAATAAAATATAAGTTTAAGTCAAAAGGAGTTAACAGGCAGAGACGTGACAGTGTTACCACAATTAATATCGACTTTAATCGAATTAGAGATACGTTAAATTCAAAAAGGTTTTATATAATATTTTTAACCCAAATCATGAATTAATGTGTTTTATACCCTGAACCCATTAAATATGGTTGAAAAGGGTATATTGCTTTTGTGCAAATTTATGTAACAGGCAGACGAAAGTATCTCCGATTAGCATCGATAGCAGAGACGATCTATCAATATCTGTCTGTCAGTTTGTCTTACCTACAGCCCGCACAGTGTAAGTTTGTTATCGATAAACGATAACTTGCCCCGTTTACAAGCAATCTATAAGAATCGATTTTGACTTGCTGTTTTTTGAGCAAATCTCGTATGTTATAAGAGCTAGAGTCAACAAATTTGATATTTAGCTTCTTGAATAATATATATATATATATATATATTAAATATCTTTCATTTTTAGCTACCCACAACCTAAAGTAAATAAATAAACCCATTGACATCATCAACAACTGTAATTGACTTTTGAAGAATATACGAATATTTTATAAGATCTGCTGTTGAAAATTTCATCAAGATCGGTTAAGAAACACAGAAGTTATTAAGTACAGTTGTGTTTATGTTGACACGTGTCGCCTTTATAGAATTCTAATAATAGCACTGCAATTGCGATTGTATTGTATTCTGTGTTGTGTCTATGTGCCGCTATTTTAATTCGGTTTTAAGTTGTTGACATGGCTGTCGAGTAGAGGCGCTGGCAAGTAGCGCGCTCTGTTACGGGTTCGAGTCTTATTGAGGGAAGTAATATTATTTTTATTCTTTTTTTATATATTACTTTTTTTTTATTACTACTAACGCAAACGAGCTGGAGTAGGGTTCAGGGTATCCCCTAGTCGGGATGCAGATTAGGCTGAAGTTGCTTGCAAATCTTCTGCTTCAATTGTTTAACCTGCCGTATGCGTGATATACGATGCACAATATTTATAGACAAATTGTAAACAATTATTACACGAGCTTTAACTGTGGGCCTCTTCTATCAAATAGCTGGTAGAATAATTAGCATAATGTCGCTCGGCAAAGACAATGAATGGGGCTCTTGTTAGGCTTTTATTATATTTCGAAAGCTAACGACGCTTCAAATTGTGTAAAGCTCGAATTTAAAATTGTGGACGAGCCAGACATGAAACCATAAACTGCTTTCTTTGGCAACAAACATTTGTTTACATGTTTTTTTTTTGTATTTTTACTTTGACTTGAATTAATTTATGCACATTTGGCAGACGCAACCGGTTGAGGGGGGATGGGGTCATCTGCTCCGCACAAGTCAACGAGCCAACTAATTTGGCGATCAGTTAACGTTTTGGGTCTTGGCCAGCTGCATATGCATGAAAGAAATGACTTTCTTTCGTTATTTGTCGCATTTACCAATAATATTTCGCATTAATTCCGCATTGGCGTTGAAATATTATGAGATTATACTAATTTGAATACCGAGTCGCTGGGCTAGCCCGGGTTATATAACGGTCCAACTGAGATGCATCTATCTAATCTGAATATTTCCGAATATGGTTCCGTGATTTGCCAACCACATGGCTAGGCCGTCCGGCGCTTGGGCAGCTGGGACAATAGATTCGATAATTTTATACCCAAATTTCTATTGGGCAGGGAAACGCTGCGACATATTGCGAGCTCTTATAAAAACATTGCCGGCGCTCGATTGGGGCATCAGTTGAGTTCAATCTGCTCGGGTCAGTTGAAGTAGAAGTTCACAGTCCGCCAGGCTCAAAAGCAAAAATGCAACAATTCTTCCTTCTAGTGGTAAGTCACAGGGTCTTATTGGTTTGTGCCACACCTCAAGCTGATCTCCTCCATATTCGCAGTGCTTGTCGTGCGTGGTGCTCGTCGCCGCAGCTCCGCAGGGCTACAAGTATCAGCAGCCAGCTCTGCAGGCGGGCAATCTGCGTCCGCAGACGCCGCTCTCGGCAAGTGGAATATACAACGTGCCCGCCCAGCAGCCCGTCTACAATAATGTTGTGGAGGCACCGTTGCCACAGCCTCTGCCCCAGGCCCAGCAGATTGTCTACCAGCAGCCGCAGCCCCAGATTCAGCAGCAATTTGTGCCTTCTCCGCCCCAGCAGCAGTTTGTGCCCCAGATCCAGCCTCAGCCCCAGATTCAGCAGCAGTTCGTGCAGTCACAGTATCAGGCGCAGCGTCCCTCGATTGTGACCAAGGATATCTATATACACTCCGCACCGGATGACACCGAGGAGCTGCAGTCGGCGCCTCAGTTGGATAACACGCCCATTCGCAAGAATTATCGCATTGTGTTCATCAAGGCGCCCACACAGAATCTGAAGCACACCGCTGCCGCGCTGAAGCGCGCCCAGGCCAGCAACGAGGAGAAGACCGTCATCTATGTGCTGTCCAAGAAGCCCGACATCAACGAGATTCACCAGCACCTGCAGCTGAACCAGAACGAACCGAAGGTGCACAAGCCCGAGGTCTACTTCATCAAGTACAAGACCACGGAGGAGGCACAGCGCGCCCAGCAGGAGATCCAGGCTCAGTACGATGCTCTCGGCGGTGCCACACACATCTCGGACGAGGGTGTTGCGCCCATCACCAGCTTCTCCGGCTCCGGCTCTCTCAATCTGGGCAACATTGTGCCGCAGCACATCCAGCAGCAGGCCCAGTCCCAGGCCCAGAGCGTGGGCATCCAGCAGCAGAACTTCCAGAGCGGCAACTTCCAGAGCTCCGGCGGCTTCCAGAGCTCCGGCGGCTTCCAGAGCTCCGGTCTGCAGACCTCCTCTGTCTCTTCCGGCGCCAACTTTGGCGTCAATGTCCCATCCAAGCGCTACATCCCAGCCAAGTCTAAATAAGGTGGACATTCCACCGCATTTCTTTCATTCAATTCCAACAATCGCCGCATTTTAGTTTATTTTAATTTATTGTCAAATCAATAATCAAATCAAAATAAATATATCCAATATCTTAGCCAGACATAAATATTTTTAAATTTTATAGTTAATTGAATTGTATTTGAATAGGATTTATTTTCTGTGAAGAAACTAGAAGTACTATATTTTTTCTTCTGTCTCTTTTTCCTATTTTTGTCCCTTTCTTACACGCCCCTCATTAGTTTATTTATCTAAAACAAATCTTTAAGTTGTCCAAGGATAGGATATATCCCTTTCCCTTTCGTCCCCTTCTCTCTCCTTCCCTCACTCTCTTTTTCTCTAAATTACAAGTTTTAAGTGCTTGAACACCCTCTTTCTCTCTCACTCTTCCCCTTTCTAACCCTCTTTATTTCTTCCTTTGTCTCTATCCCTCTCACTCTCACTCTTCCGATTTCTCACTCTGTATTTTTCTCTTCCTCTATAGATCTCCCGCTCTCTATCTTTTCTTCATTTTCTCTTAGTCTCCTTCCCTCTCTCGCTCTCCTGTTTCTCTCTCTCTATCTCTTACTCTCTTTCCTTCATTTTCTCTCTCCCTCCTGCCCTCTCTCTCTTTTTATCTCTCTTTTTCTACCTCCCTATTTCCCTAATTTTCCCCCAACTCTCTCTCTTTAAGGTCTCTCTCACGCTCTATCTCTATCTTTTCTCCCCAGTCTGTCTGTCTCTTATTTTCTGACTCTCCCCCAATACTTTTCTCTCCCTCTATAGTTCAATTGGTTAAAGGAGTGGGTCCCTCTGACAATTCACCTCGCCTTCAGCTAGTTGGAGTCCTAATTAATAGCACAAGATGTTGATTAGGTTATATTTCAATCAGAGAAACTGTCTGGCCTATGCAGACCGTGATCCGTCGTTAAATCTTGTGCGTTAATTGAGTGAACCTAATGATTATTAACCATAATTGTAAAACCTGAAAAGATCATTTATTCAAAAGCTTAATTGCTTAATTAACACCTTTTTTGGATGAGTTCGCTGAGGATACTTATCGATGTCTTAATAGGAAACTGCAAAGCTGAGCAGTCGCTTAACCAGGCTAGACCTTGATAAAAGCAGGGCCGTAAATTTAAATATATTTTTGGTGGGGAATGGCTAACGTCTCACTTTAGGTTTGGTTCATGATCTGGCTTTTCACTTTTATCAGGCCTAGTATGAAATTCTGGGTCGCACCTGGGTTCGTCGCAGTCATCCTTGTCGCATCTTTGACTGTTTGCCTTGACTGAATGCTTGATTATTAATGCATTCTTTGGGCTTGAAAGTGAGCGCTAAGATGGAGTTTGAGGGAAACGGGATCTTCGATTAGAAGAATGCGTTGGCTTAAACATCAACAGAATCGCAAAACATTCAAACTGTGAGACGCAAGCGTAGCCTAGATGAGCGTCGAACTATCAAGTGGGAGGTCGCCGGTTCAAATATAGAAGCAGTTTTCATCCAGCAATGAGCACTAAGATGGGAATTATGGGAAATGCGATCTCCGTTTGGAAGAAACAGAAACATGAAGTCTAGCATCGGACTATCAAGTGTAAAGTCGCTGGTTCAAATCTAGAAGCAGTGTTTAATTCCTATAGTTGTTTATTTAATTTATTATAATTCACAATTATAAAAGCATATTTATTGTCTAAAAAACATCAACAGCAACACGAGGTCTAAGTCTTCGAACTATCTGGGGAGAAGTCGCTGGTTCAAATATGGAAGAACCTTAAAATTCCTATAGTTTATTTATTTAATTCATATTTATTTATTATGTATTTAGCTTATTATTATTCAAATAATTACACAACCTGCCGCATTTGAGCCGAGCTTGGGTAATATCTTCTATAATATCTGATGAGGGTTTATGCCAGTATAAATTATAGGCCCTAAAAAGTGTGAGCAACCACTTAGTGACTCAAGATATTGCTCTGCACGATCATTATGTAGATTTTGGGATTATGCAAGGCAAATCAAATGCTAATCGATGCGACCGGTTTTCCCAGCCCGGCTAAATCAATGTGGCAATGTGCAGAGGCATAAAACTATTTTGTTTTTTTTTGTCTTTGATTTTTGTTTTCGTGATCGCCTTTGTCAAGTAACAATTGTGAAAGATGCGCCTGAAGGTCGCTGCGGAGTCGGAGGGGGAGTAGGAAAACGAAAATATTTATTCAGCTAGATATATTTAATATAATATATAGTTAGACAATTTGTTTGTTTTTTCTTTTTTTTTTTTTACCTATGACTACAATAACAACAACAATTCTTGAGTTCTCAGTCAATTCTCAGCATCACGCACGCAGATGTGCGGGCAAATATTTGCTAGGCACGGCGCCCGTGAGGCCTGCCGTGCTACCAATCCCTGCACCTGTGCCCACCTGATTATCCAGAGCACCGATAACCGATGTGACCGGTGCCACGCCCTCGTCGGAAACCTGCGTGGTGCCGCCCAGCTGATCGTATTGAGCTGCAAAGAAGACCAAATCGATAAGCGAAAAAAACCCGGCAATAGAGGTTAGCCTCCTCTCCAATTCTGTTGACCATAAAAGCGACTCGCAAGGTCTTGGCCGTATGCAAAGTTTGTCTTCCGTGGCTTTTGTTTTGGAACTTACCTTGTATGGTGCGCTGCGCATGCGCCGCTTCCTCCTGCGTTTTGTATTTGATAAAGAACACCTCCGGTTTGCTGATGGGCTTCGGTGCCGCCTCCTCGATGGCCGTTTGCAGCTCGAGCGGATCGGGCTTCTTGGTCAGCACATAGATGATGGTCTTCTCCTCGACGGGCGCCTGCTGCACCCGGACGGCCGCCTTGCTCACGCTGGGCGTCGGCGCCTTAATGAACACAATGCGATAATGTTTGCGTGGTGGGCCCACGGGCAGCACGGGCTGTGGATAGCGCTCCTCTGGCTCCTCGGCGGGCGGCACGTGCACATAGATGTCCTTGGAGACGACGGGACTGTAGGACTGCGGCTGTTGATTGTAGCCAAAGCTGGAGACCTGCTGCTGGAAGATCTGCTGCTGCTGCTGCTGCTGCGGCTGTTGCTGGAAGATCTGCTGCACCTTGGGCGCCTGCAGCGCCTGCTGCACGAGACGCTGCTCATCCACGCTGGCCGCCTGCTGTTGCAGCCCGGCTAAGCCGGGTATGCTGGGTATGCCGGGCAGCTGCAGATTTCCCCCCGCCTGGTAATTGTATCCTTGTGGCGCCGCCAACGAAAGGCCCAGCAGGCACGTAACCTAAGCAGAAAACGCGATCCATTAGACAAATGCTACAGAAGATTCCAACCAAAAAGCGCTTACAATAAACACGCGCATTTCCGTTTCGATTTGATGGCCGACTGAAGACTGAGCACCGGGTTGCTTGGCAAACAGAAACCAACTAAATGCTAATCAGTCGCCGACTGTCACTTATAAGACGCCGACGCGAATCTCTGTCGTGATGCTGCAGCAGCAGCTGGAGATGGAGCTGGAGCTGGAGATGGAGATGATGATGAGAGACGACGCAAAGTTCAAATGAAACTGAAACTGAAACAGAAACCACAACAAAACGCACGCAGTGCGAGGGCCAATAGATCTCACAAGCGACAACAAAGCCGCTTTTCAAATACCCTGTAATCAGTGAGGAGGGCTATATTGTTTTTATGCAAATGTTTGTCACAGGTAGAATGCGGCATCTACTTTTCGATGATCTGCATAAACAGTCGTGTGGTATTTAGGTTCTGTTAAGCTCATATTAAGCGTTTTGCGATCGATAAATATCGATAAATAACATCTTTTTTTGAACTTTGTTTATAATTCTTAAGAGTTGGATATTTAGTTTCATTTATGAAAATACTTAAATCAATTTCATTGCGACTTTACCCAATATCGATAACCGCTTGCTTTAAGCCTTGCGATTTTCCTGAAAATCGATAAATATCTAGAACCTTTTTTTAATCAAACTTCGAAGTCTTTCAAATGTTTTGCATTTTAAATTTGGCATTTGGTTTTTCGTTGTTTTATTTCTACATTTTTAATTTGCATATGCAAATAAAGTTTGTTGTGATTTCCTTCAAATTGATAAATATCGATATCCATCAGCTGTTTCTCGAGCATATTTTTAGGCTCATAGAAGACAGAAGCTCCAAGCTTGTCATTTAGATTTAAAATCTTAAAATCACGTTACCTTATCAGATCAACTATATATCTATATTCTCACAAAATCGATAAATATCGATCTAGATAGATGTGTTCTATATGTTTTGAGCATCTCCCAAAGTGAATAGAGAAAGACACACCAAGCTTTGTACTTAAACCAGATCTATACCTATTTGTTTTTATATTCTAGGCAAATCGATATTTATCGATATGCGAATCCTTCTCTTAGCACATCTGGAATATATTACTTTTTAGCTACCATTCGTTTATCTTTCAGTTACCCAGCTGCCTACAGGGTATCTGGCCGTCAGTCAGTCTCGAGACTTAGCTATTTTCTTTTGAACAACCTTGAGACGATATCTTCAGTCGGCGCAGACTCACACTCTCCGCACGCAAATGCCTGCGTCATCATATTTTGGGGCTTAGCGCCAGGCAATACAGACACAGACACGCTGCCCAACACGCCGGAAGTCATATGTGAATTAGCATATCCATTGTTATGGGGCCAATAGACAATTTCGCCGAAGATCTCTCGATGCTGGGCAACAATAATTAAACATAACTTGCACAAATCGCCGCAAAAAAATAGTTATCATTAGTGACGCGCCAAATTGCGCAGATTTTGGCCGTTTTATAAATCGCTTTTGATGGTCATCAGGGGCCTGACCCAGTTTGGGCCCGAACCGAGCCCCAGTTCAATTTGCAGCTCTTGCCAATTTAATTGGACTATGCGCCGTTAAGGCCCGCATTGCATAATGCCCTCTATGTGATATGGGCATTATTGTTATTACCATTTTTTTTATGTAATTTTCTTTTTAGCCAAACGAAAGAAATCAGCATTAGGGCGCGAATCACTTGATTGTAATAATCTATCTGAGGCACAATCATATTTGATTTCGAGCTAACAATTTACCTAAATTAAAGTCTATTATATTACTTCACATTGGTTCAACTAGTTAGATTAAATTATGTTCGCACAGGAAAATGTTAATTATATTTGATTTTTTTGATATTGGCATTTAATAATTTTGCAGATTAACACTTTGAATGTGTATTTGGCATGGCTTTAATAACTGTTATTAATAAATTTTTGCTTTTGATATGTGAACAGGAAAATAATACTTATATATATTTTTTATACCCTGAACCCATTAAAAATGGGTATAAGGGTATATTGTATTTGTGCAAAATCCAAATGTATGTAAAAGGCAGAAGGAAGCATCTCCGACCCCATAAAGTATATATATTCTTGATTAGCATCAATAGCCGAGTCGATCTAGCCATGTCCGTCCGTCCGTCCGTCCGTCTGTCCGCCCGTCCGTATGTATGAACGCAAGGATCTCAGAACCTATAAGAGCTAGAGGCATGAAATGCAGGTGTAGGTGCTCCTTGTTCCCGCACAGATCGAGTTTGTTTCCGATAATCGATAACTTGCTCCGTTTCCAAGCAATCGATAAAAATCGATATCGATATCCTGCTTTTTGGCCAATTTTGGTAAATAATAAGAGCTAGAGTCACCAAACTTGACATATAGCTTCTAAAATAAAATATATATATGCATTTGATGTTGGAAGAAGAGGGTTCAGTGTATCCCCTAGTCAAGAGCTCCCGACTAGAACCTCTTACATGATTGTATTGCTTAATTGAGATTTATTAAAAAAATTTATTTTAATTTAGCAAATTGTGCAGGAAAAAAAAATACGAAAATAATAATCATATTTGATTTTTTGATATTCGCATTTAATATATACACACCTTAAAGATTAACACTTGGTATATTTAGTTGGTATTGCTTTAATAATAGTTATTAATATTCATTTATTATACTATATTTTATTTTGTTTTTTTATTTTCTTTTCAAAATCAATCAATGTCCGTCACTGGCTCTGGAAATTTGGGTCATAATTTGATTGTGTGCGAAGATGAGATGATATTTTGACGTATGTGCGCAGATTAATCAAATATCCCAAATGCTGCGGGGCTTCCTCCACTCGTGCATCTGTCGTAAGTTATATTATTTTATATATTATTTTATTGTCTTATAAATACTCCTGAAGCCAGCCAAGGCTGGTTATATAAGCCCAGTGTGGTAGGCGTTCTTTTGTTTAATGTACTCACGCAACGGTAAATACTCGATGCTGCTTTGCCTTAAGTTGTTGTGCAACACTGTTAGCCGCTTATTAGCGTTTTATTGTTGCATAAATTCGAAAATTTCTTTACACCCGCCGAGTGCTTTAAGTGCTTTTATATATATATATTGTATTTTATTTTCACAGCTCGAACTTTAATCAATTTCACTTTTATGACGATCGCGTGCATAGAAAATTAACATGGTCAAGGCTGTTGGCGCTAATATTCGACAATTACCAACACTATAAACACAAATGTGCATATATACAAAAATCAAATTTAATAATTAAAATATTATCCATCAAATTTAGATATATATATATATTTATAAAAACCTGGCGAAAAGTGATGATAAAAATAATGAGCTATTAAATGCCTTTATTGAGTTTTCGGCAAGCTTGCAGTATTGCATAACGAGCTTTAAATTTTTGAAAAATTCAAATATTATTCAAAACGGTTTTACTCTTCAAATTGCGCATTTCATTCAATTTGTGGGCAACTTTTAATTGATAAATTTGTCGAAATATGCAAAGCTTTAAGTTTTTTAATGTCAACTTTTGGTTTTGATATCGAATAACGGTTGTGGACCAAGCTTTTGCGCAAGCCAAAAGCTTTGCAAGCCATTCAGCGTGTGGAATACATATTAACTACTTTATTGTAAATTATTAATATAATGAATTTGTATATGCCAAGTCTTGAATAACAAGAATCTATTCTTATACAAAATTATTTTCATTTGTCAGGCATTTTTTTAAATTTAAATAAAAAAAGATAAACTGTCAACTTAAGTCTTGAAAAACAAACAAGTTTTTCTTACAAGAAGTTCAAGAACTTCAAGAAAAATATTTTTATTTTGTAACCTTTTTTTTTTAATTTTTATATTAACTAAAAGATTGGCCGTCAATTCGTTAAAATACTAAAATACCTAGGAAATATTTACATAAAGATATAAAACAAGTAAGAGGTTATAGTCGGAAGCTCCCGACTAGGGGATACCCTGAACCCTCTTCTTCCAACATTAAATGCATATATATATTCTATTTTAGAAGCTATATGTCATGTTTGGTGACTCTAGCTCTTATTATTTACCAAAATTGGCCAAAAAGCAGGATATCGATATCGATTTTTATCGATTGCTTGGAAACGGAGCAAGTTATCGATTATCGGAAACAAACTCGATCTGTGCGGGAACTAGGAGGACCTACATTTAAGATTTCATGTCTCTAGGTTCTGAGATCCTTGCGTTCATACATACGGACGGACAGACGGACGGACGGACGGACATGGCTAGATCGACTTGGCTTTTGATGCTGATCAAGAATATATATACTTTATGGGATCGGAGATGCTTCCTTCTGCCTGTTACATACATTTGGACTTTGCACAAATACAATAACCCTTATACCCATTTTTAATGGGTTCAGGGTATAAAAATTACATATTATTATAAGATTTTGTTTATGTTTGTCATGTTATTGAAAAATGCTCAAATATATTATTAATATATATTATTTATGCGTATAATTATAGAAAAACAAAAACATATTGCCTTTAGATTTTGTTTTTTATCAATTATATTATTTATTATTTGAATATTTGGCTGTTAGTCAAATAATTTCTCCCAAGACTTGAGCTTGTGCGAGCTGTGGCACGTTTCATTGAGCAACAGCCTCCAGTTGCGGCTTAGCCCCGACCTCAGACACTTGGCTTAGGAACCCGTTAATGAAGAAGCGTTGAGGGAGCATCGCATGTTCATTAGCCCGTCTAAGCTGCGGTTGTCCAACTGTCCGTCCGGCTGGCCAAGTAAACGGCTCATTACATCGACCACAAATGGAGCTGGAGCTGGAGCTGTAGCTGAAGCTGGAGCTGGGCGTCACGTTTTGGGCCAACAATTGCCGCCGTCTCGTCTATATTGACAAAGGGCTTTTGTCGAAATAATCAAAAGTAAATTAATCTTCAGCTGGAGGCAGATGTGTATGTTCAGCTGAATGCTTGGGCAGCCCAATGATAAATGGCCAACATTGCAGCTCACATGCAAAATTTTCAAGCTCGACGGGTCATTAATTAACCCAGGCCAAATACATGAGCTGCCCGGTGTAGGGTCGGAGTGGGGCATGGGAAAGGGGGCGGAGGGGGGAGGTGAAGGCAATTTCTCAGTTGTAAGTTGTACTCAAATTGATTAGGTGTTTATGCAATTCTGGCTTTTAATAGCATTTAATCGATGCGTGGCCCAAAGGCTGCGCAGCCGACCGCATAATGGGCAGCTGGGGGTGCCGAAACTTGGACAATTAAGAGAAGAAGAAGAAGAAGAAGAAGAAGAAGAAGAAGAAGCAGCAGATGAAACCAAAAGCCAAAGCTTGCAGGGGGAATCACGCTAATTGGCCATGTCTTTCGGGCAACTACAAGCAAGTCGCCGCATTTAATGAGAGTCGCGTTTTTTTTTTGTTGTGTGTGTTGATTTTGAAAAGCAAAGACGAAGGCGAAGGCGATTTGATGGACAACTGCGTCTAGCCAAATGTTTGGCACCAAAAACAATGAACATGCAACAAAAAGATGAAGAAAAAAATAAAACTGAAGCTGAACTTCACTTATTAAGTTGTCGATGGGGGCAGAGTATAAAAGTCAGCCGAAGCTCTGAAAAGTCAAACAGTTCGCAGCGAACAGCCAAGTCTTGCAAAAGCCCAGCCCCAGCCCTCAGAGTCAGCTCAGCCAAGTAGAGAAATGCGTGGATTCATTGTAAGAGCACGGCACGGGCAGCAGGATTAATAACCGACTAACAAATACTCTTGCAGGTCTTGTGTTTAAGCGCCGTGGCTTTGGCCGCACCGCAGGGCTACAATTATAATCCTGGCCCATCCGCTGTGGCCGCCGGCCTGAGCAGCGCCAGCGGCAGCGGCGCCAGCTTCTTCCAGGCTGCTCAGGTGCAGCAGCAGCACTATCAGCAGCCCCAGCAGCAGCAGCAGCAGGCCTTCTTCCAGCAGCAGCCCGTGGTGCATCATCAGCAGCAGCAGCAGCACGTGGAGCAGCATCAGCAGCCCATCGTCTCTAAGCGCTTCTTTATCCACTCGGCGCCCGAGGATGTGGATGAGGAGTACAAGGAGCGTCATATTACTGTGGGCGTGCCCAAGCGCAACTACAATGTGGTGTTCATTAAGTCGCCGCAGCGCTCCAACAAGAAGACCTCCATCAAGATCAGCCCCGCCGTCAACGAGGACAAGACCGTCATCTATGTGCTCAGCAAGAAGACGGACGCCTCCGATGTGCAGGCCGAGGTTGTTGAGCAGGCCAGCTCCACCAGCAAGCCGGAGGTGTTCTTCATCAAGTACAAGACCAACGAGGAGGCCGCCCATGCCCAACAACAGATCCAATCCCAGTACGATGCGCTCGGCGGCAGCAGCCAGCTCACCGATGAGGGCGTGGCACCTGTCACCTCTGTCATTGGCGCTCTCGGCGGCGGAGATGCCGCTGGCGTCGCTGTCGGCGGCACAGGCATTGGCGGCGGCGCCTCCTCGCACACCTCCGCCGTCGGCGGCGTCGGCCAGGTGATCTCGCATCAGACAAGCAATGCCTATCTGCCACCCAGTTTCTAAACGGTTGAGCACCAATCCTTCAAAATAATTGTTGTTGTTAATAAATTTGAATTGTTGTTAAAAAAAAATAAGCGTTTGCTTTCTCTAAACAAATATTTAATAAGCTTAATCAATTTTTCAGCTCAGCTTTATAATTTTTAATTATTGAGCTTGTCGGAGATTAGCCGCTTCTTCAGCTTCTCCGGCAAATCAATTAAGTGTTCAAGCCTTTTGAGGTCAGGGACAGACCCGTAGACGAAGTCTCGAGCAAAACATAACTCTAGTGAATGTCGGACAACAATCACAGAAGCCAACTTTCTTAGTCAGCAAAAAATGTAGCTGAAGATTATGATAAGACAGCCGCAACGAAGTTCAAATACCCTATCCACGAGCTGAGAAAAGTTGATCTTCAATTTGAGTAACTATATATTTGTTTATATTATTTCTATACTTATATACTATACCAAGTATTTATACTATACGATTTTATGCTATGACGCTGCGAATGAGATGAAGGAGTCTCTAAATATTAGATTGGTCGGGATACATGTTTATTTGGTTCTCGAATTTGAATCATATTTCCATTTGCCATAAGCCCGGGCTTGTCCAACTAGTTTTCCATATAATACCATGACCCGTATTTGATTCAACGAATGCTGCTCCTCAGTTTAACATTACTTGCGAATTTGAACCAGCGACTTGCCGCTTGCTTGTTCGACGCTCAGACACCTAAGCGACACAGGCTCACCTAAATTTTAAATAAAACAATTAATAACAATAAATAATAGTTAATAATAATTGTTTACAAGCTATCTCTTCTGTCGTTCTGCCTTAAGGTTCGGTTCGTGAACCAGGTTTCGGGCTTATACCTTGGTTTGTCCAACTGTCGGTGGAGTTTACATTTCAGTTCATGCATAACAATAAATAGGAATTCTGCAACTGAGTCAGACTCGAACCGGTTCGTCTTTGTTACTGGCACATTTCAAAGCGCTTGAACAATCTAAAAGACCCGCTGTAAGGGCATAACACCAAAAAAAAAACGAACTGTAATTGCAAAGAAAAGAAAAATATTAAATTTTTTGCGCGCGTTATTTTTGTGTATATTACGAGAGTTGCGAGTACATTGATTAGGTTTTGATTGCGGACAGGCCGCGGGTTATATAAATACAAACTGAAAGCTTTCGCTTTAAAGAGTGGAGCTGGGCGGTGGGCAGGTGGGCGGATGGGTGCGTCCCCCCCGCCCAGTTGGCCAATTAGTGTCAGCAATGATAATTTATGATGTCAACACATCAACGAGTGTCCTGGCAATCACAGTTATTAGCCGTAAATAAGTCACGACCCGAGCCGCAAAACAATGTCAAATGTACAATTAATTGAACAGGCCGTCAATTAAAATGCGTGTGTCCAGCTGTATATATAAATCCAAGATGGGCTGCAGGCGCACAATATAGCTGGAGTTGGCCATGTCGCGATTGTTTCAGCTGCAGGAGAACTGTCTGCGCCTGATGGGCCACAATCTGGAGAGCTCTGGTGTTCCGGGCAGCTTCTCCCTTGGCCTAAAGCACATCGCATCTCTACTGTTTGTGCTCTCTGCGGAGTATCCGATGTTGTCGTATGTGATCTATCATCGGGATGACATGGAGCTGATTACCGCCTGCCTGAGCGTGGCCTTCACCAACCTGGTCACGGTCACCAAGATCTGGACGTTTCTGCTCTACAAGCCCAACTTTGGCCAAATGATGCAGCGCTTCAGGCAGCTCGACTCCAAATGTAAGCCACAATTTATTGATTGACACCTGGTTTGTAGCTCAAAAAAAAAAAAAACCTTCTCCAGCTCAGCTCGAGGATGGAGGCAATGGCTATTTGGCGCGTGCCAACAAGCTGGCCGCCTCGCTGGGCCGCGCCTATTGCATTTCCTGCGGCTTCACTGGACTCTACTTTATGCTCGGACCCATTATCAAGATCATCACCAGCAGCTGGCGGGGCGTGCCCTACGCCCGAGAGCTGCCCATGCCCATGAAGTGAGCATACTTTTGGCAGACACTTTTTATTTCTTTACACGCGCAGGCACTTGGGAGTTGGACTGAGCTGGTCTGGTAAAGCCTTTAGACGTTGCTGTAGCTCTTATCTGTACCCTGGACCATGTCCAGTTTAAAGGAGCCACAAAAAGCAACCTCCTTTGTCCATTTAATTTCCCTTAAACTCCTTTTAAGTCGCATTCAAGAAACGATATCTTGCATTTATCTATCAAATGTATCTTCAAGTAACCTACTTTTGTATATCCTGTTCGCAAAGTGCAAAAGAGTATATGGATTTTATGCAATGTCCGTCCTGCAGTCCGTCTGCATATGTTGACCACGCCCATTAGAGACAGGCATAGCCCAACTTTTTTCAAATTCCCATTAAGATCTAGTGTTAACAAGTCTTGCAGGTCGATTTATGAAACTCACTTCCTTAACCAGCCACGCCCACTTTCATCACCAAGAATTTAAGAAATGTTTATTTTGTTATTCACAGTTTTAAAGTCACTGCGAGTAATAGTTTTACTGGCACCAATAAAGAGTAAAGATTATTTTATCAGACTCATCTCGAGTTATCCAACACTGAACACTGTCTAACAGTTTAAAAGCAACTGCTTACGGGCTTATAGTTTTAGAGTCACAAGTGAAACAATGAGGTAGACTCTTTGCCATATTTTTTTGCTTTTACAACACTGTCAACAGAGTATTGCGCAGTCGGTTGTATTGGTCAAAATCACGAAATTTCCTTTTGTCTTTTGCCACAGTCATTTACCTTGCCTCAGACCAGCCCCCTTTCCTCCATCCGCAACTCTCAACCTCGAGCCTAGCCATTTTTATGACCCAACTAAGCTTCGCAATCTTTGTTCCTTTGTCGTCGCTTTCATTTCAGATTTCCTTTCAATGATGTGGACAGTCCCGGCTACGAGTTTGGTTTTATCTATACGCTGTTTGTGACCATCGTCGTGGTGCTCTATGCCTCGGCCGTGGACGGGCTCTTCATAACCTTTGCCATTAATCTGCGTGCCCATTTCCAGGCGCTGCAGCAGGACATTCGCGAGCTCAACTTCGACCAGGCCGAACAGCTGGTGCAGCGGCAGCTGGTCGAGGTGGTCGACTACCAAGTGCTGCTCCTCGACCTGTGCCGGCGGCTGCGACGCATCTACACGCCCATCGTGTTCGGCCAGTTCTTCATCACCTCGCTGGAGGTGGGCGTCATCATCTACCAGATTGTGACGGTGTGTGTATCCAGAGTATGTCTAGAGTGTACCAGGAATACTTTTCCTCTCTCTTTCACTTGCAGCACATGGACTCAATCATGGCCCTGCTCGTGTATTTCTCATTCTTCTGCTCCATAATGCTGCAACTCTTCATGTACTGCTACGGCGGGGAGATTATCAAAGTTGAGGCAGGCTAAAAACTATACATCTCTATATATAAAACTCTTTGTCCTGACTGACTGACTGGCATAATGAATGACTTGCTGTCTGACTGACTGACTGACTAATTGACTGACTGATTGACTGACTGACTGATTGACGGGCTGACTGACTGATTGATTGACGGACTGATTGACTGACTGACTGACTGATTGACTGAATGGATGACATACTGTCTGACTGTCTGATTGACTGACTGATTGACTGTCTGACTGACTGATTGAGTGACTGATTGACTGAGTCATTAACTGACTTTCGGGAAATTCCACCCGCAAGTGTTGAAAAATCGCCAACAACGTTTGTATGAAACTTTTTTGTTTATTTTATACGTGCCACGGCAAGGCCGGGCTATATCCGCTAGTAATCTATATATCTAATTATGTATATATATATATATTCATATCTCCTTTAGAGCCTGCAGGTTGGCATCGCTATCCAAACATCCAATTGGCACTTGGCTTTGCCCAAGCAGCGGCGTTCATTGGTCTTCATGATGCATCGTTCCCAGCGGGAGATGCTCATCAAGGCGGGCTTCTATGAAGCTTCGCTTGCCAACTTTCTGGCGGTAATTGACAGCTTGAGCTATTGATAGATGGATATTAATAAATAAACGCCATTCTCTTTGATTTCTTGCAGATTTGTCGGGCCGCCCTGTCGTTTATAACCCTTATTCAGTCCATTGAGTAAAGGGCACAACAACAAAATGAAACAAAAGACATAAATAGCCCCCATTTGAGGTATGTGAACTCTCGAGTGCTTTACTTGGGAAACAGTCTGTGGTTTTGCTGTTAACAGGCCACTTACAAATGCATCTATGTATATATGCGTTTGTTATTCGGAAAAACCACAATTGGAGATCAAATAACAATTATAGACGGTTGTACTCTAAAATGCACTTTGTAAGTGTAATCAAAATAGGTCGAGTTAAACTTAAGGTGCTTTAAATTTTCCAGATAAACAACAAGAAATTTTCTTGACGAGCATCTCCAATAATTAATACTCTGTACTCAATGTAGAGTTCCGAGTTACACTGTGGGAGAATATTCATAGCACAAATGCTCAAAAAAATATTCGTCCGACAATTCCGAATCAATCTAAAGTATTTTAGTCTTACCTGATATAATCCTCATGTCAACCGTTCTGATATCCTTTGCAAACCAGCTTTAACTTTTTTGCAGTGCATGTCAATTGCATATAACAAAAGTCAATAAATATATACAACAAAATTGTATTTTCATATATTCAATAAATGGGCATCGAGTTTCAATAAATAGTATAAAAAGAAGCAAGAGATGCGCCAGTCGAACATGCTCGACTAGTAGATACCCTTCTCTTCCCTTTGCTGCACACATGCATTCTTGAATATGTTTAATTAAAGTTGTTACCATAATAACCGTAAATCATAAAAATAATAATAAATAATAAATAAAAATAATAATAAATAAAAAATGATACAAAAAATGCATTCTTGATTAACTTCGGTGTTTACAGTTCGATCTTAATGCATTTTCACATATGTTACAAAACTGTGTATATGCCAAGGCTCTACTATTGTGAATTTAATTTTTTGTTTAATTTTGGAAAAGTAAAAACGAACGCTTGTATTCGAAATGTAAAATATTACCCCACATATCTAGGGCTTTTAATATATACATATATAAAATAGGATTGACTTTATTTGAGAGATATTCCAAAAACTCATTAAAAAAGTTTAACTTTACAAACGAATCGTTTTCTGGTCCACAACTTTTTTCAACCCATTGATTTTTGATCTGTTTGAATGCCAATTGATAGTAGGAATCCTCACGAATTCAAAAATGTAAAACATTTTAAATCAGACAATATTTAACCGAGATATTTCAAAAAAATCTTCAAAAAAGTTTTCATTTTCGAAACGATCCCAGTTTTGAGTAAAAGTTGACAGATTTCTTCTTCCCGATCAAGAATATACAAATTCAATATACCCTCTTTAGTAAACGTTAATGAGTTCGGGCTATAAAAATTAAATTGGAAAAAAAAAATAATTAAAAAACCACAAAGGAGATCGCTGGATCGATTGATAAGCACTGGAAAATCGAGCTATAAAATGGCAAAACTCGCGAACAAAACTCATCACTCGGCATCGAGTCGAGCTGAGGGCGTGCCTGTCTGGAACGAGATGAGCAACAGTGGGTGCAGAGCGACAGGACATTAATCCGCTGAAGTCCTAATTAAAGCCCTTTGGCATTTCTCGCAGAGCTTACGCTGGGTCTGCTGCAGCTGCCCGTGGGCGTCGATGTGGCGGCAAATGTGCGTCAGGCTGTGGACAGCATTACGCAGCTGAAGGCTGACAATCCGCAGCTACAGCTGGCCATATTGCCGGAGAGCTTCAACGGACCGTATGCCATCGAGCATTTTGGCCGGCATGCGGAGCGCGTGCCGGAGGGACGCACATGTCAGGCGCTGTCCCAGCTGGCCCGGAAGCTGGGCATCTATATTATTGGCGGCAGCATAATTGAACGGGATGACCAGAATAAGCTGTACAATACGTGCACCGTGTGGGCGCCCGATGGCCAGCTAATTGGCAGACATCGCAAGGTAAGAGTGCTTTGCAAAATAATTAAACAGCTTCCACGGACTCGACATCCCACACACAGCTGCATCTCTTCTGCGTGAACATCGGGCCGGAACAGCTGGGCGGCTGCCAGTTCGATGAGGGCGACGCCTTGACAGCGGGTAACCAGCTGACCCTGGTCCAAATTGGAGCACACAAGGTCGGCATTGGCATCTGTCATGACAAGCGCTTCGAGGAGCTGGCACGCCTCTATCGCAACCAGGGTAAGTGAGGGGAGGGGCGGGGTGAGCAGAGTTCCAACTTCAAACGGAGTTATCTTTTTAGGCTGCTCGATGCTGGTCTATCCGTCGGCCTTCTGCATCTGCCAGGGTCCCATGCACTGGGAGTTGCTGCAGCGCGCCCGGGCCACAGATAACCAACTGTTTGTGATCACCTGTGCACCTGCCCGCAACAATATGTCCGGCTATGTCGCCTACGGGCATTCCATGATTGTCGATCCCTGGGCGCGTGTGCAGCGCGAGGCGGGCGAGGGCCGTGAACTGATTGTGGAGACTATTGGTAAGTTCGGGTAAGGGGCAGGGAGAGGGACGGAGAGAGAGAGAGAGAGAGCGCGATTTGATCTGCCCCACTCCCTCACAGATTTCGACATGGTGGATGAAGTGCGTCGACAGATTCCCATCTACAAGCAGCGCCGCATCGATGTCTATGAACGGGCCGGAGCGGACGTTTAAAACTGGGCTGCGATCGAAAATGTAAACAACTCTTAATAAAATATAAATATTGATGTGCTCGATAGGTTGATACCCTGTACAACCTAGAGTATCCTTCCTCAAGCAGATTTTTGCATCACTTTTGATAATAGAAAACCGATCATGATCAGATTTACGAGCTATTAGGATAAATACTCATATAAAAAATCAAAATCAAGATTAATTCTGTTTTTAGAAAGCTTATGCAGAAGGTCACGACTCTCGTGTGCTTGAATGCCGATTCCAAGATACCCTTTCGCGTGTAATTATGTTTTTACAGGTCATAATTAAGTGAACTGAGCGACGGGAGAGCAATTTAAAAGCAACTGATACGACTCGACAGCTCTTATCGGCGCTTAAGCTTGGGCAACGGCGGATGCCGCCGATAGAGCTGGCTGTGGATCTAGCTGTGGAGCTGGCTGCGGATCTGGCTTCAGTTTGTGCCAGTGCGCGATTGGAGAACAACGCGAATAGCTGAGGCCATAGATTGAGTGAGAGCCAGAGACAAAGATGTGGACCACTCTGCTGGCGGCCGTGCTGGGCGCCTGCCTGGGCGCCGCGGAGTCGCAAATAGCCTACACGGGCCACCTGTCCGAGCTGCGCATCAAGGAGCTGAGCCACCTGGCCATGCGCATGGAGCATTCGATTAATTCCAGAAAATATGCCTGCGACAGCTACTACGATCACGTCTGCAGTCGCAATCGGCCGCTCTTCTCGGTCATGGGTAGGTAAAGCACTAGGTGGCGAGTTGAGCTGTAAAAAAGTAGGTTCTTTGACACCCTGTATTTAAGTTGAGTGCTTGAAAAGGGCTATAACTGTGCTGCAATCTCAAAAAACAAGAGCTAAGCTCTTTACGAGTGATTCATTTCAATATCCAGACACCTAAATACCCTGTGTTCACTGAAAGTAGCTAAAAGAGGGTATAATAGATTTGTGGTTCTGTCTGTGCATTTCTCTAAATCATGAATGAAATCTCGTTTCACTAATCGATAAATCGATTACGGCCTTGGTTAATTGAGCATATCTCTGAGATTATAAGAGCTAGAGTGTATATATTGTCGTAGGCTCAGACTACCCATTCGACAGCTCAGAGCTGGGTACAGGGTATCTCCTGTTCGTTTACTTTCGACTTGTGCACACAGTTGTTTTTTAATAATACATTAAAATCCAGCACTAACCATAATCAATCCATGCAGGTCACATGCCGCAGAGCAGCGATCTGATCCAGCTGCTGACCAGGCTGCAAAATGATCCGGAACAGTTCGAGGCTAAGCAGAAGCTCATCGATTTTTTCATCTCGTGCAACACACTGAAGTCTCTGCAGGATTGCTATCGTGAGACCTTTGAGTACTTTAAGCCGCTGTTCGGCTACATTATTACGAAGGATTTGGTGGAGGGCAGCTCGCACGAGTTGCGCGAATTCCGGGAGCTAATCCAACGTTTCGTGGAGCGCAGCAAATCCGTGTTCGGCACGGATGCACATCCTCTGCGCAATCGGCTGCAGACGTACAAGGAGAAGTTCGCCTCGCCGAAAATCTACTTTTATGCGGGCGATCTTAACCGGGAGTACGCCGGCCTGCGCATCTATCGGGAGAGCTATGAGCACAATTTGCGTAATCTGGAGCAGCATCGGAAGCGCAACTCAACCTACGAGCTGGGCGTGCAGCGGACGATGCTCGACTGGAGCCTGTATCTCTACCAGAGCCGGCACAAGCCCATGTCGTATTATTATCCCACGTTCACGGTGCATCTGTACATGACCATGTTCAATATAAGCGAACGCCAACGGGATCCGACCCACTTCCGGGAGGAGGTCGAGTGCCTCAAGTTGCCGCAGTACGTCAATGTGCTCAGCGAGGCCCGATTGTTGGCCATCATCTACCTGAAGAGCTTCCGGCACACCTGGCAGGAGTACTCCGACTGGATACAGTCCTCGACCAAGCATCGAGAGATCTACGACCACGAGAACGAGATCCTTCGCCAATATCAGCTGAGCAACAAGCGTCTCTTCTTCACGCTCTACGCCCAGAACTTCTGTGAGTTTGGCAAGGAACTGGCCGAACATGTCTTTTACCTGGGCCTCAAGGAGAACGCCGACTTCTTCAATACCTACTCGTGCGGCTATCAGACAGATACGGCCCGGAACTGTGTCTAAATTCCAACTAGTTGTAGTTCAAGCTGTAAGCCAAGCTAAAATAATCAATAAAAGTACATAGGTCCATTAGCAGATACCCTTTACTGAAATTTAAAATGTTGTAAAACTGTTAAATAATATCTTATTTTTAATATTTTTGACATAGGTAAAAATTTCCCCTATAACTCGGTGGCAGTCAAAACCGTAAGAGCTATGATGCCGAAATGCTATATATACATATATGCATGCATGCATGTAGGTATGTATGCATGTAAGAAAGTATGTATATATGCATGCATGCATGCATGTACGTATGTATGCATGTAAGGATGTATGTATGTAAGTAAGTATGTATGTATATGTATATATATATACATACAAATATACATTTATGTATATATACATATGCATATTTGTATGTTTGTTTGCATGTATGTACCTATGAGTGTACGCATGTGTGTGGGTTTGTATGTATGTATGTGTGTATGAATGTGGGTACTAATGTATGTTTGCTTGAATGTATGTATGCGTACACAAATTTATGTATGTTTGTATGTATATATGCATGTGTGAAGGCATGTATATATATGTATATACGATTGTATGCATACATTATGTATGTTTATATGCAAAAATTAATTTTCGTCTAACTGCCCTGCAAATTTAAAAAAAAGACTATTTCTATCTAATTGCCTTCTACGCGATTCTCATGAATTCAAGTAAGTTTGATAGGCTTCACTTCAAGTAGAGGTGGCGATTGCGTTGAAGGAGACGGCGCCTTTGGAGGAGACGGCAACCTGAACAAAGGAGGAGGCAGCTGCATGAACAACGAAGGAGCTGGCTTCAACTAAGGAGAAGGAGGATGCGGCGGCTTTAACATTGGAAGAGAAAGCAACTTAAGCAAAGAAGGCGGCGGCGGTCTCAACTATGAGACTTTAAATTTTGGAGGAGGCGAATTCAACTATGTAGAAAGCGGTATCTATGGCTTTGAAAATACTGGTATGTAGTATGCCCAATTTCATCATCTTTATCAGATCAGGATAGGTTATAGATAATGTACTTTTCAACATCTTTGTCAGGATAGGGTATAGATAAAGTACTCTTCGATATTTTTTTACAAAATTTAATAACAAATAAGCGTATTTTACTTTATAAAGTCTTGTTCCAAGTTTTTTCAATATACCCATTTGTAAGCTGACTTTGCCAGGGTATAGTAAGTGCTTAGCCCCTAAGATTATGCTCATTAGTGTGTGTCCTTTAAAAGAAACGCTCTATCCTATTAAACGGCCGCGTGCATTTAATCCTTTTGCGGTTGCGTGTTGGCCACAGTTGTTGCCGCCTTCTCCCGTCGAAACCTGTGCACCTGGTCGAAGTAATCCCCGGCTTGTTGCCGGCGATAAAGTTTGGCCAAATCGCTGCAACTTTTGCCAAGAGCGTCCCGAGCTGTTAAGTCGGCGCCGTGGGTAACCAGCAGCTTGATAAGCTCCAGGCTGGCATCCATGACGACTGGCAAGCGTGATAATGGGAAGGGGGGAGGGGGGTTATTCCAATTGGGAAATCCTGTTTAATTCTGTGCACTCACCTGCGCGCATCAACAACGTCCACTGGCAGTCATCTCTCGCCTCCGGATTGGCGCCCGCTTCCAGTGCGAACCTGACCATGTCCAGCCGATTGGCATCCACGGCACAGTGGGCGGGCGTCATCCCATTGCAGTCGGTCGCCTCCAGCTGCGCCCTTTTGTTCAGCAGAATGCGCGCTGCGGGCAGATGACCATGATAGAAGGCCAGCTGCAACGGATCAGGCACACAGATAGCATCCCCGCAATCCCAAATGCTGGCCAACTCACGTGGAGCGGACTGCGTCCGTTGTGCGGATTGCCCAGCTGGACACTGCAGCCGGCCGAGAGCAGGACATCGATAATGCACATCTCGCCCTGCATTATGGCATTGGCCAGCGGCAGATATCCATTTGGGGCCGGATAGTCAACCAGACTGGGTCGACGGCGCAGCATGCGCTTCACCAGAAACTGCTGCGATTTGCGAATGGCGCGATGCAAACAATTTGTCGACGGCAGCGCAGCCTCTGTGGTTGCCTAGATGTGTACAAGGTGTTAATTATATATTTATTTCAAATCGAATATCACAGAATAATGAACGATTCCCCAAAAACGGACCATCACTGGCCTACAACAATTCGAACACCCTCTGCAAGGTTATAAACTAAAGTAATTTTTGTACCCAATTCTATTAGCCACATTTGTTATATTTTTTGTCAATCTAATATTAATATTATGTGCTTCAATTTCTACCCTGAAGTCAAGTCTAATCTGGAGACAAGTCAAATCAAACAAAATATTCTTTTCTGAACATTTTTATATGCATGATGCATAATAAGCCACAGCATTTCATGGCTATTGGGCATATCCAAAATTAATATAAATAAATGTATATTTATATTTTAGTTTCTTAAAAGTTTTTCTTTAGATAGACTTTTAAACTCCCATCAAATACTTAAGAGTACAAATTAAGATTATCAGTTCCCATAAGATATATACATATGTGCGTGTGTGCATGTGTATGTTTATGTGTTTGTATGTCTTTGCATGTGTGTGTTTTGTGTGTAAACATGTATGTGTTTATAAATGCCTGTATGTGTATATATATATATATATATATGCATGCTAATTTTACATTGAAATAATAATTTTCATTATTAAAATATCGCTCTTCTATGCGATTCTCATGAATTCAAGTGAGGCTTAGAGGCATATAATAAGCCCTCTGTCTCTTTATCTCCCTCACGATGTCTCCCTCTCGATGTCTCTCTCTCTCTCTCTCGCGATGTTTTTCTCTCTCTCTCTCTCTCTCTCTCTCTCTGTTTCTCCCGCTATCTCTCTCTCTCCCGCCCTTCTTTCTCGACCTCGCCCTTCCTCTCGCACTCTCTCTGCCAAAGCTCCTACTCTTATTACAACGCTACTTTCTTTCTCTTAGATATTTCAAATACCCTCGACTGCACTGACTACGCTCTCGAATATACCCCACCAAATCTCTGTCATAAATCGAGGATATTTTAAACACAATTAGGTCAATAAACGTTTTACAATAATATCCGGCGAGATGGCTAACGTCTCGTAGTGGCTGCCATCCGGTGCGGGCCGCAGCGCTCGGATGCGCAGTCGATGGCCAAAGTTCTCCTCCAGCTGGTGGATAGTTTGCGGACTAGTGCTCGTCCAGAGCACCTGCTGCCAGCCGTGTCGCCTGTGGTACTTCTCCACAGAGTAGACTGGGGCGGGATTAGGGCTGGGCGTCCAGTCGAGGCAGACGCTGTGCACCGTCTGCTTCAGAAGGCGCGCCTCAAAGTTTGGCCAGGCGGCGGGCGGCGGCGAATTCGATGACATCGATTGGTTTGCAATTTTATTGTCCTGATTGTTGTTTATGTTTTCGGACATGGTGCAAGCCGTATATACACATTTGGCCAATTTGCCAGTCTTATTGGTTTTGGCCACACACCGACTGAGCCGGACTGAGCTCTGAGCTCTGAGCTCTGATTCCTATTCCCAATACCATTTCCCCATTTCCCAGGCAACGACAACAACCTCGGCATTGGCTTTGTCGATTTCACTTTTTCCGCTCCCGCTCAGCTTTTTGCCCTCTTTTTATACACTTGCAAAGGGCATTCTCAATTTTTTCACTAAATATGTAACGCAAGGAAGGAGATATTTGCGATATTACTAAAGCTATCTATATTCTTGTTCAAGGCGAATAAATAGGTACAGTTTCTTAGTTAATTTGAAGGAAAACTAATTATCTTTTATCTTATTTTTTTTTCAGCTAAGGGTATTTGGTAGTCGTGGACTGCCTGCAGGCACTAGAGCACTCTGGCTAGATTGTTTTTTTTTTGTGTTTTTTTTGTTAAATCAATAAATTCTTGCAACATTGCTGCCTGTTGGCTGTTGATTGCTTGTCCTGGCGCCCGTTTCGCTGTCCACAGCAGGACTCTATTGTACGGCCATGTTGGCTGCGGGCATGTAGGGGAAGGGGCAAGGGGCAAGGGGAGAAGAGGGGTGGGCCTTGGTCAGCCCAGATGTACGTAGTTTTTGGATCAACTCAAACTGAAACTGAAACTTTGCTGTGGATTATATCAATGTGCAACTGTGTGTGTGTGTGTGTGTGTGTGTGTGTGTGTGTGTGTGTGTGTGTGTGTGTGTGTGTGTGTGTGTGTGTGTGTGTGTGTGTGTGTGTGTGTGTGTGTGTGTGTGTGTGTGTGTGTGTGTGTGTGTGTGTGTGTGTGTGTGTGTGTGTGTGTGTGTGTGTGTGTGTGTGTGGCAGCTTACTTACTTAACGACCCTTTGACACACTCTGCAAGTTTTGTGGGCGGTGGCTGCAGGGACTGGGGCGCGGTGTTTATCTGTCGCGCGCATTGTGCCAACTCATCGACCACTACAAAATTACAGACTCAAAGGCAGCGTGGGTGCAGAGAGGGGGGAACTGGAGAGATATCGTACTTGTAGCTTGGATGACATGGCAAACACAAAAGCTATCGCATACAGCCTGCCACACACACACACACAGGCAGGCGGGCATGCAAAAAAAAATTATCATTTGTCAAAATCACAACATGAAACCGTTTTAAATTAAGCCACTCCGCCGTGTACAACAGCCACCAACCCCACTCCCCCCCCCCCCCCCCCCCCCCCCCCCGTTACCTACTAAGTCAAGCACGAGCAACCGCCCCCGCCCCTGTGCTGGTTTGTGCTTTTGCCACCAAAAACATGACATTGTCTGCGAGTGAAGTGAAGTTTAGTTGTCATCTTTGGCGGCTGCTCTTGAATTCACATTGATTGACGACGACCGCAAATGGACCTCCCCCCACCGCTCCACCATCAGCTCAGGGGTTAGGGGGAGGATACGCTATCAGCTTGTATTAAGTATCAGGGCTGTCAGCTGGATGAGGGTAAATTAACTTGATCATTTCGAATAGCATTTTGCCTATGCCAGTGAAAGAAATCAATTTGCGGCCCAAGTGCGATTGCTCCATTGCATTTTCCATTTTTCCATTGACTTCCGATTTCAAAGCAAACAATTTTCCAGCTACAAAACAAAACAAGAAAATGGCCACATCAAAATTGGGCTGAAAGCGACTCAAGAGAGGTAAGTGTATTTAAGTAAAACATTTAATTACCTCGGTGAACAAGAGTCTTATTTTGTAATTCAACACTGAACGAGGCAGGCTGTGCGCATTAATCAACACTTAAAAGTGTTGGTAGAGTGGCTTTTAGGTAAATGAACTTTCAAATGGACTCACAACAATAGAAGCTATATTTATTTTGCATTTTACAAGAGACAAATAAAAACAAATTTGATTTTCTTTGTTGATATTTTCATTATTGGACCTTTTCATGAAATTTGATTTGTCTGAGAAAAACATTTAAAAGGTACATTTATATACATGTTAAATTATAAGCATATTTCTCATATTGTAGGCCCTGGTATAATTAGCTCGCCGGACAAGAGTCTCATTTCGTAATTCAACACTGAACGAAGCGCTCTTTGCGCATTAATCAACACTTAAAAATGGCCATACTTTGCTTAAAGTGGATTTTAGGCAAACGAACTTTAAGAGAATTCATCAAAATGGGCGGACAGCAATAAAAGCACAATTTATTTTGCATTTTTCCACAGACAAATAAAAGAAAATGTATTTTCTTTGATGGTATTTTCATTATTGGACCTTTTCATGAAATTGCTTTTATGTTAAATTTGATTTCCCTGAGAGCTAAATTATAAAAATTATAAAATTCGGTAATATGTTAAATTATATATTCTTGAAATCTTAAAGAATTCGTGTTGCAAAACAAATTATGAATATGAGTTGTCCAAGAATTCCAAGTTATGTTTGAGGTAATTCCACCCGCATTGGGCGTGGCACGGGGCTTTCCAGTTAAGACGGGCGAAATTTGAAGTATAAACTCACATTCAAGGATTTTCCTGAAAGTTAATGTTGATTGTTTTTCAATAAGATTCATGCTTTTCAATAAATCCACCCTAAATATGTGGATTATGTGGGAGATGAAGATTCAAGTATCTTTGCTTGGCTCGGGCTAGAAAACTCGGCTGGGTTAGAAATGCAGAAAACATGGCCCGGGCAATGCCGGTTAATATCCGCTATTTATATATTAAGTAATCAATCATTTGTGGATTACTTAAGAGTATTAGAGCATCGGTCATACAAAATAATATTTATGCTCGATGGGTGCCAGGGGAAAAGAGGCTCCAGGGAAAAGAGGCAACACCCGTGGCAGCGGCAGTAACAGTTACAGTTACAGTTAGAGTGGAAGCAGCAGCAGAAGGAGCAGTGGGAGGTCCTTCTCCCAGCAGTCATTAAGGCATCCGACAAAGCCGAAAACTGCTGGCACGCGCCAAATGTAGCCAATTTGCTTTGGCGTCACGGAAGAGGCGGCAAAAGGCAATGCCAAAAGCAATCATAACAAAACCAATAGACGTGCAAATTGTGGGCGACAGGACGGGCAGGGGGCGGGGGCGGGGACAGGTGCAAAAAGAATAATGAAGGAAACCCGCTAAAGACAGGTGGCATAAAACGTAATGGGTTTGATTTTAATCTAAATAATGGGCTTTATGCCGCGCGCTGACGTACATGGCTTAATTAAATAATTTATATAAATTACCTATACGCCTCTTACACGCACACACAGACGCAAATACACACATACGCAGGCAGATGTAAGTGTAGCAAAGCGCGCGCGCGTTCTCGCCAAAATTCGATGCCAGCATGTGTACGTGTGTGTGTGCGTGCGTGTGATGCGGTGTTGCCACCTCGCTTGTAAAAATTTCATTCCTTTTTTTCGAGGGGCGGGGGGCGGCTTAGCAAGACAACCAGGCCTTAGTCTGTTTTATCAGTGTACACTCGACAACATCCGGTGTGTGTGTGCTACAAATTTACAAGCGGAACAGCGCCAATAAAAAAGCCAAACGATAAACAACAACAACAACAACAAGAGGAAGAACAACAACACACATACACCCGTCGCCGGTTGCCATTTCCGTGCATTCGCTAATCAGCCAACAATTTGCCCGTGTGTAAGCAGCTGCCAGTTACATTTAAAGATTAATTTAACAGTTAACATTTATCTTATTGTCGCATTGCTGCACTATCAGCCTCTCTCTTTTTTTTTTTTTTGATTTTTGGCTAGCCAATTTGCAGGCAGCAAGCTTTTTTCCGGCCAGAGCTTTCGTTTGGGGTCAACTGTCAAAACTGACAGCCAGCCAGTGGGCGGCCAAATTGAGAGCCACTCGATAGGCGCTCTCGCTCTGGCACGCGCGCTTCCGCCGCCAGCTGGCTCTGTCGCACGCCCGCTCTCTCTCTCTATCATTCGCTCTCTCGCTAGTTTGGCGCTCTTTGCATGTTTCCGTTTGCATAGGATAACAGTTATTTGGCATTTTCGTTGTAGTTTGGCTCGAGAAGAAGAACAAAAAAAAAAAAAGAAGCGTGTTTGTTTGCTGTGTATGCCAGTGGCAAAACGGATTTGTTGTTGTTGTTCTTGCGCCGCGAGCAGAGCAAAGTGAAAAATATAACAGAGAATTTGTTGTTGTTGTTTTGTAGTGCGTTTAACGGTGCCTTCAACGGTTGTAGGTAAGCTGCTGCTGCTGCTGCTGCCAGAAGCGAGTCCCGTTGCGACTCATCAATATAAAAGCAAGTGCAGACATTTTTCAACATTTCCCTTTCGCTATTACATTAAAAACAAAGTAAACGCCGTCGCCGTTGCCCACGCATTACCCAAGGGAAACGCAATTCGCCTGTGGCCAGAACGTGACATTCATCTCAAGCAGAAAAGTAGCGCAGGTAGCGGCCCGCGGGGGACGCGACGGGGTGTGGGCGGGCGCTCGGTAATAAGCAATTTGTGGCGAGGCAAAAAAAGAAAAATGAAATAATCGAAGTATAAATGAAAGAAAATATAACTGATTACTATATAAAGCAGAGGCACACACACACACACAGAGAGAGAGACTATAATTGATAAAGTGCAGAACAATAAAGTCGAGCATTTGTTGGATTTATATCACACTAATTAGAATTCTTGCCAGAGACAGGCTGTGGCCCTTAAGGCAATTGATGCACTTGGCTAAATGCTGACCACAGCCGAGCCGGACGTGGCAAAGAACTTTGCAATTTCCTCCATTCAAGCTGTGCGCTTCCGTTGAGCCACACAAAGTTAGACGCATGTGTGTGTGTGTGTGTGTGTGTGTGTGTGCTAATGGCAAGTGACAGGCGAACAAAGGCTCAGGCAAAAGCGGGCATAACTCTTTAGCAGCTGTGCCATATGCTGGGCTTATCAGCGCCAGTTGGGGACAACGTTTTCTTTCACTTCATTTTTTTTGGGGTGCCCATTATCTCAACAACAACAAATCAATAAAGCATAATGTGGCCATA